GGGGGGGTAAGGGAAGCGGACTCGGTGTGAGAATCTGTCACTCGGCAAGCCGAGCCGGATGGATCTAGCGACGTCGGTCTCGGGTTGCCGAAGGGCTTCGGGGAAGGGGGAGGGGGGTTTGTTTAGTACCTTTTTTTTTTAGCCTTATCTTTTCGGCTTTTTCCACGCAGGGGACGGGAACCGGCTGGTCCTCGCCATCGATCCCCTACACGTGGTGATATTGGGCCAATCAGGGTGAACAAGAGGGGGGGATGCTCACAATCCCAGATCGACAGATAGGGAATCTGATCTCTTACTCCAGCTACCCTGAACGTTCCAGTTCGCAGATAGCATTTCCCTAAACTGTCGGGCAGTTGCGATTTCGGGGCCATTTCCCCTTAGCTTCCACTGTCAATCCCACCGCCTCGCCGCTCGGGGATGTATGCACGTCAGCGTGCGTGGACCGTGGACTGGGCTCCTCAAAATTGGGACAAAACCTTGAGCAAGATGTCTGGCGTGCAGACCGGCTGGTACATAGAAGATATTCGGCAATTAGGGAGAGAGTCCATTGTGGACCTGACAGGGATCTTCCCTGCCGTAAGCGGCCTAAGACGTAAAACGAAGAGAGGCGATTGCACTGGCGCGCCCGAGGTATATACTACGCAGATTGTAGGTGTCGTAATCGTTGCTGCCAGATATTCTTATGCTTCTTTGCGCTTCGACATGTCGTTCCTGACGCCACTTTTTTTTTTGGTGGTGATGCGTGCGTGGGTTGGTTACAACTGAATGTCTGAAACCTTGGTTTTGAGTATGACGCTGAACTTGGACGTTGTGTTTGGAATTCTCATTTCTCACCGCTTGTACTGGATTGGACTGTTGGCATCCACTATGAGGGTGAGGGTGAGGGTGAGGGTATGATCTCATCAGCCGCAGGGAATTACACCTCCAGCGAGTCTAGACCAGGGAGAGCTAGTGGCTACCTGACTACTATCATCATCGTTGTCTTGGTGTCGGTGGTCGGGATTGCTTCCCTTTTTGATGGGGCTTTCCCTGGCAAGGCAAGATTTTCAAGTTTCAGGATGTATGATGTTGGTGTTGATGTTGATGTTGATGTTGATGCTTGGATTGCGATGACTGCAGATATCCTGGGGAAGAGCCACTGGGACGGAATGTCTTTTGTTGCATACTTGGTAGTGTACGCGGTGAACGGATGTCGGTTGACGGAGTACAATGCCCTCATACACTCTGGCCTCTTACGTGTTCACTGGTTCAATTGGATCCTCGCTATAGACATAGATCAGAGCCTGCAGTGCTAGTCTGCCCGCACCCGGTCCGGTCTGCTTCGCTTACAGTGAGGTTTCGCGTTTGAGGTGGTTGTTTGGTTTGATCCAAACACAGCCAAAATGAAACACAAATAAATAAATCAGAATTCTTTTTTTGTTCTGGAATAATTGAGTTTGGGTTTGGGTTGGGATTGGGAATGAATGGGTCAGGAACCAGGACTGAGTTTTTCTTCTTCGCCGCCTGCTGCCTGCTTGGTGGTGGTGGTTCCTGGATGCCTTAGGCTGGATTTCCTTTTACCCGTAGATGTACGTTGTTTGGAGGTAGTGGTTGGATAGGATTGTTGTGTTGCTACCGGGTATAGTTGTCGGGGGTGTGTTTATCCAGACACCCAGATCGCAGGTCTTCTTTCTGTGTGCCAACAACTGCGAGCATGTTATCTTGAACTATCATTCCTAAGGCCCATTGTTTGTTGTTCTGATCTCGGGTGAAACATCAGGCTGGCTAGACCGCATTCGGGACGGGTGAGAACCAGTCTACGTCGACTCGAAGTGGAGACATTCCTTGGTGAGGCCGGCTCCACTCTGCTTCCGGCAGTGGGCTGTTGAGTCCTCAGTCTAGAGAACAGCAGGTGGTGCTGTTGCCGGTTGGGTGGTTTGATTTCTTCACCCCGACTGGGTGATCTTTTTGGTGGTGTGAGGCTTTGCTGTGGTTGTGTGATGGATTCAGATGTTCTAGTCTGCTCTACCTTCTTGCTGCTGTATACGCTCTTCAAGTCGAAAGAGAAGTGGCATACTGAATGCAGTTCACACTGGAGTGATGATTCGGCCATATCGGCCGAATCACCACGTAGAGCGAGAAAATTTCCATCGTGCACGGGCAAAGCCGAGATAGATGACGGGCATCCGTTGCGCCTGCCAGTGTTGGGCGTTCTCGCCCCGTCCGGCATGCCGATAACAACTCATCGAGAGATCAATTGTCTGACCAGCGAGAAAATTTTCACCGGGCCGCCGAAACCAGTTTGAGCCAGTGCAGATCGGCCAACTTCCGTCGAGTGGTTGCGCGCTCCACCCGCCACCGGTGAGCTTCAAACGGGAAGGATCCAGATTCTGCCTTGGCTAGCGGCCCCTCGTCTAGCCTCGTCTAGTGGGCTAGTCTGCTTTAGCTGGGTTTAGCCTGCTGGGTTCGGCACACCGAGACAACTTTCTGGGTTTGTTTGGCGGTGCAATGCCGATTCCGAGGGATTTTGTAGGACTAGGCTGGGTATATCGGGTGGCCGAGAGGAGGGGTTCGGGTTGGTGCTGACGCTGCACTTGATTTGCTGGTGAGGGGGGGGTGCATGGTGATATCGCTAGAAATTTAATGTACTTATTTCACAGTATGGTATACTCAACACATTGCAAGATAACTTCTTTGTTTTGTCGGATGGTGTTGTGTATATCAGCCCAGACGGCGAGACCGAGAGCGATGACGCTGTGGTGGTGGTGTTGTTCCTGAGTGCGCCGGCCTTGGTTCGGGATCGACACGGGATTCTCTGATTCGGCTGGGAGCAGAAAATTTCTGCGTGCAGGGCGAAAGCACACTAAGTACCGTCCTAACCACCACTGGACAAGCCCCACTTGGCGCCCGCGGATCTCCCTTCACTGGTACCGCTTGCGGCAACTTTACTACGACTCTCACTATCAGGGGTTGTGTGAGGTTCGTTTGGCACCGAGGCGAGGCGAGTAGAAAAATCTTTTCATTTCCTTCGCGTCAATTCTCTGACACAGAGAAAAGCAGAGGGATGGAGGGATGAATCGCTGGTGGATCATGGTCTCTGGTCTTCGTCGTGAAGAAGGCTCTGTTTGTTCTGCTGCGGTGTTGGATTACTTCATCCTGGGCCATGCTGGGCTTTCCTGGGCTTAGTAACTGGACCTAAGGTGTTTTCTACACGTAGCAACCTGAGTAAGGAGGAGGAGGAGGAGGTGGTGGTGGTGGTGGATCATGCGCCCGCCCATCCGCCCTTCCACAGCATCCCATCCACCCATCCGTAACACAACCTGAAGCTGTCATCGGCATGCACGGCATCCTTTGTGTATAGCTGGGTGTAGTGTCTTGTGTCTGGGTGGCAAACCAGCCGGTCTCGAATAAGGCCCGATTGGCGAACAATGGAATTGTCCTCAGTAGGAGGAGTGGTTGATGGGCGCATCCGCATCGCATCGGCATCGCATCGCATCACACGGGCCTCAACCTGGTCACGGAGGGCTGGCTATAGGAAGAATTTTAGATTGCAAGCGGCATCACCATGACGGAGGCCACGAGGCCGAAAAGGGAGTCAATTCCGGAGCCGATGGAAGGATAGAATCGATAGTGCAGAGAAAGACCGCTGTCATTCAATAGCAGTAGTCTTATGCAGTGCAGCAGCAGTACTGAAATAATAATGGAATGCATAAGGTGCAGTGCAGAATGACCGAATCGGGGAGGAACTCGTGACTTGAATGGCCGGATTGGGAGGTTTCCAGAAGGGTTCCATTCCAACTTCCCCATCAACAAATCTCCTCACTCTCTCCTCAATCTCCTCACTCTCCCACTTTCTCCCACTTTCTCTCCCCCCCCCCCCCCAAATTCCTCCCTCCTCGACTCCGCCGTCTTCAGCCTTTAGTCAGGCACGTTTCTCCGGGTTAGTGCCGCTTTCTATCGGCCTTCTGCCCTCTCCAGTCTCCAGTCTCCAGTCTCCAGACCCGGTTTCTCCACTTTGTCCCTTATGCCCAATAATGAGCCCGGAATCTCTCTCCCTCCACTTCCCCCTAGCTTTGCAATGTTCCGAATTCTCCCACCCTCGTTCGTCCCGGCTCTGTTTTCGGGGTAAATCCCGAGTCCAAAATTCACGCGACAAGAAAAAAACATCCCAAAAAATACCAAACTGAGACGCTGAGATCTGGGCCCCCCGTTTTTTCCTTGCCCACGCCCATGGTCCTACCCCGACAAGAATGGGCCATGGGGTGTCTCCTCCAATCCCTGGGATGGAGGCGAATTGCCGACGGATCGAGTGCTGCGTGCTGCGTTCAAAAATTCTTTTCCCTTTCCCTTCCTTGCCTTTTTCAGTTCGTTTGTTGATGACGCCGCCGTCATCCTTACCGAGTCCGTTCGGGTCTTCTTCTCCATCTCTCCGTATATAATTCCTCCACTTCCCCCAGCTTCTTGCTCTTGACATCTTCCCCTTCACCCATCATCAGTTTGTGTGTGCTTCTTTCTCACTTCCCTTTCACACTTCATCCACAACTGTCAAGAGGGTTTCCATTCAAACTACCTTTTGTGTCTGTGAACCCACCGACAACATGGGTGTCCACAACATTATGTCTCGCTTCAAGCCTTCGACTGAGCACTCGGAGGCTTCCACTCCTGCTCGCTCCGACTCCTACGCGGAGAAAGACCACGGCATCGTCGATGACTCTCCCGTCAAGTATCTCACCTGGCGCTCGTTCATCCTCGGTCTCTGTGTCTCCATGGGTGGTTTCATCTTCGGTTACTCGACTGGTATGCATGGCGATCCTTTCCCCCTCTTGACACCCGACTCCCGCTAACACCCCCGCCTCCCCCCAGGTCAAATCTCCGGTTTCGAGACCATGCAGGATTTCCTGATGCGCTTCGGTGAGCAACAGGCTGATGGCTCCTATGCCTTCAGCAACGTTCGTTCCGGTCTGATCGTCGGTCTGGTATGTTGTTCATTCCGTGCTCGGCTACGAGATCGCCCTAAACTAACCGCCGTGTCAGCTCTGTATCGGTACTATGATTGGTGCCCTGACTGCTGCTCCCATTGCCGACCGTTTCGGCCGCAAGATTTCTATCTCGTTCTGGTCGCTCATCCACATTGTTGGTATCATCATCCAGATCGCCACCTCCACCAGCTGGGTCCAGATCGCCATGGGCCGTTGGGTTGCCGGTCTCGGTGTTGGTGCTCTGTCCAGCGTCGTCCCCATGTACCAGAGTGAATCCGCTCCTGTTCAGGTTCGTGGTGCCATGGTCAGTGCCTTCCAGCTGTTCGTCGCCTTCGGTATCTTCATCTCCTACATCGTCAACTACGGAACCGAGAGAATCCACTCCACTGCCTCCTGGCGTATCACCATGGGCATCGGTTTCGCCTGGCCCTTGATCCTGGGTATTGGTACCCTCTTCCTGCCCGAGTCCCCCCGTTACGCCTACCGCCAGGGCCGCGTCGACGAGGCTCGTGAGGTCATGTGCAAGCTCTACGGTGTTGGTCCCAACCACAGCGTCATCATCCGCGAAATGAAGGAGATGAAGGACAAGCTCGACGAGGAGCGCAACGCCGGCACTGCCAAGTGGCACGAGCTCTTCACTGGTCCCCGCATGTTCTACCGTACCATGCTCGGTATCGCTCTCCAGTCTCTCCAGCAGCTTACCGGCGCCAACTTCATCTTCTACTACGGAAACACCATCTTCAAGTCCACCGGTATCTCCAACAGCTACATCACCCAGATCATTCTTGGTGCGGTCAACTTCTTCATGACTCTGCCCGGTCTGTACATTGTCGAGCACTATGGTCGCCGCAAGAGTTTGATGTACGGTGCCGCTTGGATGTTCATCTGCTTCATGATCTGGGCCTCTGTCGGTAACTTCGCTCTGGACCTCAACAACCCCGAGAGTACCCCTGCGGCTGGCAAGGCTATGATCGTCTTCACCTGCTTCTTCATCGTCGGTTTCGCTACCACCTGGGGTCCCATCGTCTGGGCCATCTGTGGTGAGATGTACCCTGCCCGCTACCGTGCTGCCTGTATCGGTATGGCCACTGCTGCCAACTGGACCTGGAACTTCCTCATCTCCTTCTTCACCCCCTTCATCAACTCCGCCATCCACTTCGCCTACGGTTACGTGTTCGCCGGATGCTGCTTCGCTGCCATCTTCGTTGTCTTCTTCTTCGTCATTGAGAGCAAGGGCCGCAGTCTCGAGGAGGTCGACAGCATGTACGTGCTGCACGTTCTCCCCTGGAAGTCCGAGAGCTGGGTTCCTCCTGAGGGCATTGTCGATGACATGCACCACCCTCCCTCCTCTCCTAAGGCCGAGGGCCAGGCTGAGCACAGTGAGCCCACTGAACTCCGCGAGTAAGCGGGTCGTCTTGCGATTCTGCGCTCCTGTACATTGACCATCTCATCTACATCGCTTTTAATGGCTCGCATTTAATGGCTTGCATTTTTTTTTCTTTTGCTTCTTGAATGGGTATGAATGCATCAAGGCATGGTTGTACGACCTGACCTCTGGCTGGGAATCTGATGTTCGGCGTTTGTTGATACCTCTAAGTACGATTGATTGATTGATTGATTGATTAAGAAATGAAAATCCATACACTATCACAAGCATGTTCTGTTCCACGTAAATTTGAGGGTAGTGATTGGATGGATTCTGCCACGTCAACGGTGTCATTGCAGTGTTGGATTGCGGGTCAACGGAGCACAAGGAAGGATGTTCAATCCCGTCTCTCCATACTTCCCGCTTTGATTCGTATCTGCATGTCTCAAATTTAAGCTTTGCATCCCTGTCATGCATATTTGGTCCGATGCGGTTATTTGTATACAACCCGCCTCAACTCCTTCGGAGGTGGCATTTCTGATCTTGTGATTGTTTTTCATTCCTTGAGGACGTGGCGGGGTTGCCTTGACGAGCTGTCGGAGTCAACAAGGATGCGATTGACGGTCCTAAATCTTCGGGTTGAGGTGGTTGTGTAAGCCGGTCATCTGGCCTCCTTGCTAGGCTTCTTTTCTTAGTGTAAGTCCCGCGATGCAGTCCGGATTCCATTTGCGATACGATCCCGAATCCCTAATCCCTACCCTGGGAGCACAATGCATACACTTCCCACACACAGACACACACGCACCCTCTCCGAGGAGAATATGATGCAGTCAGTGGATTATGTTTGACTTGTCGTCTCTGGGCGGGTTCACGTCACCTGAACTGTTTCACACTTCGATCTCGACGCTATTCATACCACGTTGGTTTGATCTGGCTTTTAGCTAACTCACACCGGTCCATCCACTTTTACTGATAAGAAAAATGAGTGAGTGAGAGAGGGAGAGGGGAGGGTCGTATCGCTTCGCGCATGGATTGATCCCTACCATACGTACCCTAGATCCTAATGCCAGGACCTTAGCTGCATCCTGAAGTCTCAGCCGTACGCTACCAGCTGGAGCTAAGCTAAGCCAAGCTACGGCTAGCAAAACGGGCCGGTCCTTCTTTTTCCCTTCGTCCCTCGTGACCAGGTAGGGAAGGTATCGTATACTTGTGATTCCGAGGTAGTGGCACGGTACAGTCCCATTCAGGACCCCAGTACGGACGCTGGGATATTGGAAAGGGACGGGGGAGCGGGGGGTTAGCAATCTTTTACTCATTTCGTTCCTTATCTTTTCATGGTCCCTGGAAGGATCGTGTTGACTTCGTACTGTACCTCGAGCTCAGCTCCTGGTGATCGTTGACATTGATCCTGATAAGTTTCCCCCGATCCCATGCATAACTGTATGTATCCAGTGGGTGACAGCTCTCTCTAGAGGCTATCGCTTCGCAGGCTGCGATGCTTACGCTCAGATGCGGAGCACATCATTTCTTAAGAATAGCGCCTGTGGGGAGATGACGATATGCTTGGGTTTGAACAGTAGCTTCCATAGGCAAAAACAGAAAAAAAAAAAAAAAAAAAAAAGAGAGAGAGAGAGAATACGTTCAACTAGCATCAGAAGTAGAAAGCAACCCCGAAGCTGGGAAATTCTTGAACTGTTGGTTCTCGAGACCTCTCATAGGGCAATGGATCCCCTTCTCGAAAAGTTGAGGGGGGTCAACAAACAGTCTTTGCACGATCATCAACAAGCCACAGATTCTATTGTAGCTGCCTCTTTGTAAAGGAATCCCGTTGAGTTAGAGTATCAACCTCCCTGCCTCCTGCGTCCAGCATCTTAGCCCTCTCTTTTCTCCGGAGTTCCACGGAATGCATGACCTGCCTGCCCGTCAGTGGGATGGGTCTCTGGAGAGGGTTTATGACAGGAGAAGCTCAGCCGTCTTCGGATATTCTAGTCAAAGAGATTTCCAATATATGCGGGTATGAAGTGGGGATACATACAAACAACCCAGTCCCGGGACCGATCTTGGCTACCTTTCGAGAAAAGTCAGGGGGTTTGGAGATGTGCCTGTTGAGATTTCCGCTCTGAAGTCTTTTGCTTCGTTCGATCGTTCGACTCTAGGGGCTGTGGTATGGTGGGGATTGTGTATCTGTCGGGCTGGGTTGGTTATGGAAGGCTGGGTTCTAGGCTGGAGGGGGGCGTGATGTTGCTTGCTTGCTAGGTGGTCGGTGGTAGGTAGTTTTTACCAGGGTACAGCGCTTTTGAATACCTAGTAGTCCCTGAATTTTGACAGTTGATGAAATCGAGTGGGACAAGGGAGGTCGCGTGAGGCATATATAGGCTATTGTTAGGCCGTGAGTATCGATTCTCGTCGGTTGAGGAGGTGGAGGAGAAGTCGCCGCATCGACCCTTCAATATAAGAGAGGAAATAAGATCAACACCAGACGTTCCAAACGTGCAGTGTTTGGGTCCTGGCGTTATCAGGCAGCATACGCCTCATTCTATACACTCTCTGTAAATAGGCATACCTGACCGAAAACCCAGAATGCTTGGTCAGCTGTACGAATAGACCAAACAGGACTACAGATCTACACCTTACAATAGAACACACTCAAGAATCAACAGATCAATTCAACTGGGTACACACCCAGGCATATCTAGGAAAGACTCTAGGAAAGACACAAGAAAACAACTCTTTCACTCAAGATCACTAATCACAAAGAAGACGTGGAACAAACACCCCAAACGCCCCGGCAGTTTTTTGGAATCACCCCTGTTCAATTCATGACCACTTATGTTGCAACGAGGATTGAGCTTTGGACTTGGTGCGCGGTCCGCATTGCGCACAGGCAGCACGCAATGCAGCACGCGATGCGGTAGGTTAGGTGTATTAAGAGGAAAGGACTTCGTCTCGTCATCGACCATCTGCTTGGTCCGCTTAACGACGCTGGGTCTTGCCGATGGTGCGCTTGCCGGTGTACTGCAGCATTGTTAGTAATGGGTCTTGAGACAAAACACAGCGAACACAGCAGACTTACCAAGTGCTTGGGCAAGGAGGCGGTGGTGTGTCGATCGGCCTCTCCCTGGCGGGCCATGCGGTTCATCTTCTTCTGGCCCAACTTGGCCAACCGCTCCGCCTTGCTGCGCGCCTGCTCGTCCGTCACACCGTCGTGCAGACGATCCGTCGCCGCCTGGCTGCGAGCACGGCTCTTGGCCCGGGCAATCGCCTGGCGAGGATCCGAAAGATCGACGTCCATCGAATCGTCCATGTCCACGTCGCGCGTGAGCGGGCGGCCGCGGACCTGGCTCTGGGACCGCGCCCGGCTGGCGGCGGCGTCGACGTCGTAGCCCGCCGAGTCCAGCGCCTCCTCCATCTGGGACAGCTTCTTGGCCTTGGCGCTGCGTGGGATCGCCGCCCGGTTCTTGAGCGACTTGCGCAGCTTGGCGTCGTTCTTCATGAGCGCCCGCTTCTCGCGGATCAGATCCGCCTTCATGCGGGTGTCGGCGTCCTCGGCATCTTCCACACTCTCGTCCGACTCGTAGTAGCCATCGGCCTCCAGCTTCTCCTCCTCCTCCTCCAGCGCGGCCAGCTTGGCCTCGATGTCCGGGTCCACGTAGTCGTAGATGTTCTTGCCGTTCCACACCTCGGGGATCTTGTCGTGCTTCCACTCGTCGTTGGCCAGGTCGTAGGTCTTCTTGAGGTCGATGTTGTAGACACCTGCACCACCGTTCTCCTCCTCGAGATCTCTCTCCAGCTTCTTGCGGTTGGGGTCGTTCTTGTCGTACTTCTGGAGCGTCTTGACGGCATCGGGAATGAAGGTCTCGCGCGTCACGCCACCCATGGGCTGTGCGACGTGGATACGGGCGAGGACATCGCCCAGGCGACCGCCGGGGGTACCGGCGTTGTTGGTGCCAGACTTGAGCTTCTGAGCCACACGCTCCGCGAGGAGCTTGTCGCAGGCCGCGTTCTTGACGTTGGTGACGCCCTCGGTGGTCGTGCAGGACAGCTGCAAAAGCTCGACATCCCCGGACTTGAGGATGGCCTCAAGCTGCTGCTGGTACTCAGGCTCCAGGTCCTCGGGGCGGCGGACATCGATCTTGTTGACCACCAGGAAGACAATCTTGTTGGCGAAGAGGGGCTTGATGCTGTGGAACAGCTTGATCTGGTCACCCACGGAGTAACCGCACTGCTCGGACAGATCCATGAAGTAGAGGACGGCAGAGCGCAAGTGGGCAATGGCCGTGATGGACTGCATTTCGATGGTGTTCATCTCCTCGAGGGGGTGGTCGAGAATACCAGGGGTGTCGATGGCCTGGAAACGAAGGTACTTGTAGTCGAAGTGACCGACGAACAAACTCTTCGTGGTGAAAGCGTAGGGCTGGACGTCGACGTCCGCGCGGGTGATGCTGCGCAAGAAGCTGGACTTGCCGACATTGGGGTAACCGCAGATCAGGAGCGTGCGGGTGTTGGGGTCAATGGCGGGCAGACGACCCAAGTGCTGACGCACCTGCTCAAGGTAGACGAGGGGGTCCTTGAGACGCTTGCAGATGGTGGCCATACGACCGAGAGCAGCGCGCTTGAGCTGCTTGCACTGGAAGAGCGACTGCGCATACTTGATCAAACGAACGTAGTCGCGGGAAACGGTCTCGATAAGGTGCTTAGCGGTCGAGATCTGACCGAGAGCGATTCTGAAGTGGTCGGCATCGTACAGGGTGTTCATCAAGTCCTTGTCTGACGGGAGTTTAGATTATCTGACCGACTAGTCTCAAATGCCGAGGGGCAAATTTTCTGGCTCAGTCGGGTAGCGAAACTTACGGAAAGGGTGAATGTCCTGCAATCTGGGGAAGCCATCGAGAATAGCCTGGAACTTTTCGCAGAAAGTCTCCTGGGTGTATTTGACCTTTCTGGTGTAAAAGCCTATCGGTAGAAAGAGATTTCCGTCAGTCAAAATTCATCTCCCGTTCGGCTTCCGCGATGGTACCCAGCGACTCGACGATCGATGTCGCAAAGTCAACAAGAAAGGAAATCACGGACCTCGAATACGGCTGATGTTGAAGCCCGCACGGATCTGAGTGGGCAACTGTCTCTGGGTGCGACTGAGGACGATGTCCAAAAATTCCTGATGCGTAGGCACCGGAGCGATCTAATCAAGCGGTGAAAATGAGGTGTCAGTTCGGCTGATTTCTCAGGTGATCTGAAATGAATTCAGGATTGTCGGTATGGCTTACATCTTTCCACGTCGTCTTCATGATGGGCACCTGTGAAATAGAGTCGTAACAGAAAGCGACTCGTCAAGGGAACCCCGGGGATGGATAGCAAGAGTTGGTAGCCTCCGAAGTCGAGATCAAACGAAAAAAAAAATATTGCGGGCGGCGGTCGCTGGGCAGATTTTGGCGGGCGGTGAGCGATTGATTGGGTGGTGATTTTAGTTCCGCCGGTGTGTGGGGGAAAGAGGGAAAGAGGAGGCAGAGGAGGCTCTCCGGTGGACGGGTAAGACCTTTTGTGCAGGTTGATTTCCCAGCTACGGGGCGCCCCCTCTTATGTAATCACTCATCTTAACGTAAGTTAGTTATTATGGAGTCTTCATTTACATTGACTATCCGGGAATATGATACATCAACTGGAACATGCGTGTCCTGACAAAACCACCCACGGTCACCCATGGTGTTTCGATCCGGCCATCGTGTCGTCATCATCCCCGTCCCTGAACCCCCCGTCGTAGCCCGACAGAACGCCTTGCTTTTATCAGAAACCACCAGGAAGACTGAAATCCCGTTTAATCAAGCCATAAAGATGCATCAAACCGTCATCGAGGGAATGGGTACGAAAAGGTCGAGTCAAGAAATCATAAAAGGGAAGGTCGCACGGCCGTCCACCACTAGATCATCATCATAAGAAACAGCCCGAGCACGGGTATTCACTCCCGGGCGAAATCCTGGGTGAAGTCAAACACCTGCACGGCAACCGGTTAGTCCAGAACAAAGCAGAAGACCATGACACATACCAAGTCCACCCAGCCACCACCGCCAAACTGACACTTGCTAGGCCCACGGTTCTCAAAGCCAAACGATTCATAGTAAGGGATCAAATGGCCGTGCGCGATAATCGCAAGGCGATCGGCAATCTGCGCATCCTTGATGCGCTGAATATAAGACTTCATGAGGGTGCTGCCGACCGTCTTGCCCTGATGCTCGGGCAGCACGGCGAGCGAGTGGATGGCGATTGTGCTACCGTACTCATCATGGCCCACAGTCTCACCATTCTCCACGGTCATGCGCTCCGTCTGCCAGTTGGCCGGCATCGCCATCGACTTGTCCGTCACCACGGGGCTCGAAGTTCTCGTGGCAATGACATGGCCGACCAGAGTGGGGCGGGGCTTGGGTTCGCCCTCGCGAAGAATGGGGAGAGTGAAGAGACCGAGACAGAGCTCAGGACACCGGCTCAGACGGTAGCGGAACTACAAATTGCGTCAGTCATCGGAGTAGCGTGTCGGCGTGCATGATGTAAGCGACGGGAGGATGTACCTTCTCGCTCGTACAGCGCTCGTGTTGGGGGAAGGCCTCCTCGACCTGAACACAGTCCTCGACATTCGACTCTGTCAGAACCTGCACGAAGGGGTGCAGTTCGTCCAACTTGGTGCGCTGGTGCACAGGCGGGCGGCGAAACCAGTAAGGGTATTCGACATCGTCGTGGTCCACCGAGACATACTCCCCGTCGACCTCCTCTTCGCCCTCTTCCTCGTCCTCGTCATCGATGTCAGCATCTTCCAAAGGAAGACCATTGGCCCGAGCAGCCTCTACCCGCTCTGAATGGTTGGACAACTCGCGCGCGGTGGCGGGAAGGGAAAACGAGTCTGCGTTGGACAACGGCCGGAGCCCGTTGACAGGTTCTTCATAGTGGTTGGATTGGTCGGACATGGTTGCGAGCCGGGGTAGGCGCGCGAGGCGATGAAATGGTGAAACTTGAGTAGAGGATTGATTGATAGTGTGGGAAAGGTGCGATCGACAAGCGACAAGATGACCGAGGATGCAGGTAAGCCAAAAACCGGGACTGGGGCTGAGCTGCGCAAAGGTAGAATTCGGAATAAATCGAGGGGTAGGAAATACGCGGGAAGGCCTAGAGAAAGAAAGAGTGGGGATCAGTTTTTAGCTCAATGCGGACGATAAGCCTCGGACTGCAATTCCAGAAGCTCGATCCGGAGGCGATCATAGTGAATGAAGCACAGGTAGCTTACTCTGGAGGAAGTTCGTCAGGGATAAGAACCGGTACACTTGTAGAGGGACAGTTGGGGGAACTGCGAAGCTACTCAGACATGGAAATTTGCAGGTACGCGCACAAGGGAAGATGAGAGAAGAGCAACAGGCTGAAAGATCAAGCAAGACCTGCTGCAGAGTTTGTGCGGGCGGAGGAACCGATAACGGGAGGAGTGGCCACAAAAATGTAACAACCAGTCTGCAAGGTTGCAAGCAAAGTTGAAAGAAAACAAATTCTCAAATTGATTTTTTCTTCCTTTCATTTCCCTTCTCGTGTCATACAGGGTCGCGATACCCTCAAGCTCCAATCTCCCCAACCTTCATCTTCTTCTACTGCACCCTCCACCAAACCCTACAGATTCATTTCAGTTCCGATTCTTGGTCATTGCTAGCCATACCCATGGGAGATTGCGACAGACAAGTAGGTTGTACTAAAAGGTACTAGGGGTAATTAACCCCGGGAGGTTCTCCGCTTTGCGGCTGGTGGATCAATGAAAACCACGAGAATGGTATTTTGATGGGGTTTTGGTATGGTCAGCCCCAGTCCAGAGCTGCACCCGGTCACTTCCATTGCTGCTAGACTATTGTCCACCGATTCCGACGCCGAGGCTCTTTATCCCTGACATCCATGATTTGAGTACGAGCTGGTTGTTTCAGGTCATGTCCAACACATCCCGACTCGCTTCTGAAGGTGTAGAAACGTGTTTGTCACTGCTAATTTCGACCAATCACGCACAGATCAATGTTTGCCCAGCTTCTATGCGACTACTCCGGAGCATTTGCAGTACTAAATACTGTACCTGACAGAAAGTGACGTAGCTGCAAAGATAGAAATAGAAATCTCCATAGTCAAGATCGTCAGAAATGACCCAACCACGCATTAGTGCCTCCATCCTGGTCGACTTGGGAAGCATTTATTAAATAATGTCGTAATACATACGGAACATGAAAGATAAGGCCCTGCCATATATCACCTAAACTCTAGCCGGTTTCCCCTCCGTGGCTTGGCCTATACGCCAGCCTCCCTCCCGCTCAGGCTATCTCCCCTGCTTGTCGCCTCAGATATGCAGCTACCATGTCCGGATTTGCCAACCACGGCGTATGAGCCGTCTTGACCTTCTCGATTTCAAACTGAGCGCCCTTGGCCCGGGCACTCTCTACCATCATTTCTTGCACAAACAACGGAATAGCTCGATCTTCCTCGCAGAGCAGATAGCTGCATGGGATGTGCAAGTAAGCTGCACTGGTCGCAGGTGTTGTGTGAGTAACATAAGCATGAGGCCGTAAAGACTGCGCCCATGATCCACCGTCCGGAACGTCATGGAATAACACCTGGACGGGTTCTCTCACGGTGATGGTGTTGGCAATCTCCTGGAGGAAACACTTTAGTATGCACTCACAATTCTGGTGCTCGAACAAAGTCACGCACATCGTGGATATACCATTCTGGAGCTTGTCCACCAAAAGCTCCCAGTAGACTTTGACCGACTTCAGGAAGAAAGGCTGCAAGGAAAACGAGCTTGATCACTCCGCCGGACCTGCCAGCTGCTTCACGCTCCGCTTGACCCAGTCCGTCCAGTGCACTGTTCACAGGAAGGCCGGACCAGCTGTGTGAGACCACGATGATATCGTGGCCCTCGTCAGCCTCTTGCTGCACGAGACTCCGGACAGCGCTGATGTCTGAATGGAGATCTTGCACGGCGGTTGCCTGTTGTATGGATGGAAAGGCAACAGTGTGACAGCGATAGCCTGGCAACTTTTCAATGACGGGGTCGAACGCTGTGGGAGGATACCAGGCGCCTGGAGCGAAGATGAGGGTGGGTTTAGCCATCTTCAATGCTAGAAATATGCAACTAGACAGATAAACGATGTTGCGTTGCAACTATATTGATAGCAAATAGATCGGACGCATATTGACTTTTATGCCTCTCCTTCAAAGCCCGTGATGTGCCGGTTATAGCAGCCGTTGCGTGGAGCCAGAGCTTAGCGCATAGCAATCCCATACAAACCCATGAGATCGGGATCTAAGCTTTATCCCGGGCAATCGACCCGATCCGACCTTGCCGATCAAATCCCGCATGAAACATGCCTGCTGTGAGTCCCAGGTCAGACAATCATAGAGTGTTGACCTATAAGGCCCGTTCCAAAAGGATCCGAGGTAACGTCTCCAGTATGCGTAAGTGAAGATCCCCCCATCAGCCATTTTGCTTATCGTATGACGCCAAGACTGGCTGCCCAAAACCGGCCATGAATGCGGGGGAAAGAAAAGCTAACGTCAAGGGAGACCTTCTGGAAATTCAATTACTGACCACCTTGCCTTTCTCCTCCTTCGATGCTCGCAGCTCTGCCGTCTTTCAGCGGAAACACTCCTTGAACTTTCAAGCTGATCAATACACTGAGAAGTGAATAGATTTCTGGCTGACCTGTGGCTGAACCGTTCACTATTCACTTATTTCTTATCGGGGCGCATCTACTATCATGGGCGACTACGGACAAGGAGCGACATCGCTCGAGACGCGAACACTCACCACCACTTCTCCAACCGCTACTGAACCCGACGAGATTTCTGTGCTGGTCACAGGCTTTGGGGTAGGTTCAGCTCCTGTCATCGCGCAATCACGGTCTGATGTGTTGCTCTCTACATAGCCGTTCAAAACGAACCTGGTCAATGCTTCTTATCTAATCGCCTCATCGCTCCCTCCTTCGTTCACATTCTCCACCAACACTCCCGACTCAGCGCCTTGCCGTGTCTCAATCCATGTCCATCCTTCTCCGATTCCCGTCGCCTATTCAACAGTACGGACTACGCTGCCCGTGATACTAGACGATTACGCCAAGACACACGATGGCCGACGCCCGGACATCATCATCCACATGGGCATAGCGGCGACAAGGAACTATTACTCAGTGGAGACCCAGGCCCACCGCGACGCATACCTCATGTCCGACATCAAAGGGCGATCGGGTTACGAGGACGGAGAGCGTATATGGCGAGAGCTTGACTTGCCTACCGTTCTCAGCGCTGGGCGTGCAAGTGCATCGGTGCCATCGGCGAAGAAGTACCTCAACCCTCATCCACCAGACACCGACTTCCTCATGGCGTGGCAGTCGTTCGCGCGCCCAGGCACGGACGTTCGGATCTCGAACGATGCGGGACGATACCTCTGCGAGTTCATCTTCTACTCGAGTCTGGCGCTGGCCTACCAAGAGGACCAGGATCGGAATGTGGTCTTCTTCCACGTTCCTGGGTCCTGCACTGATGAGCATATTGCAGCGGGAAAGGACGCCGCCATTGCGCTGATTAAGGCTCTGGTGACGAGTTGGGTCGTCAGCGGCAGCCCGGCGTAGGCGTTTTTTATTCGCATGCTCTAACCTTTTAGACGCATTGGGAGGCATCATTGCATTTGGCATAGCCTGGTTTTACTACTTCCGTGAGGCAGTGGACACCGTTCGAAATCCAGTTAAATAGTTAGACATGGCGTGGGCAGAAGAAGTATATGTAGTGCTAAGCTTCAACTGAGCTGCAATCAGGGGAATCAAAGAAGATTTCGCCTCGTTTTGGTGCATGACAATGGGACTTTTAGCGCCTCGTCATCTCGGGTAAGAGACTGCCCAGATCAAATCCAGTGATTAGCTTGATGGAATATCAATCGTAATCGAACTTCCTGGGGACAGGCGGCATGAGTCAGACCTCACATAATCATGATCACGATAAGGGATGACTCTCCGCGGGATCCCCGGGGTCTGCTCGCTTATCGCTAACTACTTCTGACCCTTTCCCCTTACGCCTTGTTTTTTCTTCCTTGTCATACTCTGCGACCATGATCTCATAGCCCTGAACTCATTCCCCCCCTTGAAGATGGTCGACCTAGTTCTCCTCGCGATAATTGTCCTCCCACTGGTCGTGTTCCTTCCCGGCCTCAAAACGTGGCTCGCAACTCACCTCCCCCACGCCCTGACGACTCTTATCACCCTGCGCCGCGGCCACCAGCGCCCCAAACAATCCCACGAGATCGTGGCCCTCCGAGTCTACCCCATCAAATCCTGCCGTGGACTCACCCTCCCACGCACGAAGTTGCTGCAGCATGGCCTCGACCTGGACCGACGGTGGATGATCGTCGACGCGACGACGCACGAGTTCCTCACCATCCGCACAAACCCGCGCATGACGCTGATCACCACCGCCCTGACCACCAGCACCAGCACCATCACCACCTCCTCCTCCTCCGAAACGGCGCAAGACAACTCACCCCTGGACCTAACCATCTCGCTCCCTGCCGCATCCACGCAACATCCAGCCGCCAAAATCACCATCCCCGCGCACCCGACGCCGACCTGGCTCGCCCAAAACACCACGCTCGCATCTGACATCAAGATCTGGGACACCACGACCGACGGCTACATCTACAAGCCCGAGATCAACGCCCCCATCGGCGACTTCCTCGGCCGCGAGGTGGCGCTAGTGTACAAGGGACCGACCCCGCGCATCCTGCAGGGCAACGGGGCCCCGCGGCTGCTGGGCCGCGAGCAATCCACCAATTTCCCGGACGTGCATCCCGTGCTGATCGCGTCGGAGGCGTCGCTGGGCGAGTTGAATGAGCGGCTGGTCAAGCAGGGCGAGGCGGCGATCACGGTGGAGCGGTTCCGGCCGAACGTGGTGGTGCGGGGCCAGGTGGCGTGGGAGGAGGATACGTGGAAGACGGTGCGGGTGGTGGCTGGTTCTGCTTCGGCTTTTGAAGGTAGTGGTGCAGAGAGTGAGGGCCAGGCGGCTGGCAATGGCACTGGGAAAGGCTTGGAGCTGGATATCGTGGCGCGCTGCGCGCGGTGTCAGGTGCCTAATGTCGAGCCGACCTCGGCGGTGAAACATAAGAAGCAGCCTTGGGATACGTTGATGGCATATCGCAGGGTCGATGAGGGGATGAAGTATAAGCCGTGCTTTGGGATGTTGAGTGCGCCCCGGCAGGAGGGGGAGATCGCGGTGGGGATGCGGTTGGAGGTGTTGGAGGAGACGACGGAGCATCGGTATATTGCTGGTTTTTAGGGATTCAGGGAGTAGAAGGTGGGGAGGTTTTTGTTTGAGGAGCCCGGGGCTGAAGGGGGGGAAGGGAGAAGTGGGAGTAAATCCATGAGGCTATATAAAATTGTACTGTCTTGTAGGAAAGGAGAAAAGGTGGGTGGGATTGACCTGAAGTAGGAGGAGGTAATAGCTAAGGATGTTTAATTTGTATACACCAAGTATCTACTTGTAATAGTGCTATGGACAAGAGATATCGGGTTTGGACGCATAGCTCCCACTAAATAACAGCTACTATGCCACTACGGCCACCGTATCTCGAAAGAGCTCCGATTCATATACCCGAGTAGAGCAGCGCAGCGAACAATGCCCACTTACCCTGGTCAGTTTTCCTATACAGTCTTGGTGGCTATTCAATCATTACGAGAAAGAGAGTCAGCCTTGGGTGTACAAGACAGAGAGAAGACACCGAGATGAATTTCAATCATAATTCGACACTATTAAAGCTATCTTACTTCCAACAGAAACAGCAAGCAGGAAGGTAGAGAAAGAATCCCGAAATCAGCGATCATCAGAAGATCAACAACTTCAGATCAGATGGTATTGTATCCTCCAGGTTAAGGATCATGTTCCTCTCTTTCTTGCCCGCCTCATCCTGGCCCAGGCAAATGTCTCTTCTTGTCTTGCAAAACGAGGCGAGCAAGAGGTGCTTTCACCTCAAATGACAGATGATACCACTCTTCTGGTGTCCAGGACCAGTAAAATTGTAGGCACCGTGGAAAAGAAAGCTCCGTTGTCCATATGCAAGCTGGTCGGTAGTTCTAGCTACAAACATGTAAATTTGTTGCATATGGGAGTAAAGACCAGCCTTGCTCTCTGCTTGTTCTTGACTCACGCTCCGTGAATTGTCCAGAGCAGCGATGAGAGGGAAAATGCAGGGGAGTTTGGCGGTGGTGGCGGAGGTGTTGGAGGAGGCGTCGGAGGAAACACCGGTGATTGCGGTGGTGTAAGAGGAGGAGTGGGAAGTTGATTAGGCTGTGGGTTTGACATTTTGGTTCTGGCTTTGCTTCTGCGCATTCGGGCTCAGTGTTGGGGGCTGACTGGCTTACGATCCTGTAGATGCTCGCTATAAGTAGCTCTGGGTCCTCTGAAGGAATAGGGAAGTTCTAGGGATAGCGAGCTCAAGAAAAGATATAGGGAATCCTCCAGCGAAGAACTCAGCAGACGACATCTGCGTCTTTCAGTTCTCTGGCACACTGTTCACAGAAGGATTGCTTCATTGTCCCCTTTGTTTACTGGCAGCTTTGGTTCTCACTGCTTCTCAGATGTTCTTTGAAGACTGCTGGTAGCTTGAACATGATGCTGTGGGTCGGGACATATCTCCTTTCAACAATGGCCATTGTCTTTCACATATGCTGAAACAGGGGCGAGTGAAGAAGGCTGTGAATGACCTTGTGAAAGAACAGCCGTTTCTTTGTTTGAAGCTCCAAGATGGGCCTGGCCAGCAACTTTGTTCTTTGATGACATGACTATCAATGCTGAAAGACATTTGAATAATGTCGATTTGTGGATCCTGCCCTTCCTAAAGTTGTTATGTGCGCCGCCTGAACTTTAGAGGTTGCATGATTCTAAGGCAGGTTGCCAGCACCAAGAGGAAGATGGCTCCGAGTATTCAAGCCATATGTTGTCACCCGCTTTCTGTCAGAAAGCTGCATGCGATCCGTCACGGCAAGGACTCCAATGGCTGTCCCTGCGTTGGAAGACCTGAGCACTGGCTTTCTTGGCGTCAATCCAATGGAGCAGTTAACATAGAGATAGATAACTGAATAGCAAACGGTTTCAAAATGTTATAGGAGCTTCATGAATCGAGACCCTACACAAGCAAGATGAAGCGGACGACATTGTCTGAGGCATATGAAATCGATATGTTCTTAACTTAGATATCCAGGCAATCCCGCATTACATATTTTCTGGCGTAAAGAACACATGTAGCGCGCAATATTTTGACATGTTGATGTCGATTAAGGGAGGTCACGGGGCTCCGTTGAAGTCACTGACTGCGGCGCCACTTCCGCCGTCAATTCAGCAACACCACATCACCACCCACTACGGAGTACAACAACACCAGGATATCGCCTCTCATCGACTCAATTGACCATCTCCAATGATTACTGTGTCTTGTGGATATGTCATGGATTCCGACTCCAATCAAGTCACGTCACATTACACCGGTCTCGAGTCTCTCGACCTCAGGCAGAAGAGATCACAATCCACACTGACACATCTCCACATCAAACAACTCCATTTTGTATGAGCAATTTTTTCAAAACCCCCTCAACTATTGCTATCGAAGGACTGGGTTGGACAATAACAGGGCGCCCCAAATTTGAGACACCAGAGCTTCGAAATAAGCTTCTCACCTCCGCCAGCCCGTTAAATTAGCCGCCACGCGTCCGCCACTGAGCCAGCCCAGGGAGCGAGACCATTGCCTCGGTGGATACACCCATGCAGCCAGGCCTTCGAGAACCTTGCCTTTCCCCCTCGGTTCAGAACAGTGTCCCTGGCTCCGGCAACCCGACCTCACCCGTTAAGCTCAACCTCTCGGGGATGAAGCTCCTTTTAGTTGCAGATCCGGCTGCAGATCGGGTCCATATATTGGCGGACTGGTGGATCTCGGAGATCACGCTCACCCGTTATACCTGCCATGATTGTGAGCAGTCTTCGATGCGGTGAGACCTCAAGCGCTAGAATTATGTCGAAGTTCTCGCCAGAAAGAAAAAGTGAGAAAAAAACATACATCATACCACCTGTTTAGTCAAATCGAAAGTGTCCAAGTTGCTGCTGGTGCGACCGTCAGTGACAGTCGGTACGTTGCCCCCGGGAGGATCTCCCGGTCGCCGTCCAGTAGTGTTGGGTAATTGGCTTGGCGATGATGGATACTGCCCGTGCGGTACTACCAAGCATTTCCTGAGTCGGGAGTTAACTCAATTCATAGTTAGGATTGCCACTCCTGATTCCCTGATCTGCAATTCGCACCTGCACACCACTCAGCTCACCATGTACGCCTGGTATGGAATGTTGGCGTCAACTGCTACAACAAATTTATTAGGCTTGCATAGGGCTATCGAGACGTCTCATCGTATATTCGGGTTTCGTAGGGTTCGGAATACTGCTACTCCGTGCTCCAAAATGAACTTTGCCGCTTGCTGAGATGGACCAAGGGTTCATGGCGTTCATCAACTCTCTAGACACCGGCCACGGCACTCTGTGCTATGTCGAAGCACCTACCACGTCAAGCTTCGATCTTTGACATCCGTAAGGGCTTCCAATCTCCGATTATCGCCAGGTTTCACCTATACAATTGGGATCCATTCGCATTCCTGTGGTCAGACATGGCGGGTGGCCACGTCAACAGACAAACATATCCCCAGAATACTTGGAGTCAGATCTTAAGGTCTGCTATTATGATTGAGTCCTAACATTTAGCTTTGCCATAGCGAAAAAAGGGGACCACGAGCTCAGTCAGAGCCCTGCAGATCGGTGGAGCCAACCGCAGTGTGCTACCCAGGGGCTCGCTGCGAGTGGAGCGGAAGCCCAAAGCTAATGAGTGAGCCTGCCCGATAACACGCATGGAACGAGTGATCATGCAAGGGCCTTACAACCGTCGTCATACAGCTCTTGTAGTGGAAAGACACTAGTAGTATCCCATTCACATGTACCCACCACCGTGTCAAGAAACAACGGGCCAGCCGGGGCAGGTTCGGCGACTGGGGAAGTCAGAGGGAACCGAGGGGAGCCCCAGAAAACCAGTCAACTGCACAGCAAGGGCCACATACCAGGGAGATCCGCTGTGTGGACGCGCGTTGCCTCCTCCAAACGAGGAGATTACCCACCGATCTGCTTCAACCAGTCTGGAGCATTGTGCGCTCTCAGCCTTCTATCAGATCATTTATTACCTTGCTTGTATTCATTGAGACATGGCTGGGGTCATTCCGCACAGCATCTTTCTCTTCGAACTTTCTTCAATTGTCTGTGGCCATCATGCCGGGGGACCCTCCAAACAACCTCGAGTACTCTCATGCTTTGAAGCTGGAGTCGAGCCTTGAGAGCGCCGACACGATTTTCGGTGAAAAGCAGGCCATTCACGTGGAAACCGAGGCGATCTACTCGGTTGATAGCAGCGATTGTTCTCAAGATGGGGGTGAAGACTTTGTTTATTGGGATGGGCCCAATGACCCTCAGAATCCTATGAATTGGGCAAGTTGGCGGAAATGGGTCATCATAGGATTGATCTCCGCGAGCAGTTTCAACGTGTAAGTCTCTACCCTGTCATGAAGCCCATGGACAAATACGACTGACTCGCTTCCCAGCTCGATGGTATCCACAGTATTTTCGCCCGGTGTGCCAGATGTCCTGAAAGAGTTTCACATCACCAGCTCCTCGATTCAGTCCCTCTTGACTACGATCTATGTCATGGGGGCTGCAATTGGCCCCATCATTCTGACGCCCATTACTGAGATGAGCGGGAGGTTGCCTATGACACACACGGCAAACGTACTTTTCACCGTGGCAGCTGCAGTCTGCGCCGCTAGTGTGAATATGCCCATGCTGATCGTGTCGCGTCTGATCATGGGAGTCGCAAGTTCAGTGCCGGTGACTGTCGGCGGAGGGTTCGTTGCCGACATGATGCCGATGGAGAAACGCGGAACAGCGATGACGATATGGACAGTGGGACCACTTATGGTACGCAACCACTCTAACAACAACTTATGCCTGAAACCTAACTATTGCTATAGGGAATGGTGACTGGCCCTATATATGGTGGCTACATGGTTCAAAATATTGGGTGGAGATGGACAATTTGGTTGGAAGTCATCTTGGTGAGTCAACTTGATTCGGACCCACAAGCTGTATCTAACAAGCACAGGGTGCGGTCATCGCGATTGCCTCACTGATCCTACTTCGCGAGACATATGCTCCTACAATTCTGCAGCGAAAGGCAATGAAGCTACACAAAGAAACTGGCCGTTCTTACAAGACGAAGTACGACACCGACAAGACTGCTGGACAGCTTCTCTGGGTCTCATTGACACGGCCGATCAAATTCCTCGTGCTGTCGCCTATCGTGTTGATCGTGACATTGTACAGCTCCGTCACCTACAGCTACATGTACATTCTCTTCACGACGTTCACCGATGTGTTCGAAAACGTCTACGGCTTCGGCCCCGGCGAAGCCGGACTCGCCTACATGGGACTGGGGCTGGGCTTCTGCTTCGGACAGGTGACGGTCGGATATTACTCCGACCGCTATCTCAAGAAGCAGGAGAAGATCCACGGAAAGATGAAGCCCGAAGACCGCCTCCCGCCCCTCGTGCTGGGATGCTGTCTGGTCCCGATCGGGCTCTTTTGGTACGGCTGGACCGCCGAGTACCGACTGCACTACATGGTCCCGATTGTGGGGACCTTCTTCGTGGGCGCGGGAATCTACTACGTCCATCTGGTAACGCAGGTGTATCTGATCGACTCGTACACGCTGTATGCCGCCAGCGCGGTGTCTGCGGAGCTCGCGCTGCGCTCGATCTTCGGGGCGACGATCCCGCTGGGCGGGGGTCCGCTGTATGACAAGCTCGGCCTGGGCTGGGGCAACAGCGTGCTGGCGTTCATCGCCGTCGCATTTGCGCCGACCTCTCTGTTCCTGCTAAAGTACGGGGAGAGGATTCGGACAAACCCCAAGTTCCAGCCCCGGATGACATGAGTGCGGCTTTTTACTCTCTAGTTAGCATAGCGATAATTTTCAGACAGGTACGGGGTAATTGTTGAAGCGTGGGGGGCGCTGCTCTGCATGTACTGTACATATTCCAGTTTAGATATGGAGCCTGTTGTGTGCATACAATAAGCAAACTTGATCCCAGTTTATAACTCGCCTGTCCCTTTCCGTTTCTCTGTGTTGTTTGATGATGATGATGGGTGTGGCTGGATGACAGCCAACAACGAGATGAAACGTCTCCCTTTCCTTGGCAGGGACATACCCCGGCATGTTGCTGCGAAGCAAGTACTGCATAAAACCCCCAACATTACTGGGCGAAGCTCATTAGTGCTGACCTAGTGTTCCAGCACTGACTTCATCTCCATGATGTTATTACATTCCGGCCCGCACATCTATTCTTGGAGCAGCCGCCGGTCCGACTGGACCATCTGACAAAAGCCTACGGGCTGTGCAATACCTTACTGTGCTGTACAGTACATGCATGCATGCATGCATGCATTATTTATGCTTATGCTTACATGCAGCACAAGCGTATATGGACAAAGTCTTTACTTGCTAACGAAAGACATGATGATAATTTAGGATCACTACAGATTATAGATTAAATTCAAATAATTTTATGCATCCATAAACACGTGAAGAACTGCACACGGACTCAAGAGCGAATGGATCTCATCGCCCTAGCCATGGATTGATTATATTTGATATTAGGTATTAGATTATGATAAGGAGCTAACCACCTTAGGCCAACAACATCGGCAGCAGCACCAACCTACATGAAAGTACAGTACAGGACCCCTCTCTCACCTCACCAAATCTCCATCTGCTCCTCCGACAGCCGCGGCCTCGTCGCCTCCCACACGGCCCGCCGGTTCAGATACCACCGCCACTTCTTGTGCGCGTACTGCTCGGCGAACATCCACGAGAGGTTTGGGATATCATCTGCCAGGGAGAAGTCGGGCTCCTCGAGCTGGATGATGCGTTGATAAAGCTCCGGGACGCGACGGAGGTCGTGCGGGACGTGGAACAGTGATTTCAGGGCGGGTTGGTAGCGGACGAATTTGCCTGTGGTTGTAAGCTTGGCGGGGACGGTGGGGAAGGTGGAGGGGTGGAGGGAGGTGAAGATCTGGATGAATGGGGGGCATTGGATCAGGCCGTGGATCGGCGGGGGGGAGGCGGGTTGTGCTTGTTCTTGGGGCCAGAGGGGATCTTGGCGGTGCTGCTCGAAACTACACCACTGCAGCAGATTGGCGATGGCTTTGTCCCAGTCGAGGTCGCCGACGGGGCAGGTGTAGATGTGGATGAGGAATCGCGCGCCCTGGACGTTGAGGGTGTGCATGTCGTCTGGGAAGCTGAGGACGGTGCAGCCGGCGTAGGTGTGGGCGATTGGGGCGCTCCAGTCTTCCGGGTCGAAGGCTGGTATAGGAGTCTCCGGTTTGGGAGGTGGTGTACTTGCTAGAGAAGAAGTGTCAGAGCTTGGCGTCGCTGCTGTCTCGAACACTGAGTGTGGTGTCGGTGGAGCAGATCGCTGGGATGCAACGCTGGATAATGCTTCTGTGTCGCTGGGCTCGATAGGAGGAATCCTCTGCTCGTTGGCTGCGTGCTTGGATGGTTCCATATGATTGCTGGGGTTGGATGTGAGAAGATTTCAAGATATGCAGGAGGTGTTGGACGTAGAACCTCTGGCAAACAAAGGGAGATTTATACCTGACACCATGGTTGGTCTATGGTCATACCTATCTTTTGTCAAACAGCAAGTAAGACATTATGACGGAGAGAGCTGTTGTATACTCCTGAAGGTCTCTTTGTCTCTGCCTTGGGTCTGTCTCGTGGGAGAAATCTCATCTTTGTGAGCTGCGTGGTGATTCTCGCTAAACCTTTCATGGTGAATCCCTCTAAGAAAAAACGATTGCTGACGAGACACGCCATGAATGATATTGAATTGGGTAGATGTTGGATGGATAAGTTGCGGATAAGGCTGGATCCTGTGAGATGCTAAGCCTTGGTGCCTGGGGCTTAGCCGCGGGGGGGTTCCGCCGTCACCTGATCCATGCCTCCAATTGGCATCTCATCCAGTTCTGCAGCCAACATCCGTCGATCAAACAACATCATGCACTTCCTATATACCGGATTAGGATATCATGAGCCTTGGCTTTGGCCCGACACATTGCTTACCATTGAGACTTTGTCTCAGGACGTACCTACGACGGCACACCACCTTCCGCGCGAAGCACAGCCCTCGTGTGTGATAATGTCGCACCGGCTGCATCGCCCCCACATAAGACGGCGGGGTTCACCATGATTCAAGTTGTAGAGACTCCTGCCAGGACCAGGAATCATGAGTTGGAGGTGATATTTGTTTGTCGATATTAAGCTGCTTTGCCCCGTACCTTTCAGACTCCAAGCCATGTGTGTGTGTCTCTTGCCATACCAGCACCGCTTCCAAGATCATCATGTCAACTGCATTCATACTTACAGGCCTGCAGGATGCCAAAGTATCGAGGCCCGTCTTTACGGTTCGTATTCTTCTTGCGAGCCTCGAAACTCATACATCTGACAGCATCGCTAGGGAGTCCTCTGGACCTTCACTGCATCATCGACAGTCTTCGTTGTCGCTCGCATCATCATCCGCCTGAAGACCTTCCGACGACTCTTCCTCGATGACTTCTTCGTGCTTCTTGCCTGGGTACTCTCTGTCATCACCGGCATCGTCTGGCGGATCGAATCCCCGGTACTCTACGAGCTGTATGCCCTCAGCGCCGGCAAAACGCCTTTGACGCCGGGTGTCGTGCCGCGCTTGAACGCGTTGATGCGATTCGAAGCCCCATTCATGTTCCTCTTCTACACCACGCTCTGGTGTGTCAAGTTCTCTTTCCTGACGTTCTTCTACAAGCTGGGATCCAAAATCCACACCCATCGCAGATGGTGGTGGGTGGTCTCCGTCATCACCCTGGCAGTCTGGGTGATCTCGGTTGGGGACATTGACTACCAATGTAGTCTTGGAGGCGTGGAGTTTATCTTCGGTGAGATTGATGCTGACCTCATCCAACTCAGCTTATCTAATATTGGAGACAAGAGCAATGCAGCAAGCCCTACCACATCCGCTGGCAGAATGGGACCTTCTGGGCCAACTGCGCCGGGGACGTGATCACCGATCTTCTCAGTGAGTAGACCTACCAATATCGCTATACCTCCTTTCTCAATCCGCTAACAGACACAGTCCTCTCTATCCCCATCCTCATCGTCTGGAATGTGCGGATCTCCCTCACGAAGAAACTGATCCTCCTCGGCATTTTCGCCGCGAGCATGGTCATCGTGGCCGTGGCCATCATCCGCGTCGTCACCAACCACGCCCTCGACCACAACATGGATATGACCTGGCTGTGGATGTGGAGCTTCATCGAGATGGGCACCGGTAGGTCTCTCCGTCGTGTCTGTGGGTGCCTGTCCCCGGAGCTCACAAGTAACTGACCATCTGTCAGCAATTATGATCTCCTGCGTCGCCTCATTCCGCCAGCTCTTCGTCACCTCCCAGAACCAGCATCTCTACAGCCACTCCGCCTATCATCCGGGCAATCCTTTGCTGACAGCCCTGCAGCTACGGCAGACCAGATCTCCGACTGCAGGCCACAAGACCTGGCGCGGGTACGATAGCAGCTCCCAAAAGAGCGAGACGGCTTTCGTGGCGGTGGACCAGGTGCAGTCTCGGGAGCAGGGCGAGGCCGCTAGCATCCGAACCGAGAGTGAAGCAGGTCGAGGGCGATTTATTGAGCATGTCGCTGTATAGTATAGCCTGGTGTGGCCGGTGAAGCTCGGACCTTGGGTGCTGGTCTCGTAGAGTATGATTTACGTAGTATGATGTATGAGCTGAATATGATTTGATTGTTGGTCTCGGTGGCGGGCTGTCCCCTTCATATCGAGGGTTTCGCTTCGTGCGGATTGCCTTTTTTAGTGATTTCATCATAAGTGAGAACTTGTCTGACAAATGCTGTAGGCTATCCTCGACTCCTTCCGCGCTCATTCAACCAGTGATGGGAATAAAAGAGAATCTGCTGATATGAGTCAATACCCAGGCAGGCGGAAACCACCACGAACATCTACCCACAACAACCCCAATCCCCAACCCAGACACCCACCAGCCACCGAGATGTAAAAGCAATCACGAAACTCCACCTTTAAGGCTGAACCGCAGGGACCGTGTTACTCTCTACGCGTCGCCAGGGGCACAAACCCCCCTCTAGCCAATGACAGCGCCCCCTCCGTCGAGATGTCAACCGATCACGAAAAGCCGCATTTAGGGCTATTCCACCACTGAGCAGAGTCCGGGACGCGTCGACAGGGGTCGGATGTGACGGGGGCCAATCAGAGCGTCGGCGCTGGGCGAGATGTCAACTGATCACGAAAAGCCACTTTTAGGGCTGGGCTCCGCTCCTTGGACGTGTTGGTTGGGACGCGGAGAGACTAGCCTTGGGTGTGGGGTGGTGCCATGTGGGATGGCCGGATGGATCTTATCTGATGGTGCTTCTTGGAGTGGTCGGGTGGAAGGTGGTGTACTGTACAGGAGGTGGATGTGTAGGTGTTGAGTCATTAAAGAAGTGGGTGGTGGTGGTGAGGTGAGGTGAGTTGAGGTTACATTGTTGTATCAATATCAATCTCGATATCGGCCCATCCATATTTTTGTTAGACAGTGTATATCAACGCCACTGAAGTCTGAGTTCCTCTCCCACTGGTATGGTAGTGTGAGCGGACCAAGGGGTGGGCTATTGACCTATTACACCTTACACCTTGAGTACCATCACTCAAGGCGTCTGTTGCAGCTAGCGCAGCCACCATTCTGCGTTGGATATCCACTGACACCTTTATCAGCAAGACCCACTCTCTGCTTCACAGGATGAGCGCCATAGTCGCATCCTTTAGACAGCTCAGCCTGCATACCTGGGCCCTTGTGGGAGGGACTCGGATACAGACCCATGTCTCAAGCAAGTCGAACGATAACCCTAGCTAGACCCAAGTTGCCAGAGTCATTCATATTTGTCACAGACCTGCAAAAGTCCTAACCATCCCCCAAGCAGGGAATAAGTGCCATATCTGCTCCTTTGGTAGGAAATGCGGGTCAAAAGAAGTGAAGGCCGGCCCAGATCCGGGTATCAAGGTGATCGGGAAAATCGACCGCGTGAGATAGGTCGATATCAGTTTCCTCCTCGCGGTGGGCCAGCCAATTTCCTTATAATCCCCCGTATACCAATCGGGCAGTCCATTACCAAGCTCACGATTCTAATACTCGATTTATTTCTGTGTCAGTAGAGTATCGCAGCCCGACCAGAGTGCCTGGTGCCTGTTTAGCCTCACCAAACAGGAGTTGAGCCGCTTCTTACACTCCCATTGCCTATTTGGGACAAACACATTGCAGAGTTGCCGAAATGTGAGAGTCCTCTAGCCAAGTAACACAGTAGAATAACAGTATTCGCTGTGGGTGAATAGTATGACTTGGGATCATGGAACGATAGGCAGCCTCCCAGCCCCGCGCGCCGTTTGCTCTTCATTCACTCGCCTCCAAAAACAACAACCATCCTGCTTCTCTCCCTCTAGCTTTTTCTCCTCCTCTTCTCTCTTCAACCCTCTTGAACCTTCTTCATAGATTATATTCTTCAACACTATTCATCATATATTCTATCCTAACCCCTCAACCTGATTCCGCTGTCCTCCAGCTGTCAGCAGCAGCTTCTCTCAGAAGTCGGCCACACCGATACACATCCACTGCTGCAGGCTCTCTGTACACGCAGACAAATATTTGGATTTGATCGTGGGACTCAAACCTAAGCATCCCGTTCCCAGAGGCACGGAGCCACGTTGCTATGGCTGACCTCAAATATTTCAATGAAAGTCTTTCCCGTTCGCTCATTGCAGCAGCATCATCGGCAGATCAGCTAGCGGTAGACACAGAGAAGAGGGCTGCATCTGTGACCTTGAACACGGAATCACCAACAGATCAGTACCTTATTACAGCTCACCTGAATTCGCTGCTGAACCCCCTTTTCGACTCGCGTGATCATGTCTCGGTGCTGGAAATGAGACCCGGCCCGAAGAGCATCCTTCATTATCTCTCCCCCCGTCTGAGACGCAAGGTCTGGAGATACACCGCAATTGAACCGGATGATAGGTATGCTACAAGGTTAGAAGAATGGCTTCACTCCACATCTGAGACGGGCACTCCTCTACCTTGCCTCGAAAGCCCGCCGAACATCCGTCGAATCCCCCTTGACATGGCTTTCCCTACATTGAGTGGTACCAGGCCAGTTGCATATGATAGCAAGGAGAAGTTTGACGTCATCTTATTCTCTCATGAGACACACTCCGTGCTTCGATTTGCGTCCATGCAATGGACATTGAAAATGCTCGTGAAGCGACCCGAGGGTGGGATGGTGGTGATGATCCATGACGGTACACTGCCTATGTATGTGACCGGATTAGTGTGCCACAAAACAGTTTCTCTTCCTCCCCGAACTTTTCGCGTGGTAGATGACGATAAAGTGCTGGATCGTCTTGCGCATTGAAGCACACTGTCCAACCCCGGGAACAGGTGGAAGAGATTCTGCCGCGGCATGGGCCGGTGCGAGAAAAAGGACTCCGATTATCTGTTGTTCGACTTGCCCACAAGTATTACGGTCTTCCGAGAGCATGCGAACTCGTTTGGTAAGCTGACAAGACACGTGCCCATGTAGAACGAGCCATTGAAGGATCGAGTGGCCCGCCTCAATCATTCTCCCTTGATCGTTATACCGCGGAACATCCAACATGTTCAGCATTGCGTTAGATGGGCCCTGAAGCATGGGTCTGGTTTGACAGTCATTGGCGGGGGTCACAGTGGCCACTGTATGCGGCCCCACATTGTCTCAGTCGACATGATCGAATGTCACGGAGTACATATTGTCCCGGTTGAGGCTGGCACTGGAGATTCGAATTCTGATTCTGGGTCTGTGGTAGTCGCTGGAGCGGGCTGCAAGACAAGCGATCTCATCAAGAAGACTATGGAGGTGGGCTTGACGGTGCCCTTGGGGTCACGACCGAGTGTAGGAGCGGGACTGTGGCTGCAAGGCGGCATCGGGCACCTGGCTCGGCTATGCGGGCTTGCATGCGATGCCATTGTTGGCGCTGTACTTGTCAGCGTTGACTCAAGCCAAGTCCTCTGCATAGGCGATGTGCCAACCAAACACAGGCCTGCTGGTGCTATCCGCCCGGGAAACGAATCCGATCTACTTTGGGCGATAAAAGGCGCTGGAACCAACATCGGCATTATAGTCAGCGTCACTTTCAAGGCTTTCGCAGCTCCGACCTATTCCGTGCGAAACTGGGTCCTCCCTTTGACTGATAGCTTCTTCGGATGGAAGCACTGTACAGTACAGTACTCAACCTATTTATTCCTCTTCTCCTCCAAAATGTAAAATACTAGGAACTGGCACATCCTCCAGATAACAAAGGAGTCCACCCCTCAAATCGCTGAAGACAATCATCGAGGACATGAAAAGCACAGACCCCGGCATGGATCATACTGCAGTACACGACAGCAAGCACTGTACATGTAAGTTTGCTTCCACTGCACTGCACGGCACTGCAGTGCATTGCAGCCACCACGCAACCTTCCATGCCTCTGCCCCTGCAAAACAGCCAGCGCTTGCACCCTTTCCTGTCTTATCAATTATCAATTATCATTAACCAAGCAAAGCTTGTTCCAGCATGAAAGCAAGCCACATGCCACCCTCGCGAAGCCAGCATTCCAGCCTGTCTGGCTGTGTGTCTGCTCGTCCGTCTTGTACTTCCACATCTCTCAGCACAACACCCTCATGGACATAGAACATATCAACCGGATCATTCAGAACGAAACAAAATAAAACAAATAAGATGTCTCAGGCGCCCCTCATCAACCAACTACCACTTATGCATTGAAAAAGAAAAAAAAAAAAAAACCATGAAAAACATCAAGTCCAACCACAACCCCCTTCCCCAAGAATGTTAAGACACGCCCCAATCATCATATCATCCCTTCTTCCACCACCACCACCCCTTCCACACGCCCTCAACGCGATACCCTCGAGGGATCGACACTCCGAAACATACCACACCCAGCACGAGCACCAGCACCGTAGCATACATATGTACTGTACACCTCACCCTCGTAGCCCTCCCTCCCTCTCTTCTCTCTCTCTTTCCCGTGAGCAACCGCCATCCAACAACAACCACCACCACCACCACCACCACCACCGACAAATCCAACCCAAATCTAACAGGTACAGTACACCACCACTCCTTCCCTACCCTCTCCACCCCAAAAACCAACCAAAAAAAAACAAGAACTAACATCAACCACCAGCCTTTCCCTCCCGAAAAAAAAATGAGATTCTCCATTGCGGTCGTCACCTCCGTCCTCGTCGCCATGGGCGTGGCGATGCCGATTCCCGTGCGTTTTCCCCCCCCACAAACACCCACCCACTCCTATCAGCACTAGCACTGTTCTATACGTTTTACTCCACCCCTGCAGATACAGTCGGAGATACAACTACTAACACCACGCTGCCGCAACTACTAGACCACGAGCAAGGCTCCCCGCATGGACGGGTCGGATCTGTTCAGCATGATCGAAGGCATGGGCGGGCTGGACGGGGTGTTGAAGAGTATCCAGATTTCTTCGCCGTTGAATTCGGCATTGGGGCAATAGATGGTGGGATTATATTGATCGGGTTATATGGTTGGTTGGTGGCGGTATGTCTGGAGAAAGGACGGGGGATTACCGGGTAAGGTATGGTGTGGCGATGAGTCAATGAATCTTCATTATTCAAAGTGCGAGCATCAAAGTCAAAGTAGACATGTCATTCGTAAGGTTTGTTTTAGGGAAACTATTCGTGGGACTGGGAATAAGAATATCGTTCTCGGAAGAGTAGGCCGTATCACACACACGGAATCAGTGCTTCGAGCCTGACCTCTGGTGTCAACAAAAGAAGCACTCGTTTTAATCATGCAATCATCAACCGAATTTCATCGCTGTCGTGTCGAATCGTAATGAGCGTGACGAGGTCGTATAACAACAAAAACAAGAGTCCAAGTAACAACAAAAAAAAGGAAGGGTATCAGTTTGGGTCATCCAATAAGGAAGGCCTTCAATCTTCCATGTCCAAGTCGGTTACCTCCACACGGGTAGCCAGCGCCTGGGTACCCTCGCGGATCAGCGCCTCGAGCTTCTTCTCCATCCTCCGCATGCTGGCGTTCCCCTCGCGCTCCATGCGTCGCATTTCCGCCATGTGGCGCTGCGTGTCCACGGACACCGGACTCTCACGCGGCATGGCCGGCGAGGAGAAGTAGGGTTGACTCGGCAGGGACGGCGCATGCGACTTCAGCACCCGCTTGTTTTGGGGTCGTCCCCGACGTGAGGCGTGATGGGCGGCGGTCGTAGTGCGGCGGGGAGCCCGCCTGGGAGTGGTGCTGCGATTGGTGGCGAGCGAGGACGACGGGCTGGACGACTTGCCGGCGGAAACCATCACCCAGCTGCGCTGTAGATCGTCCTCGTCGGGATACTCGCCGGGGAGAGGGGTGGATGGTCCCCGCTGACGCTGACGCTGACGGAAATGGGCGGTGGGAGTGGCCGGCAGGGATTCTTTCTCGCTGGCCGGGGATGGGAACGACGGCGAGAGAGCATCCTCCTCGCTGCTCATGTTGTATCCGCGGCCGCCGCCGGCGTAGAACCCCCGAAACGCTCCGGACCAGCAGAAATCCCAGACCTTGCCGACCACGCCCAGAACAGCCTTGCTCCAGCGGACGGGTGCGGCATCGGATGGGTCCGGTGTGACGTTCGGAGGAATACCCTTTTCATCCGGGCCGGTGGGCGAGGCAGCGATCAGGGAAGGGTCCCGACGACTGCGTTTGCGACGAAGACCGCCGGCCTCGCTGAGAGAGTCGACGCTGGCATCGAGAGGGAATGGATGGGCCGGCTCGCGATACCGGCTGGGTCGATAGTCGAGGTCGACGATACCATCGGCGCTGTGTAGGAGGTCGTCGGGGCTGATCAGTGACGGAACGGTAGGGCTAGAGGCGCCATCGATTTGCAGCCAAGAAGAGCGTTGGTCGAGGTTGGGACGAGCCCGTTTGCGAGGCGGGATGGCGATAGAGCGATACAGCGCCGATGAGGCTGACGGCGAGGGAGGGACTTGGAAGAGCTGCGAAGGCGCCCCGGCCAGATCGAGATGAGGAGGAATGGGCGAATCCAGAGTGATCGAACCGGTGGGCATCCTTCTGGTGCAGCAATCACTTGTAGAGGATGTGCCGATCGAGATGAACCATATAGAAGAATGAATCTGAGTGATAAAAACAAAACAACAAAACAAAAGGAGTTGGGGAGGAGGGGGGATGTTGATGCAAGTGGGTGGAGTTGACGGGGGGGGGGGGGGGGGGGGGGAAAAGGGGGGGGGGGGGGGGGGGGGGGGGGGGGGGGGGGGGGGAGATGGAAAAGTGAGAGGGAGGAAGTGAGGAGGAAGAGGAAGAGCAAGAAAGAAGAGAAGAAGATGGGAAGGAAAAAAGAACGGGGAAACGGAGGTGAAAGAAAGTCACCCCCCAACAATACCTCATTTTTCCGTTTACACCCCAACCAACCTCTTCTTTATCGTTGCTTCTCTACTTTCTTCATGGCTTCTCGAATCCTCTCTCATTCACATAACACATTACAAGAAGTCGAGGAAGTAAAAATGGTCTCATTTAATTCGTCCTTCATCTACAGCTGACTCTTCCACTCTCTCCCCGCAGCGCGCAAGCCATCCTCGCCATCGACCAGGACACACCAACCCTCCGAGCCTCGGCCTCCCGCGCCCACCACCGCCGCCGCAAAATGTCCCTCCAGGTAGTCCAGCACCGCCTGGTCGTAAGTGCCAGGCTGCAGGAAGACAGCTGGGATGCCGACCGCATATGCTTCGCGAAGGAGAGCGAGAGTCACCGCGGGGGGAGTCACCACCGACAGCGACGTCTCGGTCGGAGCGGGCAAGTCGCGCACCGAGGCGACCGTCGGTAGACTGGTCGAGTGCAGTTGGATGGAGGCAGCGCGCGGGTTGAGGGGCGTAACAGGGAGTGAATGGTGGTAGTACCACGCCAGAACTAACTGCGTCAGCTATGGTTTTCGTGGTTCTTATCGAGCAAGATTGGATAAGGCCTACTGCGATGGCCGAATTTGGCCGGGTCGTTGCTCGCGCCGGCCACGGCGAAGCGCGGCGAGCTGAAGAACACTTTGACGGCTTCCATCGTAGCAGACATTGTGAATGGGCCTTGGTTGGTAGAATCTTCAGCACAGAGGTAAATCGAGTTTCTGAGACTGTGAGGGATAAACTGGTTGACGGTGCGCAGGTGATAAGAACCATCTGGGGAAGAAAGTGGAGAAAGAGGAAAGCCGATGAGGGGAAATCATTTCCTCATTTCCTCAGCGTTTCTGCTCGTTGCTCTTTGTTCCGCCTTCAGCACATCTACTGTACTGTACAACACAACACGACAACCACCACCCCTTCCCTTCCCTTCCCTTACCATCCACTCACCTCCCTCCAATCCAACTGATAGACTACACACTTCTCTCCTCCGATTCATCCTCCCAAGTAGACCCAATCAATTGCGTGCATGCCCCCCTTCGTCTCGCGCAAGCGTGTCTCCGACGAGGATCCGCCCGCGCCCAAACGTCATAATGCGACGCCCGCCGTCGCCGCCGTACTCGACGATGACACCGACTCCTCCTCCACCGACTCCTCACTAAGCGACGTCCCTGACGATCTCCAAGACACCCCAAATCCAGGTAGTACCAATGACTCCGCCGAAGATAGCAGCAGTAGCGAGTCCGAGGAGGTCGATTGGGAGGATGCGTTCGAGTCCGGCACCGGCACCGCCAGCGCCAGCGCCGGGGGGGCCGCCACGCCACTAACACCCTCGATCCTCGCCCCCGTCCACCAACACCAGGACCTCGAATTGACCCTCGACAAGAACGAAGTCCACCTGGCCGACATCGTCGAGGGCAAGAAGGCCCCCTCCAAGATCGAGCGCCAGATCCGCATCACCACCCACTGCCTGCACGTGCGCTTCCTGCTCTACCACAACGCCCTGCGCAACGCCTGGGCCAACGACCCCAAGCTCCACGAGATCCTGCGCCGGAAGCTCCCACCCGCCCTGCACCAGGAAGTCAAGAAATGGCGTGTCTCGTCGGGGCTGGAGCTGCCCGACCAAAAACCGCCGGAGAAGAAGCCCACCCGCAAGGGCAAGGGGAAAGGAAAGGGCAGGCAGCACCAAGAAAGTCGACCGTCTGAGCGGGACTGGACCGAGGGCTCCGAGCGGCTGGAGGCGGGACAGCCCGACTTGAGTCGCGGGGACCCGATCATCCCGCTGCTCAAGGTCCTGGCCGCCTACTGGAAGAAGCAGTTCACGATCACGGCGCCGGGCCTGCGCAAGCAGGGGTATCGACCGATGGCGCAGCTGGAAGCGCAGATCGCCTCGCTCCGGAACGACGCGCACGACCCCGCCATCCACGGGGAGCGGATCGCGGACCTCGACGAATTCCGCCAGGCGGCCGAGCGCATGCAGGGCTCGCGCGATCTGGGCGCGCAGCTCTTCACGGCGCTGCTCCGCGCCCTCGGCATCGAAGCCCGCCTGGTGGCCAGTCTACAGCCGCTGGGGTTTGGCTGGACCAAAGCCGAGACCTACACCCCCAAGCAGCAGTCCACTAAACCCGCCGACACCGAGCCCGCGACCGACGCATCGACTGCAGCGGCCGATACGGACGAAGTCATGGGCCTGGAATCCGACAGCAGCAGCGACGCCGCAACCGAACCGCCATCGCGCAGCAACAGCAAGAACCTCAGGGGATACGACAAAGACCTCCCGTTCCCGATCTACTGGACCGAAGCCGCCTCGCCGATCACGCACGAGATCATCCCCGTCGACGCGCTGGTCCTCCCCAACGCCGTGGCCACCACCCCGGAGCTGCAGGCGGCCTTCGAACCGCGGGGCGCGAAAGCCGAGAAGGCCAAGCAAGTGATCAGCTACGTGATCGCCTACTCCTCCGACAAGACGGCCAAGGACGTCACGACCCGGTACCTGCGGCGACGGACCTGGCCCGGCAAGACCAAAGGCTTCCGCATCCCCGTCGAGAAGATCACCATCCCCACCCAGCACAAAAGCAAACGCAGCAGCCGCCCCGCAGCCCCAACAACAATCACCTACGACTGGGCGCGCGTCGTGCTCCGCGTCTACGAACGCTCCCCCAAGCACGAGACCGCCATCGACGCCCTGGAAAACAGCACGACGCTCCTGCCCAACCAACCCGAACGCAAGAACGCCACCGCCACCGGCGAGACCCCAGACACCCTGCAAAGCCTCCGCGCCTCCCCCGACGTCGTGCTGGAACGCTTCCTCCGGCGCGAAGAGGCCCTCAAGCCAGGCGCGCAACCCGTCCGCACCTTCACGGCAGGGAAGGGCCCCAAAGCCAAGACGGAACTCGTCTACCGACGCGCCGACGTCGTGCGATGCCAATCCGCCGAGAGCTGGCACAAGGAAGGCCGGCAGATCATGGCCGGCCAGACGCCCCTGAAACACGTGCCCATCCGCGCCGTCACGCTGCTTCGCAAGCGCGAGGTGGACGAGTACGAGCGCGAGACCGGCCAGAAGCCCAAGCAAGGGCTGTACGCCAAGTACCAGACCGAATACATCATCCCCCCGCCCATCGTCGACGGCGTCATCCCCAAGAACGACTACGGGAATATCGATTGCTTCGTCCCGAGCATGGTGCCCCGCGGCGCGTGCCACGTCCCCTGGCCGGGCACGGTGCGCATCTGCAAGAAGCTGGGGATCGATTACGCCGAGGCCGTCACGGGGTTCGAGTTCGGGTCCAAGATGGCGGTCCCCGTCATTCAGGGGGTGGTCGTCGCGGCGGAGAATGAGGAGCTCGTGAAGGATGCGTGGCGTGTTGAGGAGGCGGAGAAGCGGAGGAAGGAGGCCCGCAAGGCTGAGGCCAGGATCTTACAAACCTGGCGGAAGTTTTTGTTTGGGTTGAGGATTGCGCAGCGCGTGCGGGAGGAGTATGGGGGTGGGGATGGGGAGGCCGGGGAGGGCGATCGGGAGAGGGAGGAAAGGAATCCGTTTACGAGGCAGGTGGTGGGACAGGTTGCGGAGAGTGCGGGGGGGACACCTGGGGTTGAGGCTGGTGCTGGGGAAGGGAATGGGGATGGTGGCGGGTTCTTACTTCCTGGCGAGGATGAGGAAGATCGCGGCGGAGGCTTCCTCCTTCCTGGCGAAGACAGCGAGTCAAACCGAGGCGGAGGCTTCCTCCTCCCTGGCGAAGACGACTCGTCAGATCGCGGCGGAGGCTTCCTGCTCCCCGACCAAGAAGACGCCAACAACGACGAAGATGACGACGACGACAACGACAACGAAAAGCTGATCATCGTCCATCAACGTCGCCAACGGGCTACCCCACCTCTCGCCGTTGCTGCTGATACTGGCGATGATGATGACGACGACAATACCCCCGCTACGGCTCCCAGCGATAGCGACGAGGAGATGACTGGCGCCGGCGCTGGCTCTGGCGCTGGCTCCGGGAAATCCCAGGCAGACGCCATCTCGCTCAGCTCCTCCAGCTCCGACAAGGAACTGTCCCCTCCTCCGGACGAGATTCCCGACTCGGAAGACGACGAGGAGAAGTTCGTTGCCGAGTATAAACCGCCGACCACACGCAGACGGACGCGTGGTGGGGGCAGAGGAAGAGGAAGAGGCCGAGGTCGAGCGAGAGGGAAATGATAGCCTGCTTGCTTGCAGCCCAGGCGCTTTCGGTGTATCTTTTGATCAGTGGCGTTGGTGGATTGTAAACCCTAATCGGAGCATGTAGAGGAATGGTGCACAACGACGGGATGTGAAATGCAAAACATGTATTATATTATGATGTATGGGTCTGTTTTCTACTATATTGGCATGGGTATAACTATCAACGTAAGCATGGCTCATATACGGTCTATCACGTATCATCATCATAATCTTCGTCTGGAGGCCAACGGCGTCTGATCAAGGTACCCTCTCTCGAACTCGTCCACATCTATATCGGCGTCCAGGTCGAAGTCCCCAATCGGACTGATATGCACCGCTGGCGACGCGATGGGACTATGCGCGACGCGCGGCCGGGACTTGAACACACTGGCGTAGTCCGCTTCCTCGTTGAACAGTTCATCGCGCGGGGTGGAGGCCCGGCTGGGAGATGGCTGTTTCCGGGGCGTCTCGAATTGGTTGACAGGGAACGAGGGACGAGGCCGATGTGATCGGAATCGTTCCCGAGGCTTGATGTGTGTAGGTGGTGGGACTAGAGACATCGATTTGCGGGTTCGTTCAACAAGGGTAAATCTATTGCTTGTGTTCGTATTGAGTTCGGGATGTTTCTCGTCTAAAGCGGAGCCATGATGGTCCTCTGTCTGTGTTGGTGGAATGTTCTCTTTCTTGGTCGTGGTGGGTTGAGCAGGTTGCTCTTGGTCGACAGGCGACAATGTGTTGCTCTCTTCAACCGGTGTGCTTTCCTCTGCCGGTGCGGAGGGAACAATGACAGGCAATTCGCGCAATTGTCTTGATTCGCTGACATGCCGACGATGTGTGGAGGGCCGACCATTGATGCGTGCGATGGCTTCTGTCATGGAGAACAGAAGGGTTCGGTCTTCGGCCTTCAGGGAAGCCCTTTCCACCGGCTCTCGGATGGCCCTGGAAATACTCGCAACGGTCAATGCTTGATGATCACGAAACACCAACGAAGGCTGTGTCTTCTGGGAGCTGGTCGACTCTACGCGATTGTGCTTCCGCATATCAACGCTGTATTGACGCCAGCGCTGCATGCGGGCGCGCTGACGGACGACTCGTGACTCCAGGTCGACCAGCAGATCCGGCCTAGTGTTCGCGGTAAGATCGTCGACGCTCGACTCCTTCGCTTTTGCCCAGGCAGACTCAAAGGGCAGATCCAGAAAGCTATCATTAGTGCTCTGTGCGCCCGAGTGAAGCAGCGCATCAACCCATTGCTCGCGGCCATGCCAGTTGGCTCTGAGTTCGCCAGCCAACGCATCGAAGTCGACGTCATCACTAGAAATCGGTGGCGGCTGCTCAGTCGAACGCTCATCCAGCTGCCGTTCTTTGAGGTCCAGTAGCTGAGAGAACCTCGCCTGTGCATCTCTCGCTTGATCATAGTCGCTGTCAATATGGTTCAAGGAGGCCCGGTGAGCAATAATCAGAGGCAGCATCAGCTGATACTCCTGGAGGGTGAGGCCCTGAGCCATTGACAGGTTGGCAGCCACATTCTGAAGCCTGGAATCTGAAGAAGCAGCCAGCGTTTTCCGTAAGACGACAGTGGAGAATGAGGCAAGGAGCTCGTCGAGTTTCTCGCCTCTACAATCATCCAGCATTGACTTCCGAAGGATTATTTCCCTGCCCAGGTCACCTTGCTTCTTCAACTCGGATAGCACGCGGAACAAGGCGGCGCGCAGATTGACGGACTGCAGCGGCTCGAGTGGAGGGAAGAAGGGGCGGAGTTTCTAGGCCACTGATCAGTCGGGCATGTTTGTTTATGTCAAAGGTAAGCGACGACGTACATCGCGTGCGGTGTCTGGATCCCAGATGGTGACTAGCTGGTAGAGAGCCCATTCGACGAGCTTGAGGCGCTGGCGCTGGTTCTGCGAGGTATCGGCCAGCGAGCGGAGGGTGATGTTGGGCCAGTCACGGTGCGTCTCCAGTTGGAGCAGCCGGAGGTTGCGGACAAACACGACGAGGGGCGGCGGGGGGGACCAGTTCGGGGTTTTGGGACGGGGAGTTCGGGCTTGCATGATGAATTACATCTGGCGATGTTAATTGCTGACCGTGAGAGAGTCAGAAGACAGACAACGTACCAGGATATACGGTAGAGGGAAGAGAAAGTCACTCGAGTGACGGAGGAGAGGCAGATGGGCGGGGCGAGAGAGAGCAGGTCGTCGGAGCCAACCCGGGAATATGAGGCGTCAACTTAAGTCAACAAAGAGCCCAAACGAGCAGATGGGTAGGACTTGGCAGTGACCCCACGATCAGACCTGTCCAGCTGATCAGAGTGAGCTCCAATTGCTGCTGCCACGACGGGGATGGCTCCGTAGGGATTGGACTGGAAGCATATCCATGCTGAGATGAAGATGGCGGCAGCAGCTCAGCGCACTGCATCCTCTCCTCCTCCCCGATCGGTGGACCATCCGAAGCCAAACCCAATCAGGTAAACACCGCTTTTTCTCCCCGCGTTTGCGTTTCTCTCTCTGCCTTTCTCGATCTTGCGATTTCCAGTCCTTTTCTCTTCTTCCCCTCTTCCTCTTCTTCAACCTCCTTCCTCTTGGGCTGTGATCATATACCCCTAGAACATCCACCAACCCTCTTCCTTCGCCAAGCAAAACACCTATCCCGCTCTCAAAATGGGCTCCGAAACCCCCACCAACGCCCTCTGGACCACCCAGTCCGGTAAGTAGACCCCTCGCAAACATCACCACGCTCCAAACAAACTCACCTAATTAAACTCCAACCAAGTCCTCGCAACCCTGCCCCACCCGCCCGAAGAGAACGCCAGCACGCCCATCCCGTTCTTCCACCTCCTGGAGCGGCTGAAGACGACCAAGCGCGAGGGCTGGCGCCGGTTCGGGATTAACGCGGGCGAATCCATCTCGGACCACATGTACCGGATGTCGATCATGACGATGCTAGCGCCGGCGGCGCTGGCGCCGCGGCTGAACCTGGCGCACTGCATGAAGATGGCGCTGATCCACGACATGGCCGAGTCGCTGGTGGGGGACATCACGCCGGTGGACAAGGTCGACAAGACGGAGAAGGCGCGGCGCGAGGCGGCCGTGATGGACTACATCGCCGGCACGCTGCTGGCCGGGGTGCCGGGCACCGGCGCGTCGACGGGGCAGGAGATCCTGGCCGTGTTCCACGAGTACGAGGCCAACGAGACGCTGGAGGCGCAGTTCGTGCACGACGTCGACAAGATGGAGCTGCTGCTGCAGATGGTCGAGTACGAGCGCGCCAGCGGCGTGGACCTGACGGAGTTCTGCCATGTGGCCGGCCGGATCCAGTTGCCCGAGGTGAAGGAGTGGGCGGCGACGGTGATGCAGGAGCGGGAGGCGTTCTGGGCTGGGAAGCAGGCGGCCGCTGCTGCTAACGGGTCGTCGTCGTCGGCGTGAGAGCGGAATGATGGGGCAATGACATATCTCCGGCGTTGTTGTTTTTGGGAGGGGCGTTTGATTAGGAAACCCACGATCACGATGGGGAAACATGAGATTCGGACATAGAGATTCGTTGAACCTACGGTTATAGACTAGCATGAATCAATCATAGCGCTCTACATCTGCAGCACTGCACTGTACACGTATATACTGGATATACAACGCCCCCCTTCCCCGAAGCCGACGCAAAAATCACTCATCCCCCTCCTTCTCCATCTCCATCTCCCTCATCAAAAACCTCGCCTCTTGCTCCATCTCCTCCAAACTCCTAGGATGTCTATCCTCATCATCCACCTTGGGAAACTTCCTCCTTCGGCCTCCATTCTCCCCCTTCCCCTCCACCGCTACACTATCCCCCGGCCCATCCTCCCGCTTCTCCGACAAGATCCTCCCCAAATCGCCCTCCTCCCCCTCCAACAACTCATAAACCGCATCCACGCCGCCCCGCGCCTCCAGATCCAGCTTCTTCCTCGGGATCACATGCGCATGCACGTGCGGCACGCTCTGGCCGGCGTCCACGCCATCCTGGATGGCGATGTTGAGGCTGGAGGCGCCGTACACGCGCTCGACCATGCGGGCGACGCGGCGGACGGTCAGGAACAGGTCGGAGGCTTCGGGCGGGGTGAGGTCGGCGACGCGGGGCACGCCGCGGCGCGGCGAGACGAGCACGTGGCCCGGCAGGATGGGCTTGAGGTTGACGAGGGCGTAGGAGTAGCGCGTCAGGTGGAAGACCTGCGTGGTCACGGGGAAGGGGCCGAAGTGGATCGGGCTGGCGTTGCGGATGGCGGTGGCCATGGCGGTGGACAGTTTCGTGGCGGCGGTGGTTGCGGACGCCGGGGTTGCGGGGGGCATTGTTGGTGGTGGTTGTTGTTGTTCTTGAGGTGTGGTGGAAGGAGAAGAGGAGGAGGGTGGGTTTGGTGGGGGATCGATTGGCATTGGATTGAGTTGTCTGGTTTTATGGGGGAGGATTTGGAAGGGAGAGGAGAGGTTGGTAGGTATATAGAGCAAGTAGAAGGAGATGTTGACTGAAGATCGCAGCGCAGGGTTGAAGTAGAAACAACTCAGTGGAGACCGATCGTCATAGCTCGAACTAGCTCTGAATGCACAAAAAAAACAGCAGCTCCTGTCGCCGGATTTAGCCGGACTTTACCACATCTCTACCTACCTAGGTATACATCTACTCTACTCGCCTCCCACAACAAATACAACACCAGTAGGGTATCATTAATTCTCGCTCGAGTTCGTATATTACATCGCTTTCCCACCCCCTCGGATCCAAAATCACACAAAATACAAACCGTGGTATAGACACAAGGCATCACATGAAAACGGAAACAATCGCGCAGCCGTACCTTTACTCCTTCTGCGCCGGCTCGGCCTCTGTGGTCTCAGTAGACAACTCGTCAGCTGCTGTCGTTTCTTCTGTCGAAGGTTCCTCCGTCGGAGCTTCTTCCGCGCCATCCATCGCCTCTACTTCGGCCTCCTTGGGCTGCTCCTCCTCCGCAGCTTCCGGCGCAGCCTCAGCTTCAGCTTCAGCGTTCTTCTCGGCCTTGCTCTCGGGCTCGGCCTCAGGCTCAGGCTCAGTCTCGGTTTGTGGTGCGATCTCTGGTTCATCCGCGTGTACCTCTGCAACAGTGACTTGCGATGCAGGGCTACCGGGTGACGTCTGCTCAGCAACCTGCTTGGGCTCTTCAGTAGCTTGCGGTGCCGGTTGAGGCTTGCTCGGACCACCGGCAGCGGCGGCAGCGGCGGCCACTGCGGCAGTAGCCGCGGCCACAGCCTGCTGCTTCGGCTGATCATCATCCTCAGCACTCTCATTGATGGTCGTCACCCCGGAGCTGATCGACGAGCTGCCCTTGTGCCGCCTCGTGGTGGCGCCCGTACTGATCGACACGGGCTCCATACTCACCGGGAACGGCTCGTTCTCCTTCCGCAAGATCGTCACCCTCCGTCCATCCCCATGCTCCAACCCCGTCGTCGCCCCCGCCGCTGCCGCAGCCGCCGGTTGCTGCTGAACAGTATCCAATCCCTCCGCTTCGGCAGGCACCGTGTAATTATCCTCTGGAATCAGACTGTACATGTCACAGACGGTCTTGAAGAAGATATAGAGTCCATCGTGGCCTTCCACCTGCCAGAACACCTCCCGGTGCTGGAACCACGCATGCGCGAAGATGCGATACAGCCGGCGGAAGATGTTCGTCAGGTGCCGCATGCTCGCCTGGGCGCCGCCGCCGCCCTCCGCGGCCAGCGTCAGGCGACTGGGGAAGTATTTGGGCGAAGTGAGGATGTTGGTCGCCCAGTCGAGGGTGTGGCAGCAGTAGTCGATGGCGCAGCAGGCCTTGGGCGGGTCGTGGACGGCGCAGAGGTACTGCCACTCGGAGGCCCGCATTTCCGGGCAAGTCTGCGCGGAGCAAGGGGGGGAATCGGCGAAGAAGGCGACGATGAGGTTGTTGACTTTCATCGTCAGGAAGCGGCAGAGCTCGTACAGCCAGAGCGAGCGGTCGACGCCCTCCGGGGGCTCCGCCAGCTGGATCGCAACATCGCGGCTGATGGGAATAACGGTATCGGAGCCCTCGGGTCGCGTGAAGTGGTTATACAGGGCCTTGAGGTGTTCCTGAAGTTGGAAGGGGGAGTCGAGCTACAGAGCCGAGGCAAAGGAGGCTGGGGGTCAGCAGGAGGGAAGATAAGCAGTCTCGCGACCAAACCCGGTTGGCAAAACTCATTCCATACCTGTGAAAGAGGAATCAACGGCGGACCAAAGGCCATATCGATGGCTCGAGTGCCCGGGCGAATGCGGCGAGTTGAGCCATCCTCGGCGGTTTGCGAAGCGCCCAGCAATTGCTCCGTCTCGGAGTCGAAGGACTCGCCGACCGAGGGTGATTTGGGCCCGATCTGCACCTCAGTAAACGGGGGCGGACTGGGTAAACGTGGGGAGCTGGCTTGCGAAACTCCCGCAGTAGCCATGACGGGTCAGAAAGAAAAAGGAGTGAAACTGAAAGAAGGAATGGAGTGGTTCAGAAGAAAAGCGAATGAAAGAGTAGTATTCCAGCCAGCTGGGAGGGAGAAGGAGGAGGAGGAGGAGGAGGAAGAAGCAGATTAGGTAGACGAGACGACAGCACTGCAAGGTCCGACGGGGGTTCGATAAACAAGCCGCTAAGAGTTAGATAAGATGCCGCGCGGGAAAGAAAGTTCCAGCCGCTGCCGTTCACCGCCCAACGGACCGCCTTTTGCCCTAAGCCCTAGGACCTGGCCTCATGGGGGAAAACGTCATTCCCGGAGCCATTCATCCCCCGGCTTTACTTCTACTACTACTACTGCTACTGCTACTACATACATACTATATCTAAGTCCATATCTTATACTCAGTACCTCTGCAAAGACCAACACCTACAACTACAATATGGACGACGAAGACGCCCCTCCCCAGTTGGTGGATGTATCCCAGCTACCAGCATCAGCGCCATCGACGTCAGAGGACACCCCGGAGGTTCAAGCCCGCGTGCCCATCACGCTTGTGACTGGTATGATGCGCGCGCCGCAATCCGTTTTACGTACCTCTACTTCCTAGAGTAGTAGGAACGAACAAACAAAATAGAACCCTGTAGATTCTAATCCTCGTCATCATATCCACAAGGCTACCTAGGAGCCGGCAAAACCACCCTCCTGAACTACATCCTTACCGAGAAGCATGGCAAGAAGATCGCCGTGATCATGAATGGTCAGTTATTTTTGTCTTCTAGTCCTTAGCTCCAGACAAATCTGGGAGGTATATACTAAGCTCAAGTAGAATTCGGAGATTGTAAGTTAGGAATCTCCAAAGATTATGTGCTACACCACCTCAGTCCCTGGTGCTTGGACCTTTGACACCTTTGGCTGATACACACCGCAAAAAAAAGCCACCGATATCGAAAAGCCCCTCACAGTCAACCAAGATGGTCAGGAGGTGACCGAATGGATGGAAGTGGGGAATGGCTGCATCTGTTGCTCCGTAAAGTAACACTCATCCCTCCTCTCCCCTCCCCACCCCAAACAAAGATCCTAATCCCACAAACCAGAGACTCCGGCGTAATGGCCATTGAATCCCTCATGGCCCGCCGGGGTACCTTCGACTACATCCTCCTCGAAACCACCGGCCTCGCCGACCCGGGCAACATCGCCCCGATCTTCTGGGTCGACGACAACCTGGGCAGCAGCATTTACCTCGACGGGATCGTCACCCTCGTCGACGCGAAGAACATCCTACATCTGCTAGACGCGCCGACCCCGGAGGAGACGGTGTCCAGCCACGCTACGACCACCTCCTCCAGCACAAGCCACGATCAAGATCACGACCACGACCCAAACAGCCCCGTCCTCTCCATGGCGCACATGCAAATCTCCCACGCCGACGTGATCATCCTCAACAAAGCCGACCTGGTCACCGCGGCCGAGCTCGCGCGCGTCCGCGACCGCATCGTCGCCATCAACAGCGCCGCCCGCATCCACGTCACAGACCACAGTCAGACGCCGCGGATCGAGGGCGTGGTGCTGGATCTGCACGCGTACGACCACCTCGACGATGGGGCGGTCGAGTTCGCCCAGAAGGGGCATAGTCATATCGATCCGGTCCGTTTCTGCCCCCTCCCCCCTGCGATTTTCTTCTGTTAAACTTGCCGGGAGAACCCTGACTGACTTTTATCCTTGATGTGTCAATTCCAATGGTGAACAGGCGATTTCCACCATCGCACTTACAACCGGCCAAATCACCCCGGCGCAAGTCCCCCTCGTCGATGAGTGGCTGCGCTCGGTTCTGTGGGACTCGAAGCTCCCGGCTATCGCTGGGCGGGAGGCGCAAACCCCCAAGCTGGACTTTGATATTCATCGGCTGAAGGGCATCCTCGTGATCGAGGATGGAACGACACGGATCATCCAGGCCGTGCGCGACGTGTTTGAGATCCGGGATGCCGAGCCCGCGGAGGACTCCAAGACGCAGTGCAAGATTGTGCTGATCGGGCGGGGACTGGGGCCAGACGCGCTTCCATGGCAGCGCAACTTCGAGGAATACCTCAAGCGAGACGGGAAATGAGGGAATGATACCACGAAAGAAAGAACAACACCACTAAATTCATTTTCAGAGTAATACAGATGTTACTGGAAGGTTATGAAGAACCACTGTACATAAACGGCCTTAACTGGCGCAGGAAAGGTAAACCCAAAACAATAGTCAGCCGTCTGGTCGTTAGTCATGAAAAGAAATGCAAAGACAAAACACCAAACTCCACCCAAGATTCTGAAGCTGCTGTCAGGTTCTGTCGTATCTGGTAGAGAAGTATCTCATGATCAAAAGAGAAGCCAAGCAAATTGAAGGAATGTCCACCGATCACCTGGCAAGAGGTATAGACAACACTCAATAAATCAGGTTAGCCGAGGATAACGTGGCAACTCCATTGCGCCATGTGCCCGCTAGAGAGAAAAAAGCAAGTATCGAAAGATCGCTTGAAATTAAAGTAAATGTACAGTGCAAAATCGCTAGGGGTATCGCGCACTGTTGGGTCTCACATCTGGGACCCACAAACATGGCTGGAAACAACTCGTGGTTTTCCTGTGAAGGACTTTTCTAGATGCAATTCGCCGTTTACGTGTCACACACACGCCGATGTCTCTTCTTCAAGTGCTGGGTTGATTGGTAGATGGGAGTCGCATAAGTAATTGGTTGGTTCGTGTAAGCTCTGGCGAGGAGCATATCCCAGGGCGGAACGAATGCTGATGGGGGAATATTGATCAGTCTCAGTGTCCAACTGCTTCGCCTCGCGGGACTTGATCGCGGGGTTTATAGGTAGAATCGAATGCATGAGAGAAGAGACTGAGCGCGACGATTCTTGTACGGACCAATCCGGGTCGTCCATGAGAGCATGTCCGAGATCTGCCAATGGGGCCGGATACAGATCAGTCGATTGCGTGGCTGCCGACGAGATCGGAGACTCCTGCAGCCTCCCGTTCTCAGACAAGGTGTTTACTGAGTGAGGCTTCAGCGAGTAGGCCGAGTTACACTCAACCTCATCGAGTTCACGAAACAGGTGGGCCGTATCCGAAGGCACATCATCCGCATGGTCTCTTGTGTAATTGCGATAGCATTCGTCAATTCCCGGGTCGAATCCCAAGTCGTTCTCATCTAGTCCTCGAAGAGTGATACCATAGGACTCTTGGCCGTTCTCGAAGGTCGTTGGGTTCAAAACTCCTGCTGCAGTTGACCCTGAATATGCATATCCACTTGACCTCCGATGTTCTAATGGTGCTGAGCTACTCTCAGCAGCCTTGTCGTCTTGTAAAGAAGCCTGCTCCCAATTTCTATGCACAGCGTCCTGCTCGCTGCCCGGCGAAAGACCGAACCGTCCATTTGCATCCTGCAAGGACGTGCGACCGTCATAAATATAGCTGCCGCTATCCATGGGGGGACGTTGTTGAGGGAGAAATGTCGCTCGGACGTCGTAAATCGGCAGCGTGCTATTGTGCAACGCTACACCAAGACCAGTGTGAGTGGGAGGCATGCGAGAAATAGTCGAGACCATCGCTCCTCGCTCGCGTGGAAACAGACCCAGCAGTTCTTTTGCTGATAGTCGATGTCGAGGAATGGGGCTCAGACAGATCGAGACTAGCCTGCGGTAGTAGTCAGGCACATCCACCTCTTCACCTAGCATCAGAGGCCGTGGCTGACGCTCCGGCTCATCCTCCTCCATTGCCAAGGCCCATAGAGTCATTCCCAACTGGAAGATGTCGGTCTTCACCCCAATATACATGGATATCCGCTGATTACTCTCGATCTTGGCGGCGATCTCTGGGGGCTCCCACCCCACCGGGCAACCCCGGCGATTGATATCAATGATCTTGGCGTTGTCGTCAGCATCCACCACAATGTTGGACAAAGTGAAGTCTCCCTGCACGTAGCCAGCTTCATGAATCTCGCACAGTCCACGGACAATCTGTCGTGCCCAGCGCTCCCGGCGTTCCCATGATATCGTACCCCGGTTCTCATATAGAAGATCAACCAACGCACCCTTCTCGGCGAAACCGATAAGCAATCCTTTTACATTCTCTTCGTCATCATCAACCACGACTCCCTCCACCTGGACAACATCCGGGATTCCCTGCAAGGCATGAAGGGCGTTGATCTCGTATAGAAATTCGTCCACCGTGTCGGGGCCAGGAATCTCCTTTTTGATGAATGTCTTGCCATCCAGCTGCACATTGTATACGAATCCCGACAAATGTGACTCGAAATGCAGTTGGTTTTCGCGAACTAGTCGTGCTTCTGGTAAGTGTCCAATACAAGAAACTGGCGGGTAAGGGATTATCTCGTTCACATCCTCGGTGACGTGCACATGCAGCCGACCGTCTCGAGTTTCCAATTTCAGGTTGGTGACGGTGTCATAGAATTGTATCTCTGGCAATGATTCGCGGAGAGATTCGTAGATGCGTGCACACTTGTCGCGTTGGTAGCGTAGCTCGCGGAGGTCCTGCTCCAGGGAATCGAGCGGCGCACCGCGATAGTCGCAGGATATGGTGACTCTCCGCCAACGGTTAGGCGTCTCTGCATAAGTAACGAAGAACTTTTCTCGTTCGGAGCGATCCCGAAAGTGCATGCTCAAATTCAGAATCCAACGCTTTTCCAGCTCCATCTCGAGAGTCTCGGATGGTGGCTCCTCGGGAACATCTGTCATGTCAGGGTAGGGGTTGGGGTTCCATTCCGAGCGGATCTCGTTATCCTCATTCGTCTCGCTCGGGAGGTCAACCGTGGGCTCGTTCGGGTCTTCGCGCCACTGAACCTCGGGAGCGGACAATCTGGGGTCCAGGGTGGGCGGTGGGGATCGCGTAGTTCGCTGGGACTGAGAACTCAGGGGACGACGTCGGTCGGCGGACACTGTCCGACGGGGTTCAAGTTCAGTTGGGGACAGCCGGTCGCGTCGCTCGGAATTCTGTCGTTTGAATGTTGTTGCCCGAGGCAATCCCACACCAACCTTGCGGGACAGTCGCCGAGTGAGATTATCGTGGGGCCTGCTTGGACGAGGGGGGGAGGACTTTGCGTCATGGTTATTGTGGTGGTGGTGGTGGTGGTGGTAATGAGAATGACTATTGTGGGCGGCCGGTGAATTGGGTTGTTTCGCAGTGGGGGACCCATTATTGTTGCCTGCGGGGGAAGATTGGGACGAAAGGTCTCGATCATCGCGGCCCAGCCATCGCCGTAGACCCAGGCGATGCCACATACTCTGCTTGGGACGTGGAGGGTCGGCCTTTTCCTCCAGCAACAATCCCAACGAACTCATCATCGGACTACAGGAACTGTCTGCAATCGAGACAGCCATCCGGCACGGCACGGTCGCTAATCGGTCGTACAGAGAACGACTGAGACACCCGAGGGGTTGGGACCGTGTTGTCCATAAGAATTGCCGACAGGATCTCTGGCGACCAGCAGCTGTGACTGTTCTCGCCCACACTCTCAAGTTATGCACGGGTAATGAGTCAACAAATAAGAGCAGATACGGAGGAAAGAAAAAAAAAATCGGTGGGTGGCAGGGCGCAGAGGGTTTAAAAAAAGAAACCAGGGGCCAAAAAGCAAAAGACCACCACCAGAATTTCACAGTGCGGTTGAAGGGAGGAAAAACACCAATGGACTGCAGGGGAACTGATTTATGAAACGGGATTGAGGAGATATAGAAAATTTTTCCATGTAGCTATGAATCATATGAATGAATCAAATAAAGTACCGGTAGTAGAAATGATAGATAAATACGAAAAATGATCACCCTGGAGAAGTCGGTGTGAATTTGGGTTGCTGGCTAAGGTAGACGCTGCTTTTGCCCAGTCCCACTGAGTGGTCACACAATGTTGTCAAGGGTGGTGGTATTACTGATGATGATGATGATGATGGTGATGGTGATGATGATGGCGATCGTAGGTGTTGGTTCCTGTCGCAGTGGTTTTGCTAGTGAGAATCAAAGGTAGAGGAGGTGACAATGTGATCAGATACACCAAGTATGGAGCGACCCAGAGCAAATGAAGATGAAGGGGAGGGGGAAAAGAGGCGGGGATGACGAGGAAGGAGAACCGCCAGAGAACCAGCAAGACAGACTAGTCGATTGTAGCCCGGCAGGCAGTCTAAGGCTGGTTGGGCTGAGATTTGCAACAAAAGATGAAAGGAAGAGAAGACCAAACTTGAAGGATTGGAGAGGAGGAGGAGAAGAATGGGCTGAGTGGTTGAACTAGAGAAACGAACAGAGAAATCAGTCGAGGTATGAATGACTGGAAAGGATAGAATTAAATTGAATAAACGCCTGCAGGTGAAATGGGAAATGGAGAAGGAGAGCAGGACAGAAACAATTTCCACCACCTATAAGGAATAGGGAGTGGAAGGGTGATAGAACATCACATAGAACAATCATCCACTAGTTTAGCTGATGACTATAAAGTACTTGGTTGCTTGCTATGAAGTCACTCTACTAACTATGTATGCTACACCCACCCAGTAGATTAACTAAACTAAACTAACAAACTAAACCGATTCACCAAAATACAACAAATCTGAGATCCAATGAGCAGCTTAAAATGCACGGCGGCCTGACAGACCGTGCCTGCCTGACTGATAATAAGAAGTAAACATCCACGGCAGCCTCAACCGAGAAGTAAAGAGAGGAGAAACGACGATAGCCTCAATTCTTCATCCCATCGCACGGCATCCGAACTACTGCAGACGCACAGCCCAAGTTCCTTCTCGAAGCCTGTCCCCGTTCGCTCGTTCCTCGCCCCGATTTCTCCGATCATCCCAAAAGCAGAATATATGATAGTTATATTTTTCTTGACATCCATCCCGCCGGGCTCCTCTTGTCTATTCCGGAACAGACTCAATCCTCTCCCTCCCTCCCTCCCTTCCACTTCCCCCCGCCCCAACCCAACCATCACATTTTCGACTACAACGTTCAGGTTCAGGTTGACACTATCGGGACTAATCGCAATGACGAAAAATGCGGACCATATCGCAATATCACCCACCTCCTGGGATTTCCAGGGTACCCGAGCGTATCGCGCAGACCAGCTTGGAACCAGCCACGCTGTACAAACAACCAGCCGCTCGGGGAGTGGGTGCGGGCATGCACCTGGCAGGGCAGAAGATTGAGCTTCTCTGTATGGCTCTGTACTGTACACCTGGATCCAATCGCCCGGCAAAGATAAGTGACGATGGTTCGTCTTTATACTTCAAACGGCCGGTTTCCCAACTTGAGTATACCTCGTCATCATCGTCACCCACATACAGCAAACAAGAAACAGAAACAGAATAAGAGAAAATGCTGCCTTCACCATCAACCACTGATGCTCAGGATTGGTTTAGACTTTCATCTAGTTCTTAGAAAGTGAAGCTTCCACTCAGATAAGGAGAAACCCGAACTGCAAACTTCTCGTGCAATCGCCGGCCAGGATGATGCAGCCAATCACTCTCCTCCAGTTCAGGCTCCCGGGCAGTTCCATAACCTTGGAACCTACTGGACCTCCAGCTTACTCGTGACTTCAATTTCCATTTCTTAATACTTCTTAAGCGTATAGGTAAGTATAAACTGACTGATTATGGAGAATTAAGTAGGGATAAGGTATTGAAGCAAATACCCTTGTAGTCCAGCGTCCAGCACTAACCATGCAGGTTACTCCCCTCCCACTTTCCCCCTCCTTGGCCTATGTATCTATCCCCCCCTTCTCCCCCCTCTATACAGCGACAACACAGCCTACCCTCATCAACGAATCCACCTCAGCACAGTAACCTCTATAATAATCCATATAGCCCCCCATCCAAAATCACTCACCACTCCACCCAGAACCCAGAAATCCAGAAGCCACCAAACGATCCGAGCCACGCTACCCCCGCCTGGCCTACCTCACATCAAACCTCTCACCCATCCCCGATAAGCCCCCCCGCGGAGAATCCCGGATCACACTACACTATACCCCCAATAATGGCACCTAAAGCACTCCCCTCCCCTCTTACTCACCTGCATATGTATACTTCCCTGTTGCATGGAACGTTTTCCAGTAGTAGTGTACATGTATGTACAGCACTTTACGTGAAGGCCTACATCAAACATGATTCTTTCTTTCCTTTTTTTTTTTTTTGCTTCCATTATCGAACAACCCAATCCCAGTTGTCTCGTTGTCGCCGATGTGGCCTATGCTAGCTAAAAAGTATACAGTACATAAACCGTCGAAGTGGGAACAGTACAATCAAGCGTAAGTGTACAGTACAGTCCCAGTCCAGTCCATAAACCAGTATAAAGGCACCCAACACCTAACGACAGTATGTATATAACACAACAATCCACATCGTGGGAGATACATGCAGTACCCCAGCACAGAAATAATACCACACTCCTTGAGGGAGACAAAAGCAGCGGAGGGGGGAAACCCCCCCCCGGAAGACCCCCCCCCCCCCAATGCCGTCCAATGACTTCATTGGTGCAACACCAAGTATCTACCTACCTGCCCAGGTACAGCACACTACAGCACAGCACAGCTAGCTACCAGGGAAGCTGGGGTAGGCCAGGCCCCATGTGGATTGGATTCCAACTGCTGGGATTTAGAACTGTACGCACGTCTCCCTACGGGTTACTCTCTTTTCTTTTTCAGGCGCAGGGGGGGCTTGAAATCTTCCAGCTGGATGCTGTTAATAGATAGAATAGTAAGAAGGGGGGGGAGCGGGGTTGCTCCAGCTGATTTTGCGGATGGGCTCGGAAGTTGATTTCGGAAGGCGAAGGTACTGATTGAGCTTGGAGTAAGTGGGTGTATGTGATATAGGTTAGTAGTAGGAAGTGTCGAGGAGCAGAGATTCAAGACCTTTTCTTCGTTCACAGGGGGATTTCCGCTACGAAGGGGAGCGCGGCTTACAGCTTACAGTGACCGGGCGTCCAGTCTTCCTGTTGTAGGCTCCAGGCGTTGGCAGCATATATCCGCTGCGTGATCCAGCAATGGAAGTCACCTAGGTCAGAGTCTGAAGGAGCTTCCTTGGTACTGTCTCGCGTCTCATTCTAGCTTCAGGCAACACGGTCGATGAAAAAGCTCGACGTTCGCGTGCTACCGTGCGTGATGTGTTTTCATACTTCCCTGAGTACGTGCAGAAGCAAATGATTCGTTTTATAAGCGCTGCATGGCTAGAGTCATGTCCGCCTGATGTCAATGAAGAACAACTAGCAGGAGTAGATCAAGACTGCGATGGCCTCACGAAGCGACACGATAAGAGTTCAAAAACGGGGGCAGTAGTATTAAAAGAATGGAATTCACAAATCAGAGATGAAAACCGATACTGATGGGGACTAGCAAACAAAATGGAATCGACACGACTGCAGAGATGAAAACGCCCTAATGCAAGATATTTCAGTGATTCGTTCCATGCGTCTATCATACTTCATGACCCGTCCATCGATATATCAACTAGGAAAGAGAGCAGGGCGTCTTATTTCCAAGCGTTGAGTCCGGCCCAGGGATCAGTCGATGAGCTCGATTGCCCCTGTGTCTGTGACGACTGCGACGGAGCCTTGTGATGTTGACTTGCGCCGTATGGCCGGCTTTGAGCGTAGCCGCCAGGGCCGGAGGGAAAAGGACCGGAACTCGTAGGGTAGTTTGTCTGCTGAGGTCGAGGTGGCGGAGGTGGCGGAACGTAGCCCTGGGGTAAGAAAGCAGACGGGGCTGCAGGAGGAGTGGGCCCGCTGTAGCTACTAAATGGGGTAGGGGTAGAGGAGTAGAATTGCTGGGCTGGAGGCGGCGAAGCGGCCGGTGGAACAGGATAGGCCATGGGATTGTAACCCTCCGACAAAGGTGCTGCTGCTCCCTGCTGGTATGGTTGCCCGGGATGGTAAGGCATACCAGCAGCACCATGGGTCATGTACTGCCCATAGGGAGCTGGAGAATGGGACATAGGAACGCCATGCTGTTGCCCGGGAGGAAATGCTGGTGAATTCTTCGGCGAGGCGAGAGACGGGTTGTAAGCAGGCGTCTGCACCGCTGGGGGCGGTGACTTGGCCTTGGATGGGGGTGGGGGGGCCATTGCCCCTGCTGAAGGCGGTGCAGGTGTGGATGTCTTTGGCTCGGTTGACAGGCGTTCCATCAATTGCCGCAATTTCTCCCGCTCGCGATCTTCCTGTTCTGTGGCACTGCTCGCTCGCTCGCGTTCAATCTGTCCAAGTAGCTGGGCTCCCTCAGATCGACGGTTGTTAATAAAGGCTTCGACGTTTTTCTTCAGATTTTCCACCGTCTCGGCCATCTCAGTGTAGAAAGTCTGGGCTTGGACTGTTCCCGAAAGCAGACCATTGAAAGCATCATACACTTTCTTGTATCGAGCCATGACCGTGTTGCGTTGACGTGTGATGGCTTCGTACTTCGACTGCTCGGATCTCACTCGCTTATCTTGGAGCAGATCCCCGTAGATCTTGGTCAGCTCTTTCATGAGTGAGGCTTGCTTGTGGTTGGCCTGAAGCAACCTATTCTGATGCGGACGGAATTTCTCCAGTTCAGCCTCGAAGAGCTGGTTTTCTTGCCCAGTGATCGATTTCTTGTTGAGAATCAGGACATTCGATATGTCATCGTTGTGAACCTGTAAAAAGATTTTAGCTCCGGTGCATTGGATCAGCTATCAATGATGACTTACCTTTTCCTTCAAATCCTTCAAAACTTGAGATCGCTCCCTCTTGACAAGATTCAGCTTCTTCAAGATGGCCTCGACCCGAGCGATCTGTTCCGACACAGAGGGGCTGCCTTCGTCGTAAACATCATCTAGCAGGTTACCCTCCGGCGTGGAGGCGTAGGGGCTTCCAAGCCCATTCTTTCCCTTGCCGTGTTTCGACCCAGCTTTGATCATGGCACGCTGGAAGAGGACGTCAGCTTCATCGGTTTCTCCTGCAGAGCGCATTTCGTCGAAATCAGCCTCATACTGCCGTAGTGTAGACAGCAGCTGGGCGTCACTTGCGCTAGCCTCGTTGATAGTGTCGCGGTATGTCCGGATGTCTCCACGAAGGGTAGTGTTGAGCCTTGCGCTCGGCTGCTGACTCCAATCGGCACCATATTTGGAGCGCATCTTTTCACACACGCTTTCTTCCAAGTCGAGCTTCTTGGAGCATTGGTCCAGTTGTCCGAGGATCTCCGATTTGCGGTCCTGTAATTCATCAAGCGCTTTGATGAAAGGCTGATGACCAGCAAGTTCCTGACACCATCTTCTGAACTCTTCATCAACCTCCATTTCCTGGTCCATCCCGCCTTTGAGGATATTAAGGCTTCCGGGAAGTTTAAGATAATCCAGACTAGCAGCCATTTCCCCATTGGCCATTTCGACCTTTTCGGTCTCGGCCCGGATAAGCTTAGCCTTTTCTTCGTCGTAGAGACTGGCTGTCTCGGTGACGGACATGGGAACTAATTTCTGGAAGATGTCCGGGCCGATGATTCGCTGGATGTCCTGGCCTTGATAGAGTTCGCTGACTGGAATCGCCTTTGCCGCTGGTAATTTTGCGACTGCAGACAGGCCTGCTTCGCTGGGAACGGGTTGGTGGTAGATGAAATCATTGTCCTTCTTGAATACCGTAAGCTTGGCCTGTACATTAGCTAGGTGGAACTTGACAACGTCAAGCAGGGTTGTGCCTGATTCTGAGCTTAAATTTGTGTTCGGCGAAACCGATGACGGGAATGACTTTGCCCATCCCATCGCTGCTGTCGAGTTCTTTTCCGCGAATTGCAGTCGAGCAATGGCCACACCATGGGATCCGCTTTCACTGTCTGCGAGGGCCTGGTAGTACGATGCGACGGAGGCCATGTGAGCCGCTTTGGTCTGAACGACGATTAACCAGACTTTATCAAAGACCCCCTTGCAAAACTCTTGGATCGCCTCGGCGGCCTGAGAGTAGAGGTAGGCCGACTGGCTGGCCAGTTTCGCCAGCAGCCCAGCCTTCTTGTTGTCTGCAATCTGTTTCTCCAGGAATACTTCCTGGCCCTGCGCGAGAGTAATGTGGATCAAAGCCTTGACGGTCTCCCGGTTCAGATCGGTCGAGGGCGCATGGAGGAAATTCTCGTTGATATAGGTGAACATGCCAGCAGAGGCCTGGAAGGAGTGATAGGCAGTCTTGAGGCCTGTGTCCTCGGCGCGATTCTGGTTGGCCGCATGACAAGAAAGCACGGCGGAGATATTGAAGATGATGGAGGCCTTTTCATAGGCGAGAGAGTACTGAGAAGTGGGCTTATGAGTGAAAGCATCGTACCTGGTAACCATTGTGGCAGTGTTTTAGTAGACGCCCGACAGGGAATAGGGAATAGCGGAAGTCCAATTTCGCATTGCGTACCAGGTAAAGGATATCTTAATATGGTTCTCATCCACTGGGAACCGCAAATCCAGCAGCTCCAGTTGACCATAGTAGCGATACAGTAAGTCGCGACCCGTCGCGCTGTCTTTCCCCGCGCCCCTCATGTCCTGGCGCAAGCGGTTGAGAGTGGCACATTCTTGACTGTAGCGATCGGGATCTTCACCATAACTTTGACGAATGTAGTCCTTCAGGGGTCTAATCCAATCGATTTCGTTGGTCTGCTTCAGCGGACACGAGATCATGGGCGACTGAACCATCTTGCTCATGTGCAGGAGCGGGGAGCTCCCATTAAAGGCGGAGAAGAGACGGGGAGCGAAAGGCGAGTGGAAGCAGGGCGAGAATTGACAAGAAGGTATCTGTCAATGGTTGCGATGGGGGGGGGGGGGGGGGGGCGATGATGGAGGCGAAGGAATGACAGACGGAAATGGGCGGGACTGTGGGGTAAAGTCCAGTTGTTTTTTTTTTCGGAGAGGAAACAGATATGGTGGCTGGTAGGGATGTCGAGATTAGTTCGATTGGGATGGGATGGGATGGAATGCCAGGCAGCACACACGGGCAGTAAGACCACCCGATGACGACGGCGGTGAAGCGGAGGAGGGAGGACTCGGGATGGAGCCTGGGGTGGAGGGGTGCTTCGACTACTGTAAATAACAGACAACAGCTTTCCGTAGCAACATTCAAAGCAGTCAAAGGGTTATAGTCGGGTGAACTTGCAAAAGAGAAACAATTATTGGTCACATCCACCGACTATCACATCATAAGGTGAAGAGTGAGTAAGAAAAGGGGATATTGACAGAAGATTTAAGTTATGGGATGTTATTGTGGTAATAATGGGAGGATGGGGATGGATGGGGATGGATGGATTGGTCTCCAGTCTAACCGCCCGCCGTGACGAACAGGACAGGCAGCACACTCGCCCGCCGCGGACGGGATAACCTGACAAACCACACCCTCTCAATTCCGACTCCAAGTTGATCCCCTCAATTTCCCGTCCCCACCCACTGAATATTCGATGTATGGATGGATGGATGGAAGGAAGGAAGGGAGAGAGGTCTGATATGATTTTTCTAATCGTACATACATCAAGTTACATACACTTGGACAATTGCTCTATCCACCCACTGATCAACACGCATCCAAAAATAACAAAATATATAGAAACTGGCATGGAAATCATCCCAACATGCAGAATAGCTCAAGAAACCCCCAGTGTCGCCGGCGCTATGATATCGTCCGAAATAAATACAGGTAAGAAACGAAGAAGGGAGGTCGTCCGGGACCACGACCCTGGGAATATCGATTATACATCACGTTCAGCTTACGTTGCGCCTTTCAATTCGAGCCCGACTTTTTATCACCGTCAGACTTGTGGGCATCGCCATTGTCTTTCTTGCTGGCATCGGAGTGGTTCATAAGCTTTTGCCAAGCGGACTTGAGGAAGCCCGGATGCTTGGAGTCGTCAGTCGAGGCGCTTGGGCTAGACGGGGCACTGAGAGATGGTCAGAGGAAAAGTGAACGGAAAAGCAGTCAAATCAAATCAAGAATATGCTCACCCATCCTTGTCCTTGGGGAGATCCATAATACGCTTAGCAGTTGTATCACCCATCTCGTCCGCAAGAACCTCAAGAATCGTTCGCTGGTTACTGGTCAAGTACTTGGGCATGGCAACCTTAAATTCAACCTTGAGGTCACCTGTGGAGCTGAAGTTGCGGCTTCGACCACCCAACTTTTTCATGCCCATACCAGACAAAGTGATGCGGTCGCCGGTGCCAGTACCCGTGCCAACCTTGACCTTGACCTCGCCATCCAGGGTAGGCACCTTCACTTCGCCACCCAGAAGAGCGGTGGTGAGAGGAATGGAAGCTGTGTAAAGGATGTCGGATCCAGCGCGGCTGAATCGGTGATCAGGCGCGACTCGAATGGACACATATAGATCACCGCGTTGCGTACGGGAGCCTGCAGGAGCTGCAGTACCAGTGGGCGGGGCATCACCTTCCCCGGAGATTCTCAGACGCATGCCGTCCTCGACACCTCCCGGGATATCCACCTGAACGGTCTTCTTGTCCCTAACCACTCCGTTGCCCTTACAAGACCCACACTCAGACCCTCGGGGGACAGTCTTGCCCAGCCCACCACACGCGTCGCAAGTAGCTGCCACCTGGAAGCCACCCTGCATCATGTGTACTCGGGTGCCGGATCCGTTGCACTGACGACACTGCGAGCGTTTGGCACCCTTCTTCAATCCCTCACCGCTGCAGGTGTCGCACTCCTTCAAGGGAGTGATCACAATGTCCTTCGAAGTGCCCTTCGCAGCCTCCATGAAGGAGATATTGGTCTGGACCTCAATATCTTCACCGACAAGAACCTCCTGGAAGGGTCCCCGACGGCCCCGACCAGATCGGCGAGCGCCACCGGTGAAAGCGCCAAAAAGATCTTCGAAGTTGATATCGGCTGAGAAGCCTCCACCGAAGCCACCACCAAATCCATGAAAGCCTCCGGCGCCAGCAAACGGGTTGCCGCCACCGAATGGGTTGCCGCCGCTAGGGTCGAAGCCCCCGTTCTGATCAAAAGCAGCGGAACCAAAGCGGTCATAATTTTCGCGTTTCTTGGGGTCGGACAAAAGCTCGTATGCCGTTTGCGCCTCTGCGAACTTCTCTTTCGCGTCGGGTTCCTTGTTCGTATCCGGGTGATATTTCTTCGCCATTCCATAGTAAGCCTTCTTGATCTCCGACGCAGAGGCGCCTTTGTCGACTCCTAGGACTTTGTAAGGGTCAGAGACAGCTGCAAGCGGGGCAGTTGTATGGAAAGTCTGCAAGCCATGGGGGATTCATGTTAGTTCGCAGTCCAATCTTTCGCAAGACTTGGCCGGTTGATGCCTGGATAGCTTACCCTTGTTGTAGGAAATGTAGGTTGCTTCTTGCTGCAGGCACCATCGCGCAAGCGCTTGTTGCCTGAAGAAGCACTAGAGGCATGATAGGTCCGGGCCGGGGTTGAGGACCGAATGGTGGTGGAGGGACTCTGCTTGGAGTATTGCCGCGAGGTCCGCAGTAAACGAGCGGGGAGAGCCGCGGCTTTGGGCATAGCGGCAGATGTAGCGTTCATTGTGGAAGACAGATAAGCATCAAACAAAACGCAACGACGGGGTAAGGAGGGTACGAGACGAAGAAATTTGAATTGACGGAAGCTGATTTGAGAAGAAGAAGAACCACCGGGGACCTTTCTTGAAGCATCGACCGCCTCCTGATGGGGAAGACGTTTGGAAGCTTCGAGTCGTTCGGCTCGAAAAAGTTTCCCGATCGGAACAACAAGGTTCCGAACAGCAACGATGATGAAAGCTTGCTTCGGTAATCAATCACTCGACCGAACAGACCTTCGATCGCCCCCCTCAATCTACATACGGTACTCAGTACATTACATCTAGCTACTTTTCTACCACCTTGCCTGGTTTTCTCCTTTCTTTCTTTCTTTCCTTCCCCTTCCCCTAGCTTCAGCTCTATCTGTACGACTCGCTCTCCCGGTCGGCTTTCAGGCTGCCGTACTTGATCCCATATCTTTCGTCTTTCCTTTCCCGCCTTATTCCGTCCGCGTCGTCCGCGTCGACACAGTAGCATGCTCCGCGGCCAGACACTCCCCTGGAGAGCCGCGCTCCACCAAACGCCGCGTCCTATAATCCTCCGCCCCCTGCTCTCTTCTCCCAGACACAATGTCAGTGCTCGTTCAATTTTGAATGCCGCCCGAGCTGGCCGTATCCTTCCATCCTCTCGACCTTTCTCCTCGAGCTCGATCCGTCTGAAAGAGAAGCCCCCACAAAGTGATGACAAGGAGGACACAACGCAAAAAGAGCAGAAGGATACCAAGGAGGAGAAGGACTCTGTACGGCGCTCAGATGCTCGACGAAAGGCGACCGATCCCTCCAGCAGGCAGGGATCGTCACTAGAACCCGGAGCTCCGACATCGGGGACGTGGCGGCGGAAAGAGAAGGCGGCGATGGACAAGGAGCAACGCGGCTTGGAAGAGGAGTCGAAAAAGAGCGGCAAATCGGCAGAGGGCAAAGGAAGCTCTTCCGACGAACCCACCCCCATACCTGTCAGTGGTGGCTCCTCGGACTCCAAGCCTAGCGGCGCCAGTAACGGCGACAGTGAGGATGGCGGCAAGAAGGGCAAGAAGGGCAGTAATGAGAAGGCTTTACAGAAACCAGTGGTCCCAGACATCTATCCTCAGGTCATGGCTATTCCCATCGCGAAGCGACCACTCTACCCGGGTTTCTACAAAGCTATCACCATCAAGGACCCCAACGTTGCCAGCGCCATCCAGGAGATGATGAAGCGTGGCCAACCTTATGTGGGCGCCTTCCTGTTCAAGGATGAGAATGCGGATGGAGATATAATCGAAAACCTCGAAGATGTCTATGACGTCGGTGTCTTCGCACAGATTACCGCAGCCTATCCTCTCCGTGGCGACACGGGCGGTGTGACAGCCGTCCTTTACCCCCACCGTCGTATCAAGATCTCCTCCCTCATTCCCCCCAACGATGCGAAGTCAGGCACAGCAGAGGAAAAGGTTCAGGAAAAGCGTGGAGATGTCGTGGCCAGTTTCGAGGAGGGTAGTGCGGAAGTCGCCCCCAAGGACCACTACGAACCAACCTCCTTTCTGCGAAAGTACCTTGTCAGCCTTGTCAATGTCGAGAATATGGCCGAGCAGGCCTACGACAAGAAAAGCGCCATCATTCGCGCCGTGACCAGCGAAATCGTCAACGTTTGCAAGGAAATCGCTAGCCTGAACCCTCTATTCCGTGATCAAATCTCTGCCTTTTACACCGATCAATTTCCCGGAAATTTGAGTGACGATCCCGCCAAATTAGCCGATTTCGCTGCCGCCGTCTCTGCCGGTGAACTCAACGAAATGCAAGAGGTCCTGGAGCTAATGGACATCGAAGAACGACTTCCCAAGGCTCTCGTTGTCTTGAAGAAAGAGCTCATGAATGCTCAACTCCAGTCGAAGATCTCTAAGGATGTCGAGGCCAAGATTCAGAAGCGACAACGTGAGTACTGGCTCATGGAGCAGATGAAGGGCATCAAGAGGGAGTTGGGCATCGAGTCTGATGGTAAAGACAAGCTGGTTGAGAAGTTCAAGGATAAGGCGGAGAAGCTCGCAATGCCGGAGGCCATCAAGAAAGTGTTCGACGAGGAACTCAATAAGCTGGCTCACCTGGAGCCTGCTGCATCCGAGTTCAACGTGACGCGGAACTACCTGGATTGGTTGACTCAGATCCCATGGGGTCAGAAGAGCGTGGAGAATTTCAGTATCAAGAACGCGATGACCGTCCTTGATGAAGATCACCACGGTCTCAAGGACGTCAAAGACCGCATTCTCGAGTTCATTGCCGTTGGAAAGCTCCGCGGAACTGTCGAGGGCAAGATCCTCTGTCTGGTGGGACCACCAGGTGTAGGTAAGACCAGCATTGGAAAGTCCATTGCACGTGCCTTGAACAGGCAGTACTACCGTTTCTCTGTTGGTGGCTTGACAGATGTTGCTGAGGTCAAGGGACACCGTAGGACTTATGTTGGCGCACTTCCTGGCCGTATCATTCAGGCCCTCAAGAAATGCCAGACCGAAAATCCTCTGATTTTGATCGATGAGATCGACAAGATCGGCCATGGTCACCAAGGTGATCCCTCTTCAGCTCTGCTCGAACTCCTCGATCCCGAGCAGAACTCTTCATTCCTGGATCACTACATGGATGTCCCAGTGGACTTGTCTAAGGTTCTTTTCGTCTGTACCGCAAACATCACCGACACCATCCCTCGGCCTCTCCTGGATCGCATGGAGTTGATTGAGCTCTCCGGCTACGTTGCGGATGAGAAGATGGCTATCGCCCAACGCTACCTTGCACCTGCTGCGAAAGAACTGACGGGTCTGAAAGAGGTTGACGTTACCTTGACCGAGGACGCAGTTGAGGAGCTTATCAAGTCATATTGCCGTGAAAGTGGCGTACGTAACTTGAAGAAGCAGATCGAGAAAGTCTACCGCAAGGCCGCCTTCAACATCGTCCGTGACCTGGGAGAGGATGTCCTCGCCGAAGAAAAAGCAATCACAGACGAGGGTAAGGCCGCGCAAGCGGAAGCGCAGAAGGAGGCTGAGTCGACTGATTCCGCAAGCGCTTCTGTTGACTCGGAGAAGCCCACCACGGAAACACCCCGAGTTGCGTTGAAGGTCCCTGAGCATGTTCGTGTCAGCATCGACAAGGACAGCTTGACTGACTACGTTGGCCCTCCCGTCTTCAGGGCTGACCGTCTGTATGAGACTTTCCCGGCTGGTGTCACCATGGGTCTCGCCTGGACCAGCATGGGCGGTGCCGCTCTATATGTCGAATCCATCCTCGAGAACGCTCTGTCGCCCGAGTCCCGGCCTGGTATCGACATTACCGGTAACCTACAAAACGTCATGAAAGAGTCTAGCCAGATCGCATACTCGTTCGCCAAGTCTGTGATGGCGAAGCAGTTCCCTGAGAATCGATTCTTCGAGAAGGCCAAGTTGCACATGCACTGTCCTGAAGGTGCAGTGCCCAAGGATGGACCGTCTGCCGGTATCACAATGGCGACGTCTTTGTTGTCCCTGGCTTTGAACCACCCCCTGGACCCGACCATCGCCATGACCGGTGAACTCACGGTCACCGGTAAGGTCTTGCGCATCGGAGGACTACGGGAGAAGACGGTGGCCGCTCGCCGTGCCGGAGCTAAGAAGATCATCTTCCCTGCGGACAACATGTCCGACTGGTTGGAACTGCCCGAGGTAAGTTGACTCGCATTCATCTGACTGAGCAGCTACGCTAACTCTCTTGCAGAATATCAAAAAGGGTATTGAAGGCCATGCAGTTGGATGGTACTCAGAAGTCTTCGACATCTTATTCGCCGATCTTGACAAGACCACTGCCAACCAGATTTGGCAGAAGGAGCTTGCGGCCAAGCCGAAGAAGAAGTCCCAGGCGACCGAGGAGGATGAGTGAATGACCTGACCACTGCTGATGCTGTAATGTGGCAAGCACTTCAGGATGATGTTCTACACAGTATTGGGTTACGTACAGGGCGTTTCATTAGGGACAGCATGGGCTTGGAGTCGGCTTCCTTCTATCTATTTGACGAACCTCTTCTTCTGAATTTAGCAATTGACATTTCGGTTGTGGCAGTTCACAACCCGGGTGGGTGTCGTCGTCCCTTGGCCTTGCCTCTGCATCGAGACGCGGACTCGTGGGAAACAAGCGGCGATGCTCAACCCCTCTCGAACAACACCACTCCGCTCCGAGAAAACAAGATGGGCATCGGTCCATTCGACTGGCATTAGACGTGTGTCGAAGTTCTGCAGACGAGCGGGCTTAGAGCTGGTGTGGCCGCACTTTTTCTGGTGTTGGTGCCAGACTTTAAACGGTCTGTGATCAGTCCTTGCATGTATGTATATACGAAGACTATGCCTGTATAACTTGGATAATAGAGGCTACTGCCTGTTCTACATTACCTTTTACTGCCACTTTTAACGTCCCTTCGGTGAATGCAAGCTTAATCCCAAGCCACCCACCCAGTACTGGCTATCACTATGGGGGATGGTTTTCTCGCAATCATTCACTGGGCCTGTATGCTCCAAGTGAAACGTTCACCTAGTCATTTCTGACGGGTTTCTGGGCTATAAAATCCCCCCCTCTCCTCATCCTCGAATCTCTTCTTCATCCTACCATCTCCCATCCTCCACCTTTCTCTCACCCACTTTTCCCCTGAACCCATCCAGAAAGCCTCAATCCCAGCATCCATTACCCCCTTCACACCAAGCCAATACACCTTCATCCGTCCGTGACAAGATGAAGCTCCACCCTCTCTGGCTGCTCACCCTCCTGGTCACCCTGGTGACCTCGACCGCCATCAAGGCAGGCTGCGACTGCGCCCTCGCCACCGACAACGACAGCGACAACGACCAGGTCTCCCACGAATTCATCCTCGCTTATGTGAAGTGCATGCACGGTTGCACTGAACACGTGTCCATCAAGAAAGCCCTGGACGGGTATATCAGTCTCTACACTCGTGGTCAGTACAATCCCTCAGCACCCTCAGCTGATAAGCATCGTATCCTCCCTCAAGCAAGTCTAATTCCTTCATCACGGTGCAGACAATGTCGTGACTGAGCCAGCCTCTGTCCCAGATACCGACGTCGATGCGTCCTCTCCTGACGCCGGTATCGATACTGATATTGACGATGATATCGACATCGACATCGCCTCCATCGAAGCGTACACTCTCGATAGCAATGAGGATGACGACAGGAACCTTCTGGTTGATGCCGAGGCCGATACCTTCGATATCGCGGACGACACCACAGACATCTGGGACGAAGACGACGCCACCGACCCCTCGAACACAAACACCACCACCACCCTAACAACCCGCACCGCGGACCCCGCCGCGGCGGCCGACGACCTGTCCACCCGGGACCGCAAATGCCACCGTCGCTGCCGCCGCACCAAGGATTGCTGCCACACCGACATCTGCTACTCCGGGGTGTGTCTGGGCCCTGGCAAGTCGCCTTAGCTTCGCTTAGCTTCACAAACAGCTTGTTCTACTTTTGTGCTACCACCGACTGCCCAATCCTTGGCTGCTTGCTTCCCCTACCTACCTACCTACCTACCTACCTACCTTTTAAGTAGATGCTAACCCACGAGTAAGTCCCTCCTTCCCCACTCCCTACCCATCCACCATCGATACGATTCAGTACACACCCGAAGAACCTCATAACAGCTAACACGAACTCCCTCAAGCAAGACGCAAGCAGCACCATAGCGAACAACCCCATGTGGTGGATTCGGGACGTAGGGGTTTTAACGCAAATCCGAACATCAATTTTCAACTTCCCGTCTGTGTTACCGTTCTGATCTTGATGGAATTGTTCTTGCACCACTCACAGCAGTGCGGGGAGTTTTCTTCTTGTCCCTTCTGGCGATTTATCTTGGCTTGTGTCTGGAAAATTCAACCTCTTCGCAGTGTGCAATAGGGTTCAATCTGTCTTTGCTTTTGTGCTGAGAAATTTTCTGGGGCACCTTGTTTTGCTGATTCCAGAGATAGGCTCGGGCGTGGATGATTGAGCGTGCGCTTGTGAAGGGGGGCGATTCGGGTGTTTCTTTTTCTGGACTACTAGTGCAGGATTATGTTACCGCGGATAGGCAATGGAGCTCTTCTTGCTGCTACTGTTTCTAACTAGACAAGTCATTGGGTTGGTTTTTGGGGGGTTTGTTGTAGGGTGGTGGGAGGAGGCTGATCGGCTCTTTTGTGTGCTGATGGGTAGAGGTGTTGATTGGACATGATATATGTCACACAGTAAAGCGTATAGATGATCCCTATCATGGGACGCGGTGGTAATTTTAGTATATACCGACAACATCTGTGTTTGCTTATACATGCAAAAGATGGGAGGTCTCCAAGCTTCATTAAGATTTATTATACAAACCATAGAGGCAAATTATGAAAGCATAGGAACGGAGAGGAAAGGGAAAATAAAGCAAAAGAGTAATCAAACCGGTCTATCAATGCGCCTGCGATCAATTATGGGATAGAAGTATGAAACACCCTCGGAGAAGCATGGTGAAGGCAAGAGTGAATAACAATGTACCTGCGGGGGCATAGCAGAGCAGCGGTGGAATAAGGTCTGTCCGGGTTTTGTCCCAGTGTTCATCAAAGAATACCAGGTCATCCTGCTTGCAGGTGGACAACAAATATGCATGTGAGAAAACCAATGTGGGTGTGGAGAGATTAGGTGTAGAGGATTAGAGACAAGAGGGCAAGAGAAGAGAGGATAAACGAAGAGCGCAGTGAGTGATGTCGCACTGATGGGTATCATGAGAGAACAGCAGGAAACCGAGCCAGTGTCCGTCCGTTTCCGACAAGAAGAGAAAATGTGTGCACCTCTAGAGGGTGGGGTGTAGGGGGAGGTGACCTGATGGCCCAAGTATGGCGAGACCACCAACCCAGTCATCTCAGGATATCCTGAATGTCGACCCTGAACCGCCGAATATAAACAAGATCATAGCGAGGCGAAAGCACCCAGACGCCGTACAGTGGTAGGTTGTATCCCACACGCATAACGGGGCCTTTCGAATCGCAGCGCACTATTTGCAGAAGGAAGAGAAAAGTATGGCGAGAAAATCGTCGAGACAACAGCAATCCATGCCGTTCTAAGGTTGAAACCTCAGTCGAAAATGTCGCCCTCTTCCCTCTTCCCGAACCTTGTACAGAAACCGGGCAATGGCCTCCTGCTCTGCAAGTCCAGCACTATTGAAGTGTTTGCGGACCGACAATGCGAGTTGGTTCTTGCTCACTCGGTCTTGACCGATGATGTGATGCAAAGCGCCCCTCCCGTCAATTTCATTCGGTCCTTTCTTCTGAATTTGACGGTCTTTCTGTTTGGCATTGAGACCATTGGTGGCCGACGGAGGATTGCCGTGCGGGGCTTTTCTCGCGGCAGTTGTAGCGCTGGTGGAGGCGTTGGCGGCGCTGCTCGACGGCTGGGAGGTGCCGTTCGTCGTTGCATTTTGACGGAGTAGATGAGCGCGCTGGGCGGCGATTGAGGTCGGGGATCGTAGGCCAATGCCTCTGGAGAGGAGCAGGTGAGAGTATTCGCTGGGGAAGGCACTGGGGGATGAGAGTTTGTAGGCGTGTCGGTACGAGTGGAGGAGGTGAAGGGGCATCTCGTTCCAGGGGATCTGCACCAAAGAACACAATGTTAGTCACTCTAGCCTTTGTATAAGGTCATCGAAGCGGAGATGTTGATTATGGTTGTTAGCGACTGGCAAGGAGGAATTCGCAGGCCTACCTTTGGCACGTCTGCAGCGTTTCCCCCAGCGGGGGCACTAGTCACATTGGCGAGGTTTCCTGAGACTTTGACTTCTCGACTGGTAACAGATGTCATCAGAGACCCATTCGCACCTTTCCGTGACTTGACACTCGTGGTCTTGTGTTCTCTCGTAGTACTGGAGCCCTCCGATCGAGAGTCGTCCTGGACGGCCGCCGTCCGTTGACGCGGGGGAGCCATGGAGCACGAGGACAGAAATTTGCGCGATGACTGACGCGAGAGATCAGAGATTGAGATACGTGGTATCCCTGAGAGCAGGCAGAGGACGATCTATCATTCAAGCACTAGCGTTGATTTGAATGAGCTAGGTACAGAAGAGAGGCTGCATTGTCCAAGAAGTTGTCTGATTGAACTTTTGCTTCGGCCGGCGAAGGGCGGCCAGACGCGGCAGAATACTTGAGGCGCGACATCATCGCGGCCGCATTGGGTAATATTGCCGAATATCCTGACGTGAGGAGATCGGATTGGAATGTGCAGCGCAGCGTCCTTTATGTCTATTTGGCAGTCCGGTCTTTCAGAGCACATGACTCTGTAAGGGTATCATGGGAGTAAATCTTCAAGGGTCAAGGCCTCTGAGTATTCTGTTGCAGTGCCAGCTGCGAACTAATATGGTTGTTGGCCGATAGCGGCGCTGAACCCCGATTGCTAGATTGAGACAGGTTCAGCTAGCTTTGCGCTGAGCAAACTTAAGCGCGAGCACCTCAGAGCGTTCTAGCATGGTCTGGAGGCCAGATCAACCCTCAATTCGGCAGACGGCAGCTACCTAAACCAACCACATGACTATCACAGTAAGAGCCATGTTACATAACAAATTCTTCAGGCGCATGGTGCGACACAGGCACTACATCAATCGGGGCCTCACAGGCAATGTCTACGGCTAGACTCAGGATGTGACATTGTCCCTGCATGTTGTTTCTTTAGTGCATTGGTCAGGTGTATACATGTGTATCTGCTCGGCTCAACCTCCGAGGATATATTCCGGCCCCCGGATCATCGACACCATGTGCACAAAATCAGGAACGATGGGCTCATCATCAATCAATCGATAAGACTATAGACATAAGCAATACCTACAGACCAACACAACCCACATAACTAATGTAATTAGAACTGGATAAACAGTTCGTTCCTATCGCGCCCGCCAACAACAATACCACCACCACCACCACATACCGCCTTCATCCCCTCGGCCCTCATAAACCCGTACCGCGAACCCCTCCAACGCCATCGATCAACCCCAGACCCATACTATATAGTAAGAGATGCTAGCTCCAAGCCCATACCACCCAACTAAAGCAAGTGCGAAGAGGCCAGTAAAAGCCCGGACGAAAACTACTCTCCCAAGAGAACCTCGATCATCCAATGCGGGGGGAAACTGCACACACCGAGGGGAATCTACCAATCCCTACTCCATGTAGGTAAACACTCTAATACTCCTTCTCCACCCCCGGAGCGACAAGCGCAACACCTGACTATAGTTACTCCTGATAAGCAAATCCACTATCTCGTAATTGTAGGCCTCAAGGTCGTACTATGTGGATAAGTCAAGCCCTCAACCCCCCCCCCCCCCCCCTCCTCCTCCTCCACACAATTATCATGTGAACGGGGCTTCGGCAACTTATCTCCATAGTTATGACAAATCCCCCACACGGAAAAATACCCCTCCACTCTCGCCAACCATCTCGCCTAGGGAATCCGGCGGAACAAAAATCACCCGTCGAAATTCTTTCTCTCTCTCCGCATGGAGTAATCTTTACCACCCCGGAGGACTGGTCGCCACCCCGGTCACGTGGAACGTCACAAAACAAAAAAAGGCTTATCTCAGCTGTCAACCCCGGGGGAGCCAGGGGGGGGAAGTTGTCTTAATCTATGTAAGATTACTTGTCTTTGATTGGTGGTATGGAAGGGGGAATTGTGTATTTCCACCAATTGTGGGCGCGGTTGTGTATTTCATTCGACTGGTGAGGGGAGTAAGCGAGAACAATCTATATTTTTGTAGTAGGGATGTAGAGGTCGGACATAACAGTGAATAATAGCCACCGGCCAAACAGCATTCCCTAATGAGGCGAATCGCGAATGTGCAAGCCGAGCTTGGAGGTCGGGCACACTCAGTCACCACACATGTTGCGGAAAAGAAACTCGCTTATAGACCCAAGAAGGGGAAAAGCAAAGGCAAAAAAGATGAGGCGGGCAGGATGTGTTGTTTGTGCCTGGGAGGTGAATCATCGGCAAGCAAGAAGTGATAATTAGGCGAGAATTTTTTTTCCCTATACATACTCACCGCTACAGGTAGGATGACAACGCAGAATTGAAAACAGTTGGTGCATGGCAAACGATAGGTAGCAAATGTAAAATGATTATTAGGTCTGTAAAAAGAGAAGAATTCTCCCTTTGCCCTGTTCTAACTGCTGTACACTGCACCTTCCCAGATGCCCCTCAACGAACCCCAGTTTTTGGAATTATTCAATTACAATGTGCCTTAGTGAGCTCTGAGTGACAAATAACAAGTCTACCCAATGAAGCTTCTGTATTGATAGACGAGCAGTCGCTGGAAAACTCTGGCCGGGGTGGAGGAAATTGCCGAGGGAGGAGGGCTCATCTCATTTTCTTTGACCCTGACCGGGCCACCAACACCAACACATCACGACATGATAAGAATAGTTACATAATTTCCCGGAAGAGTAAGCCAGTCAAGCCACGCCTCGCCTGGGCGCAGTGCACGGCAAAGGCAGCGAGGTTCAACCCACCGGGATACCTTCTGCCGGACAAAGAGCACCTTGAGGCCAACCGCCCAGTGAGAACGGCTCAGACCACCACGGGATTCGGGAGAGATTCGGCAGAGCATATGAGAGAGAGACTCGGGTCGGACATCCCGATGGCACAGTGAGAGAGAAAAAAAATTGCCTCAGACCGAGAGCCTAGCCTAGCCTAGAGAAGGCGGCGGGGAGAGGGGGTGGGGGAAAAGTCAAACCATGGCCAACTGAACAGGAAGAGGGAGAAGGGAGACCGGGAGAGAGGGGGAGGGGGGCTGAGGAGGGGGGAAAGTCCCGGGGGAGAAACAGCCCAACCAAGGCCAGAACAGGCCCTAACGACGATGGCTGCTTCACCGGAAAACCCTTTGAGGACGCGAGCCCGCATGCTGTGCCGGCTTCAATTCATTCCTTAGGGACTTGGAGGGGGGGAAAGAGGAGGGGGGCAGGGAAAAGTCGGGTTAGGTAAGAAAATTTCTTTCTCTCTTTCTCCGCAATAGTTGCCCGCCCTGTTTAGACCCGCAAGCCTTCCCCCAGGAAAGAGGAAAAATGGCCGCAATTCTCCCGAAATCACCCGATACCTTACACACTCTCTTACACCACCACGCCCGCAGTCTCTCTTCTTAGTACTCACGCCGTCTCAACTTTGTGGTTGCACCGTTGCAGAGATTTTCGTCTTCCGTCTTGAGTCTGAAAAAACTTTTCTATGGCTTCTCTTTCCCGTCTCATCCCAAACGGGGAGGCTTCTCGTAGAAGTTGTCTACCCTGGATCGTGTCCAGTGGATAGATTCGGGACTTGGGGACGATGACACCAGATCTTAGGTTTTGATCCGCCGGGCTCTAAATTCATTAATAATAATCTTTTTCCCTTTCCTTATGCTAATTATTGTTTCCTGTCAAATCAGAGCATGTGGAAGACAGTACCCCGGCCTCGGCCCGGTACTACGTACAGTACAAACTAATCAGATGGTGTTCTGCGCCAGGGCCTGGAGGAGACACACACACACACACACACACCACACACACACACATACCTGGAAGTTTCACTTACGGTACACATTGGACCCCACATTTCTCTCCCACATTCATTCATTCCCTCCCACATTGCAGCCGTAGATGTGACCATGATAATGATGCTGATACTGATGATTCAATGATGAAGTCGACAACAGCATGTAACTACCGGAAAGACAAAGCAAAATCAGCACCTCGGCAAGCTTACCAACCATTGACGTGGCGAGCTGAGCTTAAGATGCGCAACAACCTGTTGAGGATACGGACAGCAGCAAAGTACAGTACAACTCCTACAGTCAGGACAATGTACGCAAATCTCAAACCAGGAACGCGTCCTCCACAGTCTGAGTATGAGTACGTGGACACCTGGGCAAAACCTTGACCGAGAGAACTATCTACCGACCAACGAGTCACAATGCCTCCAGACACGGGAGATTGTCATCTAGAAGGGCCGCGCACTAAAAGAAAGTGAGAGAGGTACATGTAACACCGGGTTTAGTTTAGCTGCAAATCATTCTTCTTTTCCCATGACGTAGTCCCGGCCATCTTCCGCTGTGGTGGGTGTGGCTCGCCCGCGCGCGAGCCCACCAAAACCCTCCCCTGCCTCTCTTCCATTCTCGGTCGGCTCGGCGTTGGTCCCTTTTTTTATTTTTTTCCTTTTCAATTTTGTTTTCTTACTATGTACTAGTCCGGGTATTGTATCGGGCGAGAGGTTGTACCGCCCAGCCCCCCTCCCCCCAAGCTCAGCCCCAGCCCTTACAGTTAAGCATGTATTGTATGTTAATTACCGGTATGTGGAGGGCACAACTGGGAAACTGGGGCATGAGAGGACCTTGGGAACAACCCTCGATTGGGGGAAAAGGCTCGGTGAATCTTCGTGGTGTTCGTATGGGGTAAATTTCCCCCTTGGGAATACCTTTTTTTTTTTTCTTTTCGTGTGGTCGTAAAAAATCAACTCACTGTACCTGACTTATCTCATTTACGAAGACAAAGTGTTCTTGGTTGGGCTACATGACAGCCCACTCAATTTTTTTTTTCGGTATTTGTTCTTTGCCTGTAGTGCTATTAGGCGGTTTTGAATGATCACAACTGCCCCAAAAAATCACTTTCACAGGGGGGTGGTTTGGAAGGGAACAAGCGCCGGGAGAGGCGGCGGCGGCGGTGCTGCTGCGGTGGTGGTGGTGATCGGATTCCAACCTGCAGCTCAGCTTGAAGGGTTGTACTGTACACTAGGATATCAGTACGACGGCGTACACGGATCAACGACGCCCACACCTTTCTCCGCCCTAAACCACCCCCTCCCTTCTTTCCTCCTGTTTAGATACTGCAGTTTTTTTTCCGTAATGTACAGTGTACTGTATGCACAAGTGTACAAGACAATATACTATGTCCAATTCTCAAACAGGGGGGAAGAGGGGAGCGGGGGCCGGGGGGCCAAGTGGGATGCTGTTATGGTCCGATTCTCAATGTCCCCGATACGCACCGGTGGTGTTCTTATGTACATAGTGACGTGACATAACCCTAGCAATTGGGAATCTAGAGCGGTCATCACTTACCTTTGCAGACTAGACTAGACCGGGACTCCGGAGAGACAGATTGAAAAAACCTCATAGCTCCAAGGGAGCTATGACTAGGAGCGGAGGGGGAGGGGGGAAGGGGGAAAGGGGTAAACAGTAGGACGAAACGGGGCGGATAAGAGGAGCTTTTGCGAGGTGAAAGAGGGGCACACGCAAGCTCAACTGACGAGATGGCTGTCTAGATGCTCCGTAGCATGTGCACATATCTTCAGAACGAGTAGACTGCCCTGCAGAAGTTGCATACCGGTAAAGGATAGCATGATCCTCAGATCAAGAAAAAAAAGAACAGAAGCCTGAACGTGTGTGTGCTGAACTGAAGAAATGGCACGACCACGACAAGGCCTTATCTCTGATTCTCCTCCTTCAAGCTTCGCTCCCAGTGCACTAGTACCTCACTAAGGCAGGTAGACAGCACACTACGGAGGTACTAGCCCTTAGTCTGGCTGTAATGAGGAAGTGCACAAGACCACGTCCTCCACCCTCGCGGAGGCGATCCTCCTGAACTATACGTACCAGTAGTATCAAGAGAGCTAAGGGTCCACACCACATGTTAAGTGACTTATATAATTTTAGATACGGGGTAAATCATCAGGCACCGACTTGGACCTACATACGAGTAGTACTGTACCTACCTACCTAGATCCAGTCAGGTAGTTGCAAGTTGCAAGATACCTGTTAGAATAAAGTGACATCTAAAAATGGCCCCCTAGCTTCACCCGGACCTTCCGCCCCCCCCTTCCCCCTTTTCGGGCGACGTGTCATCGTTCAAGATGATGACCGCTTTTGCCTTGCGCCTTCTCTAGGAGTCCCCCGGAAGTGACCAAAACTGATAATTACCTACCAACCGGGCAATGCAATGGAGTAGTTACACGTTGTGGGGAAGTTGCCCCTATTGACCGCCACACTTCCCCGAGGCAGGTCCGGGAGGAGAAGCCAAATGGTGCGACCAAGTAGTCAGAGAATGAGGTATCCGGGGGTGGGCAGAGGGGGAAAACCTCGGGGATACTGTTTCCACCGAATATTAGTGACCGCGATGAAATTGTAGGCAAAAGGCAAAAATGAATGATGTGAGGAGGTGCTGTGCCTTTCAGATCGCCCAAGGCCCGCCCCAGGCTGCGCGCTCTCTCTTCATTGGAAGGGCTGAGAAGAGGTCTGTGAATAGGCGTAGATGATGATATCTGGTGCCTGATAAGAGGAGCCTCGACGAGTTGACCAATGAATGAATGAGATCAACCTGCTATTCAGCACATTTCTAACCTGATTGCCTGGCCTCTGACGGAGATTCTGAGACAGCCACGCAGTACAGTACCTGCCTGACTGCCTTCCGGGCAGTACAGCAAGTAGGTACCGTACTCTGTGTGCCACTGTGCTCTGTACTAAATATGAAAGCGTCCGGATTCCGGAAGCGCGGCCCCGCATAACCTGGGGGCAGCGGCTGTGACGCCTGTGAATCGACGACATCACCGTGATACCGTTTCTCCACAATGATTGGGCCAAACGCTCCGTTCCAGAAGCATGTGGATCTTCGGATCGCGCCTTGCGGAGGCGCCTGGGAGTGCGTGTCTTTAGCCACCAACCAGGGCGTGGCGTTTGTGCTCGTCCGCAATCGGTCACAGCCATACCCGAGCTGCTGTAAGATACATACCAGGCATGCGGTGTGCGCGTCTGAGGGTGGAATCTGACCGCAGGCAACCTCTCCTACACCTCCCCTTGTTGCACCGGATGAGTCTGCTGCTGAATTCGACTGATAAGCCGTCGTTGCGCATTACTGGTAGATGGTCATGAGCGGTGCTCACTCCTCTCTGCACTGCCCAGAATTGTGTCTTCGATGGCAGGCCTGATAGGTCAAAATTTCCGTAATATGTAACTCTATACGGAGTTCTCTGGGAATTCCCCAGGTTTCATCCCCGCATATTGCTGCCAAGCGCTTGGGGTCGCCTTCAGACAGGATCGTCCAGAAGATAGCAGCGCACCAGAAGTAATTCCACAAAATTCTCTTGCGTAAGAGAAATGGGCAATTGACGAGCACAACGAGCGCACCAGGACAATCTCGGGTGACCTCTTGCCCTCCTTGAGAACTGCGATTCGACCATACTTCCATAGTCCTCCAGCACCTCCATCCTTCATCCTCAGTTCGCCTTCTTGAAAGGCTGAGTCATCGGCTCGGCGGCAGGACACCACACGCAGTGGGCAGGCACTCGGATGTATCATTCGCACTTCCCCGGATCAACATATTCAGGCTGTTTCGGTCATGTTGATAACATAATTTTTGCCTCTGGCACGTCATCATCTTTGATCAATGAATCCGGAAGTAGTCTGATGAGCAGGTTGCTTTGAACCAGATAAGGCGCTTCAATTGTTGGTCGTGGCGAATCAGACAAACTCATTCAGATGGCCTATGTGGCAGTCTTCTCATTCGTTGCAAAGTCAAAGAGGAAGTGCTGCAGACTCATATCAATCATTCATGTTGATATTGTGTCGAGCTACTCCGGAGTTGGCATACAATGGGTGAGAGCGTGCCGTGGTTGGGTCTCAGCCGTCGTTGAAGGTAGCACGGTGTTCCACATGTGAAACAGACCAAGGAGGAGTATGCAGCTTGAGTCGGAGTCTCGAACTGTCTGTCTTGTTCTCGACGTAGTCAATACATTCTGCACACTTGTTTTTTCCGCGGTCAATGCAGATTGTCATTCTCTACTTCGTGCCTCCCTGTCGTATTTGCTCCCATACCCTGATGTAATAGGCCATGGCTGAATGTGTAAATGAGCAAGCGACACCACTAGATTGAATACAGCTCGCTTGACTTTTCAGACCCCGAGTGAGGAGGTGAATAATTATCTTTAGCGGATGAAACACGATAAGAGCATGCATGTGCGTTGGCGCAATTGTCTGACACCATACAGAATGATAATTAACCCCACACCGAGAGAATCAGGCAACACGAAAAGCGACAGCGCGGCTAGTCAAGGAGTCCCTGGTTGCAGGCGCCATGTACGATATGCTTGTCGATTGGCCTGTAGTGAGCATCCAGCTGTGCTGCAGTCGTCCTATAGATGTCCTACAGATGACTCAGGATTACCTCGTTCTCGCCGATGTGAATAGTGCATGATTGAGGGTCTTGCCGCCGTTTCCCTCGAAGACATGGCCTTTGCCATATACTATTATGCATACTTCGTCTCCTTGCGCGGAATTTGTCCATGATCGCTTGGGATGCGAAACTGGAACTCACAAGCTTCTTCCAATATGTGGATGTATGCATAGAGTCGAAGATGAAGTTGTTGATGGCCAAACATGGCCGTGGTATTGAGAGTGAAGCATGAACAGTCTCCCCGACCTAGCATGGTAATGATCGTCGAGCGGTTCATGAGATACAACACATTGCCCACGTCCCTTGTCCGGCCTGCAAAGGCGGTTGCCGCTGATAGTTACCGTAGCGATTGCATGACAACAGCACACACACCCATTTTAGCAAGTCGCGACACGCCAATCGTCGCTTTTTCACTCTGCGACAGAAACAAGGCGTGCTTCGGCATAGGCACTGTACTGTGTTTTCCATCCATGGTGACGGCCAGGGTTTACCTGCAACTAATTGACTATTGTTCTGCGCTAGAATGCTTCCACTCTTTGACTCCATCGAATTCATGCGACATCGGGTCCTTCGAGCAATTTTTACTCTACTAGGCACTGGGCACCGCAGAGGGATGACCATTTCCGGACAGAGGACCTACCGAATGCGAGTGTAGATCATATCCCGCGATCATCGCGGGGAAGATCTTCCGTCATTTTGGGGATGTGCTGGTGCCGGGCGCAACAAGATCATGGGGTCAACGACACCTGATATTTTATTCTTTTTTGCTTTTTTCCTTGTTTACTTTTTATTTCATTCTTTGAAAGAATATGTAGGGTTGCTTAGATTTAGGTGGAGTTAGATCTCTGTGGGGAATTAGCCGTTTGCCATCTCAGAGCGCCTACTTCATAGGGTTGAAGATCATTATGTTGATATAGAGATTAGCATTAGTCACGTAATGTTGTTGGACGTAACAACATAACACAACCTTTCCTACTCAAGTATTTTTCTTCTGGAATTATTCGACTCTACAGTATCGGCCTATTCATTTTGAAAAGATTTTCTTTCCGCCGATGGCCGTTCGGCAAAATGCGGGAATACTCCTTAGCACGATGGCGACGATAACTGACAATATGAGGTAGTATTGGATCAACTAACTATTGATTGTGTGATTGACTAGGTAATATGTAGCTTAAGCAAGTCGGCGACTAGTTTGGGGGGGCAACTTACGTAGTCTTGGTGCCGTACCTGCGTACCATCCCCCAGTTCTGCTCCCCCATTTGTTCCACCAACCCAAAGCTGGAGCCTGGAGAACAATCAATGGGGGTGGGGTTTCGCTTTTCGCTGATTGTCGCAGACTCACCGGGGGGTGTCTGGAGCCAGCGTGCATGCTTTACCCTACTTGGTGCCGTCCGTCCTGCTGGCCGGCAAAGCGCCGGCAGTCGGCCCGGCATCAGCCATTTCAGCCATGAGAAGAAGGATGAGCGGGCGTTCAGCTGAGATTTTGCAGCTGATCTCATTCTCACCTCATCCCTTCCTCCCCCTTCCTCTCCTCCCCTCCTCCATCTTCCTCAAGTTTGGATGCGGAGCAGGACAGAAGCAAGATTCTTGTGCCAGATAAGGTCGAGCAGATGATCCAATGTTCGCATTGAGTGTTGCTCTAGACTCTTTAAATCGATAGCCCTGTGACCCCGTGTCCGTTATTCTAGTTGTACCGCCGTACTTTTGCCTGCCTTATCTCACAGATCTCATTATCTAGTCTATTGCCTTCTCCCAAATGATACTCATAATTCTTCCGGGTCGCCATTCCTTCCTCTCTAGGCGGATAAACCTTCAGGTCAGGCGGGGTCGTGGGGGTGGGTTCCAGATCACAGACCAGACAGCCCGAGTTTATCCTATCAGACCCAGGGGAACCGCCACGGCCACGATATCAACCGCGGGGAGCTTTTCTCCGTCGGCTCGACCGACCACCTCCTTACCCTTGCCCTTGCCCTACGTATCATCGGTCTTGCGATCCCAGCGATAAGCTCACATCGGCGTTAAGAGAATTTACTAGGCGCTCTAGGTAAGTTAAGTGGGTTAGGCTATCGTAGTAGCCTGCTCGAAGAGGATAAATTACATACAGTGCATCTGGTATTGTTTAATCGTCAAAAGGTCAAGTCAATGGACAGGCGTTTTCAGAAACACTTTCTCCGGCAAATGTGACTGACTGTGATATTCATTCTTGTGGACCAAATTGGGGTTGCACCCCCCTCCCTTCTCTTCCCTCCCCAGACCCCCCGGGGTTGGGGCTATCTGCGATCTACAGAACTGCCCAGACGGCTTGGTGCATGGATGTGTTCCGATTTCCCGGATATTCATCCTAATTACGAATTCTAATGGATTTGCCCTTGCCCTGAGCATAGTGACTTTTGACTTTTTGGCCCTTCGACCTGTCCTTTCGTCATCGATCACAACTGATATGAGTGTAGTCAAGAGTGTACGTAAGTGTCTACATTCCTTTCTCAGATGCTGGTCCCAGAGGCCTATTGACCCTTGCATACCAAGAACCATACGCTGGTGCGAGAGCGGAAACAATCAGCCGGCAATTGCGTCGAGAAGCATGAAGATAAGATCTATCATCGTCTAGTGACATGTGATTGCTGTTACCACCACCCGGGCCTTGAGCAGAGAATGCACCGTACATCAGTGGTTCGTGGATTGTCTAATGGCTGGCTGGAGTTGCCGAAAACCCGTATCTTACTTTATCCCGAATGACGCTTGGGCTTAGGATCCTCCCTCTCCTCTAGAGACTCATTATTATTTCTTCAGTCGCTTAATATACGGTAATATCATGCGACAATCAGACAATATCATTAGTCAAGCAGGATTGGTGGCGGGTTCATTATACGCCCAATTCTGTCCCCTCCTCTCAGCAAGCAGGGTTCCCGCACGGGGATTTCCCTTGTCGGATGAACCTCCTCAGGCTCCCCCTCCCCCTTCCTCCCCCAATTATCCTTCGTTCGCCCGTCCGGGGAAATTCACTCCGTCCACGGCGGTGGCAGAGCTTTAGGGAGATTAGAAGTGGTCTGGGACCTGGGGAAAATCTATTGCGGAGTTCAATTTCCGGACTTGATTCTAGTTTGCGTTGGATCAACGATTAGTCGCCTTTCGGGCCCCCTTTGGATTTACTCTTAGCCTTTTTGTCTTGAAGTACTCCCCCTGTCAATATCACCAGCGGAAAAGCTCCTGTAGACGCCTGGCACCGATGAAACGATGCAGGGTCCCCTTCGATGCGGTGGGAATAGTAAGCGCTAGGCCAGGGGGTGGTGAGAGGCCTCGATTCCGGCGACATGGGGGGTAAGTGCGCGTCACAAACGGGTTAATCGCATCTGCGAAGCTTGACTGTCGGTTAATTAAGGATATCATACTGTATGTTGACTACTCCACCGCATAGAATGCATAGATATGATGTGCGATTGCGATTGCAATTGCGGTTCTCGTCGACCCTGTCTGTGTGCGCCGACCACATGATTTAGCGCATACCTTCGCTGCGCATCACCCACGTCGCAGCCATCATTCATGCCTGCCTGCCTACCTGCCTGGTTCTAGGCGCCTTCAGCACTAGGAGAGCTGAGAAGGAGAGGGTAAACGAAAAGAGCGTGTAGCCTTCCCCGTAGTCTAGTCGAATCAACACTCGTCAATATGAGTAATATCCGCAGGCAGCTGAGTTTGTGGGGGTTGTATGTATCGCCTCGTCCGCGGTTCTGACTCATGGGGAAAGGAAAGGAAGGCTGATGAGCCAATCCATCCATGGTTGATGTCTGATGCAATGTTGGCTTTATTTTTCAGTTTCCCCCACAATAATAATAATAAGGAAATGCCGACGGATGGCCGCTCGTTCGCCATTTACCCGCATGGCATGTCATCCCGGCTCTTTTTCGTCGCCCTTCCAATTCAATTCGCCCTGTGGCTGCCGTCGCCAACAATCCAACAGCCTCATCAAAAAACCCCTCCCCCCTTCCTCACCGACGAGAATGATGATGATGTTAACGATGATGATGTATTGGATCTCGCCCATCGTATGACTTTTTGACTCCGCGTACCGCTTCTGCCCTACCCAGCCCTGGCCTTTTGGCATGATCACCGCTTCCGTCACGGAGAGATGTCATTGGGAAACCTTCACTCGACCCCAGACCGTCTCAGCTTGGCTAGTAAAGTATGGATTTACTTATCTTAAGATTCTCAGTCAACCAACCCTCGCCTGAATGTCGGTCGATCAGCTGGTCTGGACTGGGCGGTTCTGAAAATCTGTCGAACAATTCTTTTTCTTTTTCTCTTTCCTTTTCTTTTTTTTTGTTTTCGTCTCTCCCCCGGCTATGCCCCGGACTTCCTAGTTAAGGGAAACTGGAAAGGGTTTGCCAACAGGAAACCCAAAACACAAAGCAAATCCCCCAAAAAAGAAATACGTACTGTAATCGAATAAATAACAAACCCTCCCTAGGAAAAGAAATACTGGATGATCCCCCCTTCGTAAGCGCCAATCACCTCATCTTTTCATCATCGACTCTCATCTCATCACAACAGGATGGCATCATCTGGGGAAGGGACTCTTGGGGATGATGAGCGGATTGATGGGGGACGGGGGCGGCGAGTTTGGGGGGGGGGGGTTGATTGGGGATATTCTACGTTAACTCAACCCCCCATTCCCCCACCATCTGACCGTATCACGCAGAGAGCTGGTTGAGTTCCAATACAGCATCCTACCCTCCCAGAAGTCTATTCATGGGGGGCGATAGGGGACGCACCCACCTTTTCCAGGTCAATAGTGTGTAGCTATCACATGGGAAAGAAAGGTTGGCTGAATAGCTAGCTATCCATGTGTGTGCATTATCCGACTTGCGGAACACAATCACGTAATCGAGCTCCCTTTGATCACCACCAGATCCTTTTGCCCCGGGTGGTGGAGAGCAAGAGTCGTGAGGGAGGGGGAAGGATAATTATGATGGCGGTGGTGGTCGTGGTGGAAGAGGAGGAGGGGGGGGGGCCCTTTACCAACAACAATGATATCTTATCATACAATACACTCATTCATTTCCCCCGGAGGTCATCCGCGATAGCCGGTTTATGACTGTAGAATAGAAGGTGTGGAAGACTGAGAGGTTCGGTTCAGTTCAGTTCAGTTCAGTTCAGTTCACCTTTTACATTTACCATACGGGAAAGGAGCTGAGCTGAGCTTGGCTGTGCTGTGCTTTGCTTTGCTTTACCTTACTTCAGTACCTACCGGAACTTACTCCATACCAACGGTCCAACACCCGACAATACCGGGCACGCACTTCTCCAGGCCACACAGCCACTTCTGCAGTTCCAGTTTCTACTCCGTAATCTCTATCGACTCTAGTTTAGCCCCACATTCTTTTTCTTTTTTTTTCTCTCTCTCTTTCTGCCTTTTCTCTCCAGGCTCCCCTCCTTTCTTACTCTTTTCGTTGCCCTCACCTGTTCTGAGCGTCTCCCTTCCCGGTCGTTATAGTGGATTTTCTTTTCTTCTCTAACACACCGTGCGTGGTCCGAAAATCAGGCGACGGAAGAGGCCCGAGATAGGCAACGTATTGAAGACTTGAATATCATTTGATTGCTTATAAACCATGTACGAACAATAAGAAACACAGTCTATTCATGGCATTGAGAACATTAAGGTCAGATCAAGGACCATCGTATTGAAATTCTATTCGTCCGATATGTACTCCGTAAAAAAGAAACATTGAAAGAAGGTACGTAGTAAAACAGGTGTCCCATCAGGCTGGTAAGAGTGACCGGTTGAATCCTCTTTAAGGACAGCAGCCGATCAGGTTTGGCCGGAAAGCACGTTCTTATTTCCCTTTTCATTCAACTAGTCTCCAGAGCCTGCTTTTTTTGCCCCCCCGATATTTATCCCCACACAATGTACATTTTTTCACTCTTTTTCTTTTTTTTTTTTCTTTTTTTTTTTTTTTCTTTGCCCTTTTTTTTCACTCTTACCCAATCTTCCCCTTCTTGTCCTCCGATTCCGATAAACCCACCCCTCTACGACTCTCCCTTCCTCCTCCCCTCCCCCGAGCTCCGTTTCTTTCTTCTTCCCCTCCATTCCTCCTTCTCACTCTTCCAATTCTCCTTTCTTATATCACCTCCTCCCCAGATCCCTTTCTCCAGATTTCTGCCTCTTTCCCCTCCTCCTGGAGACTCATCAATTCCAACATTCGCCTTTCTCGGCTCGCCATTCAGCACCGGGGTTCATTTCCGATTCCGGCCTGCCACCACACTATCATCATCACTATCCTATCAATCATCATCATCATCCTCCTCTTCACCCACCACATTCCGCACTCCTGCCTATTGAAAATCCGATCACATTGTCCAGAAGTGTCTTGAGTCGAGTTAGCCAACGCTTATTAAGATCGTACCTACTTAAGCCCTGTCGCGTCACAAGGACTGTATCATTCCTTGCGACTTCCACTGCTCAACATTTTCTTGGCAACGCTAGGCCTGGGTGGTTTATACTAGCGGGTGGTGATCGACTCGCCGATATAAGCTCCTTGTTCCCCCCCCCTGGTGGTCGCGACACACGGCCTATCGCCTCGGCTGCTCATCCCTTCCGCACGGGTTTTCAAATTCCGGCTCTGTCCTACCTCTCACCCCCCTCTCCCAAGAAAGCTTCACATGCCGCCCCCGGCTTCTTCAGTGGATTTCTCCAATCTGCTAAATCCGCAGAGCAATCCGACTGAGTCTACTCCGTCCTCACCTGCCACCCCCGTGGATAGCTCGAAGGGTCCTTCTACTCCGTCCAGCGCTCAGTCCACTTCCAGTATGGCTTCATCCGTCAGTCTCCTCCCTCCTCTGATGAAGGGTAGCCGTCCTGCGACCGAAGAAGTGCGCCAAGATCTCCCTCGGCCGTACAAGTGCCCGCTGTGTGATCGTGCCTTCCACCGCCTGGAGCACCAAACGAGACATATTCGCACCCACACGGGCGAGAAACCCCACGCGTGCCAGTTCCCTGGCTGCACCAAGCGATTCAGTCGCTCCGATGAACTCACTCGCCACTCGCGAATTCACAATAACCCCAACTCGAGGCGCAGCAACAAGGCTCAGCATCTCGCTGCGGCTGCCGCGGCTGCAGCTGGTCAGGAGAATGCGATGCCCAACAATGCAGGGGCCCTGATGCCCCCTCCCAGCAAGCCTATGACTCGCTCTGCGCCCGTGTCGCAAGTCGGCTCTCCCGACATTTCCCCTCCCCACTCTTTCTCCAACTATGCCAACCACATGCGCTCCAACTTGGGGCCTTATGCCCGCAATACCGAGCGGGCTTCTTCTGGCATGGACATCAATCTCCTCGCCACAGCTGCCTCGCAGGTCGAGCGCGACGACCACTTCAGCTTCCATGCCGGCCCTCGCAATCACCACTTGTTCAGCAGTTCCCGCCACCACGGCAGCGGTCGTTTGCCTTCTCTCTCGGCTTACGCGATCACGCATAACATGAGCCGGTCGCATTCGCACGAAGAAGACGATAGCTATTCGCATCGTGTGAAGCGTTCCAGGCCCAATTCGCCCAACTCGACCGCTCCATCCTCACCCACTTTTTCGCATGACTCACTTTCACCTACTCCCGACCACACGCCTTTGGCTACCCCCGCCCACTCTCCGCGGCTGAGACCTTTGGGATCGAGCGATTTGCATCTTCCCTCAATCCGTCATTTGTCGCTTCACCACACCCCCGCCTTGGCACCCATGGAGCCACAACCGGAGGGTCCCAGTTACTACAGCCCTAGTCAAAGTCACGGTCCGAGCATCACCGATATCATGTCCAAACCCGATGGCACACAGCGCAAGCTACCTGTTCCCCAGGTACCGAAAGTGGCAGTCCAGGATATGTTGAATCCTGGCAGTGGGTTTTCATCGGTCACCTCGTCCACCGCCAACTCAGTCGCGGGCGGTGATCTGGCCGATCGTGCCTTTTAAATCGACCTTTGTGCCGATACATTTGGGTTTGTAAACTTGGATTCCGACAAAAAGCATTATATCTTCATGCGTGCTACGACCAAATAGACTTGTGCATTTACAATGGTTCATGGGCATCATCGGTGTCAGTTGGTTGGGTGGTTTTTTCATTATCTTTACATTGCTTTGGATTCATGGCTCTTATACACTTCTTTGTACTCTTTTGCGAGGCGTCACTACCAATAGATGGATGGGATATCTTGTGAATCGTTTTCTGTCCCTTCTGATTCTCACTTCAGTGTCTGATCTCCTGATCGCATTTCCCCCTCTCCTCTCGGAACATCTCCTATCTCCTATCTCCAAACCCGAGCAGCGGGGTTCGCCGCTCGGCTCCTGTCCTTCGTGGCCTCTTCTGTCCACGAGGACGAAAAATACCGACTTTACCATTCTTGCTTCCGATTGTTTTCCTTCTTTCCCTTCTGGGTTATACTGATAGACCTGACTTCTATTCTTTCATTCTTTGCTATCTCCGCTATAGACCACCTCGAGCAGGACGAGAGGAATTACAACTTCACAATATACATCAACCTTAATTGGAAACAGTTTATATCACTAGCCACTTTAGTATCCTTTAGTACAGTTCTTTGGATTCCTGTAGGCTTCGTAACACCTGCGAAACCGGTTTTGGCATCGAGAATGGAGACCTTGAGAGCCTGGAAAGGTCTGGCCCGTGTCAGTAGGCCATGGGAAGCGACCGCGTGATCCCCGATTGGCATGTCAACCAAGGAGGTGTACTGTACCTGAAGGCTGGATGATGACCTACCTCAGGGAGGAGGGCTAATGACCGAACTAAGATTCCAAGTTAGTAGCAAGGGCGCCTAAAGATATGCGCTCGGGCTGGGATTGGCTCTTGGAGCAAAAGTAATCAACAACTACTCTACCGTAGGTAGGTACTGTACCTACCGTAAGGTATATAAGTTCCACTACCTACTAACAGCCAAGCCGCTCAGCCGACCTTTATCTCCGTCGCGTGTTGGCCAAAATAGACTAGTTAGTACGCAGTAACTGACTAACTAATAACTAGGTCTGCTTATGTCATTTCCGAAGTAAGTTGATCACTTATATTGTACTACAGATGGGTTTCATCATATACTTCCACTTTTTTTCTTCTATCTCCATACATAATCATGTGACAACTACTTATCTTCTCGATGATCTCCCATAGTAGGATTTGAACGGTCCACATTACATTTGGAGCTTTTGTTCGGGAAATCCTTGCGCGGCGCTCATATGCACTGCATACATACATGTTTTTACTACTGTTTTGCACTGTAAAGCATGTCTGCTGATCCGATGCGGGCACTGCTCCTTTACAGGGTGCCAGGGACTGCCTTTTTTGACAGAGTCGTAGATTGAAGGTTGGGTAAGGCACAGGTGATGTTGCTCTGAGTATGAGACTTGATCTTCTAGGGATCCTGACCCCTACGACCTGGAAGTCTTGATGGATGGACAGGGGAAAGAGGGGGTTGTACAGTACATGAGTGGTATGCATATCGGAACTAAAACACCCGATAGGTTTAGCATGCATGTTTAATTGACTTGGGTGCCATGACGCATTTACATTCGATCTATCTGTGACTCCTCCCGCGTGGAGCTGGGTTAAACTGGAGTGCAAGAGGGATCTCAACTTGGAGCTTCAGGGGGGCAGCAGATATCAGACCAAGGTCTCTACTTGCTCCCGTAAGCTCTCCAGAATCGCCTTGTTCTTCTCCCACCTGCTCATAGCCTCCTCGTAGTCATCATGCGAGACCCAGCCATCGTCCCCAAGAAATTCCGCCCGCAGGGCATCAAATTCCCCAAACGCGGCGGCCCAGGCTTCGACCTGCTGCCGACTCTCTTCGATCTCGGTCCGCGAGAACGAAATGGGACACGGTTGCGTCGCGGCTCGGTGTCCCCTGATGCGGTCCCATTTCTTAAACACCTGGATTAACAGCTCCTTCAACGGCATTGGGCCGTCTTCGGAGGAGCGTCCGACAATATGGAATATGAAAGTGGTAGGGTCACTATTATCTCTTATTTTGTCCATCGCATCGACAAGAGCCGGGTTGACCTTCCGGTAAGCCAGCTTGTAGAACTTTTTTAGTCTAAGCCGGTTAAGCTGATCTTCCGCTTACTTTTTTGCGGCCGGCGACAGAGTTTCGAAGTCTTTGGGTAGCCGGGGTTGGACAGCTCCCTATGGGTATGTGTCATCGCAGTCAAAGATCGAAGGAAACTTCGCTTGTATAAATAACGGGGCGGTGTGGACAGTTTGCCAGTTAATAATACTAGAAATTCTAGTAGAATTGGACAGATCGACGAAAATATTATAGTGATGAAGGTCCGAGTGTAAAAGGACCGGGGTAAGAACTTCTTCTGGTAGTAGAATATAAGAAAGCACCGTTAGGAATTGCTTAAAAAACTGTATATGATTATTATGTTTTTATAGTGTCTTGTCTGAAGTGACAGTGACATCGCCGGATCTGTTATATGCGTTTTGTATCTGTGATATCTTACTGGTTGCGATAGCTGTGAAGTACTCCTAAGCTGTCTCCCCTGTCTCACTATTTCAGTACTTAATCTCTGGATAGAGATAATAAAGATGTACTTACAAGGACCCTTGTTAGTCTCCAATTCTCGGTCCCTCGTCTTTCCAAAAGGAACGCTGCGTTGTTGGACCAAGAATAAACTTAAATTGGCCTTTTTGGTCTGCTGTTCCCAGGACAGCAATACTCCTTCCATGTGGAAAAGTATCTCCGTAGTACAGGCTGCTATGCAAGGTGAACTTTGCATTCACCAACTTCTGTTCAATTTCTACTAAGCTTTTTATAAGCCTAAAGTGTTGAGCTTCGGATATATCATCCCAAAATCGCTTAGTTGCTGACCTTTCACCCTCTCCATTAAAATATATTCAGCACCGACTGGGTTCACCTGCTGCAGGGAAGAGCTCCACGAAAGAACACGTGGGACTGGTATCTTGAGAACGGTTCGAAGCTTTCAATAGGGATTCTTGCATATCAGGTATACTGCAGCACGGAAACTAGGCATTGGCAGCACGTACAAAGTCAAGCGTTGCGACTTCACTGTAAGCATGGCCAGTGTTCGGGTTCGGAACTCTCGCCAGAATCTCCCTACCATTCTCCATCTGAAAAGAGAACACCTTGTTAAAAAGCCCCTCCGGTATCTTATTCATCTGAACACATCGGCTTTTCAACAGTTGACCGGCGATACGCTGTAGCGCTGGCACATTAAAGTTGGTATGGCGCGTTTTGAGTTGGTGCGTCTCATTGATAAGCCAACAACCAGATGTGTAGTTAAAGTAGTGACTATGGCTTGTGTCAATGGGCTGATTACTGGTCGATCGGACCCGCTGGGATGAATGCCAATCTTTGGTGAAGCTCATAGTAAGCCTCGGTAGTATGCGAGATCTGATGTGAGGTCGTTGGATGACCAGCATGACTTCTTCGAAGCTTAAGACACGGTGACGAGGTTTGCAAGGCGAAAACTAAGGAACATCTAGATTGGGTCACTTTCGTGGGAGGTATGGTTCAGTCACCAAGGCAGGGTGATTACGGAGTACACTGCGCAAGATCGTAGGCAGGCAAACAACTTGATCAGCAAGGAATCTTGGTTAATTAGATCGGATGCGCTCAATAAGGGTTACAGTGACTGCCAGTTGAGCCTGGAGGTGCCGACCCGGCGCGTTCCCGTCGATGACTGATCTCATCAACCTCCTGCTGTTTTTCAAATTGCACTGGCTACCGCTGAACAATCATATAGTAATACCTGCAACGCTTATATGATGGTAAAGGCCGTGAAGGTGGTGAGGGTAGCACAAGTACACATATAGTGAACTAAAAGACCTATATCTCTTGTTGTCTATAGAATGATATACGCCCTCCTGTTCGGGTATAGTACAGTGGACTCACAGCTAGACTCTAAAACGCTTAAGGGAAGTATGTTTATGAGTATCAGGTGTACAAATAACAAACCTGTTGTCTAGCATCTCAAGCCCAGCCATCTGCGGACTAGAGATCATTACGATGCTGCTGCAACAGCAACTGATGATGATGCAATTCATTCTCCCCCTTGGCAAAGACATCCTGGCTTTCTTCACCGGAATCCTCAAAAAAAAAAATTGCACCGGAGCCCACTGTTCCCATGACCAAGACTAAATAAGCAGAATGCAGGTTTGTGCCATCAGGTTATCCAGGGCCCGGGTGACTTGGCCCTATGAAGGAGGTAATGTCTTGTACTTCCTCGACTACCAGTAAGCCTTGACGATCAATGTACTGTACCTGTTGACTTGTTTGTCGTCGACCAAGTACTGCATACTCTATTTACTACCTGAACTACTTATCATTTGACTGACTGATTAGCTGGTTGACTGACTAGCTGATTGACTGACTGACTGACCTATTCCTTCCCCTCCCCGCTTATCTTGCCGAACAGAGGCCGAAGCTCCTAACTAGGAGGTCTACCATGTTGAACCATGCGACAATCGTCCACGGCTATTACAGCGAAAAATGTTGGGGTTGATGTAACAGGCAGTTTGGAATTAGTTGAGGTGTCAAAGGTAGGCCCAAAGATGATTACAATCCTCCTCTCACATCTTTTGCTTCCCGATTTGAATGTGTGCGCTGCACTTTGGTTGCGACCCCGCCTTGGGCGACCGTGCGGCGGCCAACTATATGATCGAACCCACTCCCCCCCTCCCCTGCCAGATGAACTGCAAGCACTTTGCTTTCTGATCCCAACCTCGAGGCTGACAACTATGTGGCGAGAACAAGACTGCTTGTCAACCTCTGCTCGCAGAATAGGATAGCGTAACCCCAGCTTTCCGTTCGGGAGCGCTTCCAGCGCACCTCGGTGGCCGCCCGAAAGCTTTCTATCGGCTAGGCCACCCATGCTCTTCTCCTTATTCGAGTTTCGGTGCGCCGGAGATAGGTACACCACAGAAGATTCCAGTCAGACAAACGAAAGAGACGCACACTGGGACACCATGTCGGCCGTTCCGTCCCTGTTGAATGACACCGCATCCGACTCAGCATCCTCAACCGACATGTCCCTTGACACGCGGTGGGCATCCGATCTTCCAGGCCATGCGCTCTTGGAAGACGATGGAACGGGGGCTCTCATCGTCCCGGCTCGCGAGGACAGTCACGATCGCCACTTTCCCTACCTCTGCCTATTCCACATCATCGACTGCCACACCGCATTCGACAACGCGCAAGACTGGCGAACCCACGTCCTAAGCCATTTCCGAACTCATGCGCCGCCCAAGACGGCCCGCTGCCCCCTCTGCACTGGAGAGGGGGCAAGATTCCACGACACGGCCGAACTGGGGGCCTGGGACACTCTGCTCGACCACGTGGATTCGGCCCACTACCAGCAGGGCCAGTCCCTCGCCGGCAGCCGGCCCGACTTCGAGCTGATGCAGTACCTCTATGGGCTGCGGATCATCAGTGTGGACCAGTTCAAGGCGATGCAACTGCCCCCGTCGCCGTCGAGCCCGGCGTACCACCAGTCGCACGAATCGGTCCGGGCGAATATCGGCTCGTCCGACGAGCCGTACTGCGCGCCGTATAGTCGGCGCCGAGAGGAGCGGATGCGCGGACAGCGGCGAGGGGTGAGTGTGGTTTGAACCCGATTAGGTGAGTAGAGTGGGTTGATGAGGCGACCATTGAGATTTTCTCATATCCTCGCACTCGGCCTTTCTGGCCAGGCTACATGAGTCCTGCCTTGCTTTGAGCGCTTCTGTAAATGTTTCCCTTAGCTGCTCTCTCTCATGTCTTGTCTTCAGCGTACTGTGGTCTTCGGTCGCGCCGAGTTTTGTTGTCAAGCCGGGTTAGTTACCATGCTGTCAGCTGAAGCAGACCGAGCTTTGTTCCCTCAGCAGAAGTCTATGCCGGTCGTTCGTAGCGGGGCTTTGACATGATGTTCAATCATGTGAGGATTAAACATGTAGTGTGTATCGCATACAAGCGTAGAAAATCTGCAACGATACGGCGGGCCACACATAGTACCTGAAGCAATCATATGTAACTTCAGCACTCAGAAGTCCACGAATGTGCTCTTCGGAGTATACACTAGCGTGAGCTCCATTTTGAGCTTCAAATCCGAGTGACCATGTCTTGATAGAGCTCGAGACAATGTACTTACTGTACTCTGGATTCCACATCTAGAATGACGACTGCACCGGAACAAACAGAACAAACACCTCCTTCCGTTCGCACCAACAACTTCGCCGATGCAGTGCTGTATGCTCTTCATCCCACCTCAAAAGCCCCAACGCTGGAGATTGCTTCCCTAGCGCAGAATGAGAGCTTCATAGCCGCTTCTTACTGAGCTTGGACACATAAACTTGATTATCCGAATTGCGCCCGCATCTCCGACGTTGAGCGGACCCCGCGCAATTGACACGGCCCTCATTAAACTGCCACTCCAATTCCCACCCATCAATACTTTCCCCTCACATCATCTCGGTGTGAAGATTCAGACAAACAATGGAACGTCTCTCGATCAACGAAACCCCCGGCGGCGGCCCCCAGGGCAATGCGCCGCAGGGATTCCCGCCCCAGAACAACAACACCCTCGGACCCATGACGCATGGTCCCCCGCAGCTGCCGCCGCAGATGTTCACGACCGCGGCTCAATTATTGGATTTGACCGACAGTACGTGATGCCCGCCCGCGATTCGGGCTCTTGCCGCTGGAGCTGGGGAAGGAGTGTTTGGATCTGGACGGACGAAAGGCTGACACTTGCGGCAGAGAAGCTTGTTTTGGTCTTGCGTGATGGAAGGAAGTTGATTGGCGTCTTGAGAAGTTGGGATCAGTTCGGTATGCCTTCACACGCATTTCCGGAGCAAAGCACGGGTGACTCGCTTGCGGAAAGCCTTTTGCTCGCTTTGCGATTTGGGAACGTGACAATCTGATTGCCCCTCTTATGCAGCCAACCTCGTTCTCCAAGACACCATCGAGCGCCTCTACTCGGGGAATCTGTACGCCGATATCCCGCGCGGGATCTTCCTCGTCCGTGGCGAGAACGTATTGCTTCTCGGAGAGATTGTACGCCTCCTTTCTCTACTCGCTAGGAGATGCTAGACTGTTTGATGTTTTGTGTCTTGCTAAGAGCTTGTGACTAACCCGAGATTTGATCGCCGCAGGACCTCGACAAAGAAGACGATGTGCCCCCTAACCTCCAACGAGCGTCATTCCAGGAAGTGTTCGAACTGAAGAAGCAAGAGGAGACCAAGCGCAAATCCAACGACAAGAAGCGACACGGCAAGTTACAGACCCTGGGATTCGAGCCAGAACACAGCGGGGAGATCTTATTCTAGAGACTTGCCCTGGACCCCCACCACCAATTCCATCGCATTGAATTGGAGGGTGGCTTGCGTCGGCCATGTTGTTTGCCAGAGATGAGAGCAAAACATGAGGTTGGATTCCGAGGGACGAGATGTGGGAGCTTGGCTGCCGGTTGGCTTGTGGCCTGTTGCAAACCCTAACTGCCCTCCAAGGGACCATTGCGGGGAGACAGGTCGCTTTGCCGCTGATCCCTTACCCGGGCGGCGATGTCGATATCTGTGTGGAAGGCATAGGGCTGGCGGAGGACTCTCCCAGGGGCTGTTAGAGCTGGTTGATCTCTCCATTGCAACGAGAGATGTGCTGGATTTGAGGATAATTGGCTGGACGGTGAACCATATGTGCGTGTGTGTGGTGAAGACCGAACGAGAGCACAGGCTATCGTCTCTGATTCCGGTCGGCCAGAGTGGATGATGGTCATGTTATGATGATTCTCATGTCTTATTAGAACTTCTATCTATTCCTGTTTTCTTTGCTCTTCCTATTCAATTTTCCAATGTGTAAAGAAGGAATTGGGGCGGTGGCTAGGACTAATACTCATGTAGGCTAGGACTGGATTCGCGCTAGTTGATGACAAATGAACAGACAATAACTATAGATCACAATGTCTAGCAGACAGCGATGAGAAATCCACAATCCCCAGTAATAGCGATCAAATCAAGTCTCTTTCTTCTCCGCTGAGAATCTGTTATCGCGCTCTATCGATAAACGGCGCCAAGAACCGCCCGTACCTTTTTTTCACCTTTCCAAAAGATCCCGCCGCCGGACCACAAAAAAAATCTCCGCATCCACCGACTTCTTTCAACCCTCCCCCTCTTCCCAATCCAACCCTGATCCTCTGACCGTCTTCTCAACTGCCTGTCGGTCGATCGTTTCACCATGGCGACCTTGGCGGAGAAGCTGGAGAAGATCAAGTCTCCCAAGCTGCAGAACCAGCAACATGTAAGTCCAGCGTCAAATTCTCCATCTCTTCGGCTTCAAGATCTGGAAATACTCTATCCTTCCTCGCCACAAAACGTTATTGACCATGACAACCATTCTTCCTAGACGGCCGTGGTGCTCTCTGCAGTTGAAGACACACTCCGCGATCAGAAAGCCGATTTCTCTGCCACAGCTTATTTCGCCGCGCTGTTGGCGCTCCTTGGCCAGTCGATCTCCGCTACCCAAGGCATTGTCAACAAGGACCTCGCTACTTCCGTTGTGTATCTGCTCGACATCACCACCACATATGTCCCTGCACCAATCCTTCGCTCCAAGTTTTCCCATATCTTGACCAGTCTCGCGCCGGCCCTCTCCCTGCCCGAAGTCGAAGCCCCGCTCCTCCGTCCGTCGATCGGCTGTCTCGAGTCTCTCCTCGTTGCCCAAGATGTCGCGGCATGGCAACTCCCACACACTCAAATCAGCCCCCGCCGGGCCATGGCTGGCTTACTGAGCTTGTCGGTCGATCACCGCCCCAAGGTCCGGAGACGTGCCCAGGATGCTCTGATCAAGGTCCTTAAGACCCCTCCCCCCAGCCCCTCTTTGGACCACCCGGCTGCCGACATGTGCGCAGAGACTGCTATGCGCACTCTGGGCGATAGCATCGCCGCGGCCGCCAAGGCGAAGCGTGGTCGCAACGACCCCCAGAACCGGGACAACCACGACCCTCTCGTCATCCACTCCCTGCAACTCGTCAAGACGATTGCCGTCGCTTCAGGCGGCTGGCCGAGCAAGAAGATTGAGCCGCTGTGCGAGCTCCTGATGAACGCCTCCCGGTCGACCAACGAGTATATCACCATGGGCGCCTTCGAGGTCTTCGAGGTTATCTTTTCCAGCATGGCCAACGACTTCTCATCCTCCAAACTTCCTCGCCTGCTCGAGGCGATCACTGACCTCAAGCCCGCACAGAACGACTCGCAGCTGCTGCCTCCCTGGATCGCCGTCTTGTCGCGCGGATACGATGTGTCCGCTCAGACCAGCCCCGAGGATACTTTCGAGAAGCTCCCTGCCTTGTTCAACATGATCTCCGGCTATCTTGCTTCCCCCTCGCGCAACATTCGTGTGTCTGCATCAGAGTGCTTGGTCTCGTTCCTTGCAAACTGCATTCCCAAGAGCGTTATCATCGAGCCCTCGGTCTACGACGAGAAGACACTCGAGAAGCTGGCTAAGGCTGCTATGGACCTTCTCTCGGTGAAATATCAGGCCGCCTGGGCGGAAGTTTTCAATGTTTGCGCGGCCATGTTCGACAGCTTCAAGTGGCGCTCAAGCCCCTTCCTCGATGACATCGTCAAGACGATCGGCGAGCTCCGCACCAACGAGTCGTTCCACGGAAAGAAGGAGGCGGACAATGTCCTGGGTAGTGCTATTGAGGCCATGGGTCCCGCCGCAGTCTTGGAGATCCTGCCTCTGAACATCATCACCCAGAAGCCCGGACAGCCCGGTCGTGTCTGGTTCCTCCCTGTTCTGCGTGACAATGTCACCAACACCAACCTTTCTCACTTCCGCTCCGAGTTTGTTCCTCTGAGTGAAGCTCTGTACCAGAAGGTCATGGCTTACAGCTCTGCTGAGAAGGATGTGGAGATGAAGATCTTCGAGACCCTGGTTCAGCAGACTTGGGCTATCCTGCCCGGTTACTGTGAGCTTCCTCTGGACTTGATCGAGTCGTTCGACCAGAGCTTTGCCGAGCTTCTTTCCAACGTCCTCTACAAGCAGACGGAGCTGCGTGTTGACATCTGTCGCGGTCTGCAGAACTTGGTTGAGTCTAATCAGGCCATCTTGTCCCTCGAAGAGGAGGGCGATGACTTGATTCTTCAGCGCAGAATCACCAAGGAAATGGCTGCCAAGAACATTGCCCATCTGGCCGGCTTCGCCAGCAACTTGTTGGCGGTTCTGTTTAACGTCTACAGCCAGACTCTTCCCCATTACAGAGGTTTCATTCTTCAGTGTATCAATGCTTATCTGAGCATTACCCCCGAGAAGGTAAAGCGAACATATCTCGAACAATTATGATCAATATACTGACAATCTCCCAGGAGCTCAATGAAACCTTCGCGCGTGTCGCGTCTATGCTCGAATCCTCCGTGGTTTCCGAGCAGGAAGAAGCCAAGCAGGGTACCCAGCAGCCCAGCTCTGGCAACAAGATGCCCCCTACCTCCCACACTCTGATTGATCTCGTGATTGCCATGTCCATCTACCTGCCGCGTTCCAGCTTTGCCAGCTTGTTTGCCATGGCCGCGGCCATTCTTAACGGACAAACAGGTGATCAGCAATTGATCAAGAAGGCCTATAAGCTCATCCCCCGTCTTGCTACCACGGAGGCTGGCAAAGCCGCGCTCCAAGAGCGGAGTGGTGAGCTTCAGACCCTGATCCTGTCTACCGCCGACAAGACTCCGTCGTCTGCCCGCCGCGACCGCATGCTGGCTGTTTACGAGCTTATCACCTACCTGCCCACTTCCGACTTGCACTTCATCCCCGCCGTTCTCTCTGAGGTCGTTCTGGGTTGCAAGGAGAGCAACGAGAAGACCAGAACTGCTTCCTTCGACCTGCTCATCCACCTTGCACAGAGAACGATTGATTCGGAACGCAACCCGGCCGGCACCGTCATCCGCAACTCCCTTGTACCTCACATGCCCGACAACGCCCCCGACGCCCCCGCCACCATTGAGGAGTTCTTCACCATGGTTTCTGCTGGTCTGGCCGGTAGCTCCCCTCACATGGTTGCCGCGTCTGTCACGGCGCTGTCCCGCCTGTTTTTCGACTTCCACACTCAGCTCTCGGGTGCTATGAGCACTGATCTTGTGCAGACCGTGGAGCTCTTCCTTACCAGCAACAACCGCGAGATCGTCCGGTCCGTCCTGGGCTTTGTCAAGGTCGCGGTCGTGGTTCTGTCCGATGAGGATCTCCGCGCGCGCCTGAGCAGCCTGGTCCCCAACCTGATGGTCTGGAGTAAGGAGCACAAGGGTCGTCTCCGCAGCAAGGTCAAGGGTATCCTTGACCGCCTGATCCGCCGCTTCGGCGCCGCCCCCATCGAGGAGCTGGTTGGCGAGGCCGATCGCAAGTTGGTGGTCAACATCCGGAAGCAGCGCGAGCGCCGCAAGAAGAAGAGAAAGGAGGGCGAGCAAGGTGACGAGGACGAGGATGAGGAGAACGCCGGTGCCGCCGGTGCCGCCGATAACAACACCAAGGGTGGCCGCACCTACAGCAACGCCTTCGACAAGGCCGTGTACGACTCCGATTTCTCCGACTCGGACGACGACGCTAGCGAGATCGACGTCGATGAGGAAGGTGGCACCCACGCCCGCGGTCGCGGTCGCGGCAACCAGAACAACAACAACAGCCGGAAATCCAAGCAGAGCGAGCAGTACATCCGCGAGCTCTCCCCCGAGGACAACCCGCTCGACCTGCTCGCCCCCGACGCCCTGGCCAGCATCTCGACCACGAAACCCAGCGTGCGCTTCCTCAACACGGGCCCTGGATCCCGGAAGAAGCGGAACGCCAAGTTCGGCCCCGACGGGCGTCTCCTTCTGGGTGACGACGATGACAAAGGGGATGTTTCCACCGCCTTGGACGACAACAACGGCGGGGAGAGCGGCATCAACGCCTACGTCCAGGCCGTCAGCGGTCCCGACGCCGTCCGCCGCGGTCAGCGCGGTAAGCTCCGGATGGCGCAGTCGCAGAAGAAGAAGGGCGGCAACGACGACATGGACCTGGATGAGGATGACACTGCCGCCGTCGCGGCCGCGACCAGCTCGCGGCCCGGCCCCGGGCGTCGTGGTCTGGGTGTGCCCAAGTCCCACGGCCCCAGCAGTGGTGGCCGCATTGAGAAGCGTCGGGATGGTCGCGGTCGACCCAACGGTGGTGGTCGCGGTGGTGGTGGTCGCGGCGGTGGTGGTCGTGGTGGCCGCGGTGGTGGATTCCGTGGTAGTGGCGGATTTCGTGGAAACAGGAGATGAATATAAGTAAGGATATCCCGGCTGGTCAATATTTGACAGCGAGGAGGAGGGGGGGGGGGGGAAAGGGCAAGGTTTATAAGGCCGGGAACTGGGGTAAGGGGATGGTCCGATATGAATCAGGACTTTTTTGCTTTCTCTATGAAATGATTATCGCCAATATCTTGATACGCATTTACAACCTCAACAAGTACAGTTTGTTTGTTCGAATTTTTCACACTTTTACAACAAAAGCACGTCCGTTGCGAATTGCCCCCGAGAGATCAATTTGTGCTGCTGCTGCTGCTGCTGCTGCTGCTGCAGTCTTCTCCGGGGAGACTTTCCAGCATAATGAAGTTTTTTTTCTGTACGACTGACATAGAATGCTTTACTCTTTCTGGTTCCGGTTCCTGTCGATCTTTTCTGAATGTCGGTATCTTTATACCCTCGTCTTAAGTTATCTTGCTATCTAGTCTTGTCTTACTATCTTGTCTCTGTGTCTAGTCTGTTGTCTATAATCCTTAGGCTGGATATCAGATGCCCAACATGATTGATCCTGATTTTACCGATCTTCCTGCTCAAGAAATCCTCTTAAGGATCATTTTCGATGTGCAATTCGTATATCATAAGAAAACGCCTGTCACCCTCCAGCGAGCAGTAAGTTAGTGTCTACACCACTGAAGACAGAACCGCAACACTCGCAACACAGGAAGGCGTAAAGTAAGAATCCCCTCGCTCCGGTTCTGGTTCCGCTGGGGCTTAGAACCTAGGTCTAACTGACTGTGTATTATATGCGTCGTTCCACCCTCGAGCCAGTTGCTGTGGGATCACTCTCCTCTACTGAACGGATCCGACGGATCGTCCGGGTACTGTGATAGAAGCCTCCTTTTAGTTTTGTACTTGATTATCAGTGAACCCGTCGATACATTCAGGTACAGGCACACACGCACACTTCAATCGTTCATTTTTCACGCCGAGTGATTTCTCTAAGGCTATTCTCGGAGCTTCCTATTTCCTTTTGCCATCCACATACTTGCCTCAAGCTAAGCTAGCTAGCTAGCACCCGTTACACCCCGCCACCGTGGATGATATTCCGCCCCATACCTCCAGTAAGCACTGCCAATAACCCCGGATTCCGACGGAAAGAAACAAAGCACGCCAACCCAATCCAATCCCGACCAGTGATTACCACATAACCCCTTCCGGAAGTGTCCTCTCAGCTATCGCGACTACAGTCCGCAGCCCTGCCGCTCTAAACGGGGCCATATCCTCGTGGTGAGCGAGCATAGTCTCTGAGTTCAAGGGTGCAACCAGCCGAGTTTTCAGCTCTGCGGTGCTCTGTTTGGCCACGGGCTCCAGCATAAAGGATGGGGACCTTCTGATTAAGGGCTGATCATACTACTGTTATCTCCAATGACTTAAGGCACGGGGGGTCCAGGGGGGATACTGTGCTGTACATTACGAACAAGGTAGTAGAGTAATACTACCTTACTGACTAGTAGTAACTAGTGGTGGTGAGGCTGAGGGTGAGGGTGGGTTAGGGCGGGCGGGCTGCCCCACGTCCGGGGGGATCATCCATCCACCCCTGAGTTTTGATCTGGTTTCACTATAGTTTGAGGATCGATTTCGACTATCTTATCTACATCTTGCTATCACTTTCAATCGAACATCAGAAATGACACTGTGATCGTCCCAGACAAATAACAATCGGGTATGTTGACAAGGCATTGATTGGCTGGTTGCGCGGGGGATACAAATACCTACCTAGTAGTTATAAGGTTCAGACAGACAAAAAAGCAATTCATTCTAGAAGACGGTAAGGAAGCCACCACCGAGTTTGGCTAAAACGCCCCTTCCGCAACTTGCAACCACGCCCACTTTAACCTTTTCGACTTTTACGGCGAAACACCCCCAGACATCGCACACCACAAATGAATCATCTTAGCCAGCAATCTTGACTGGCAAGGGAAAATGTATGATTCTCAGAAGAAAACGAAAACTAATCCTATAATCCAGGTAGCGCCCACTCACCAAAAAGAAAAGAAAATCATTCCACATATCCCAAACGTTGGTATCATGCATGCATCAAAGAAACAGCCCAGACGAGACGACGCTTGATAAAAAAAGAAGAAAAAGAACAGGCAATCGACAGATTGGCCTAGGAAGGCGACTTCCGCGCTTTCCCCAGCCATAAGTGCCACCATCTGCTGACCCCGAGGACCGCGGCTCGACCATCGTCTTTCCGCTCCGTGCCGTCGGGGTTGCCCATCACCATGGAGAAGATCCAGAAGAATGCTGCGATCCAGGCAGGTAGGAGAATCGCGATCGAAAAGAAGGGCGACAACAGCAGGACCGCTATCAGTCCGCCGATCGTGTAGGATTCTATCGGCTCGTCCAAAAACGACGCCTCCGGATCATAGATCGGTTGCGTGGATGCCGATCGCTTCGACGACCGTCGCAGGCAGACCAACCGCTCGTGGATATGTAACTGCGGTACTAAAAGGTCGCATAATTGGGCTCGGAAAGACGTGTTTCGCAGGTATCGAATGCAGGAACAGAGGCGAAGTGGGGAGATCAGGAGGACGAAGAGAAGACCGAAGACGGTATACAGGGATGCGATGAAGGAGAAGATAGGAACAGGGATGGAGAGTCGGAACTGTGCAAAGGGAAGCGGTCAGCCAGGGCTTGCGCCACTACACGACGAACCATCGGGAAGGAAGCCGACGTACCAACATCAGGAGCGCATCGGGCTCTTCCGCCTCAGGGGTGATGTCCTCCACGATCGCTCGTTTGTGCACTCGAGCTGCGCCATTTAGGTGGTTGTCGCCCGACATATACGAGGAATGGTCAGTCCAACTGCCCCGACCGCGCCCTTCTTTGCGCACCGCCTCGCTCGTCATCGAAGCTCGGGTTACCAGGGAGCCGTTCTCCAGATAAGGCGCCGCGACGACCGTCTCTGGCACAATAATGGGCTCCGCACTGGAAGGGTATCCAGTGTCCACGGACCCTTGGTGCGGGCTGGGGATACTCCGCCGGCGGGAAGGGTGGTGATACTGCTGCGTGTGGGGGTCCGATGGCTGAGGGTGAAGGGTATCGTAACCGGAGTCCCGATCCGACGGAGGGGAGCTCTCCACTCCGTGGGGATGACGCTCGGTGGGCGATAATGGAGGTGAATCCGAGATTATATGTGCAGCCGGAGGAGCGGCAGGTATAGAGTCGGGAAAATAAGCGGTGATGAGTGGGTTGTCACCTTGATGGTGGGCAGCAGAATGGGACATCTCCGGCTGCCTCATGGTGGGTGGAGAAGAGGGAAGGAAGGGGGGGGGAAGGAAGGGCGAACAGGTAAGTATCAAACAGGAGCAGGAGGTTGGTAGGTAGTAAACAAGGGCGCAATCGAGGACGGGGAGACCCCCTCAGAAATGCCGCGGCAGCAACACAAAGTGGTACAAAGGCATACACAAAACAGCAGGGATGAGTTCACCGCATGGCTTTCAGCGCAAGGGGGTGAAAGGGAACTTTTGTTTGTTTGGGTGGTATTGGTGGGGAGGTAGGAGGTGGGAGGTGGTAGCTGGTATAAGAGCCACAGAGACCGAAGAGGCTTATCAGTTCTGATCGAGGCGGAATGAGAGGAGGAGAGGAGAGGGGAGGGGAGAGGGGTAGGGGGAGGGGGGAGGGGAGGCACTGAGTGTGTGTGTGTGTGTGTGTGTGTGTGTGTGTGTGTGTGTGTGTGTGTGTGTTGTGTGTGTCTGTGTTGATGTGTGTGTGAGAGAGGAGAGGGAGAGGGAGAGGAACAAGGGGGGGTACTCGAGGGAATGGAGGGAGGGGAAAGCTGAGGTGCTGAGGTCTTTTGTATATCTGGCAGAATAAAGGAAGTAAATACAAGGAGAGAGAGAGGAAGGGAGGGAGGGAGGAGGAGGACAGCGGAAAGAGGAGGAGACGAGAGAGCTTCGACTTATACGAATGCCATGGACAACGACGAGGTTACAGAGCGGAACCTCCCAAGAAAAGACAAGAAAAGATGATCATGTCGAATTTCCCAGGACGAACAGGAAGAGCGGAAAGGGAGGGAGTTCTGGTTGAAAGCAACTCTTTTTTTCGCTGCCAAGACGCCCAGCTGCCGAGCCCTTGGCATGGGCAACGTCAAAAGCGTGTTACGGCCAACAGCATGGCGTGGTTGGAGGGTAGGTTTGGGAAGGGGGAGAGGAAGAAGAGAAAGAGAGTAGAGGGAGGAAGTTGATGGTGGTGGTGGTGGTTCCAGCGATCGGACGGAGGGGACTCAGTTCAGCCGGAAGCGGACACAGCGCGGAGAGGAGGTAGGACTGGAATAAATAACAGGAATAATAGGAAGAGTAGAAGTAAAGGGGGGGAGGGAGGAGGAGGAGGAGGAGGAGGAGGAAGCGAGAGTATTCAGGGCTGGTCCAGACTTGGGGCCATGGTGATTGATGATTTACCTCCTTCATCCATCACTACGGGTATGTATGAGTGAGTACGTACTCTTGTCTCATATTCGCAATCATCTTACAGTTTAATTGTAGCAACTTCATCTGACAACCGCAGTGGCAGAAGATAATTCCCCAATCCCCCTTCATCCCCCCCCCTCTCTTTTGTCAGGCTCTGTTTCACTTGGTCTGCCAAGACGCCAAGGCTCTGCGGGGGGATGCGGTGGCCAGTCAGGCCGAGAGTCATTTGTTCGTGATCCGCATTCGGAGATGGATTGTTGGCCTTGGCGGGAGGATGGCCAAGTTACTTAACCTCTTTCCAGCATAGCTTCACCCTGGGATGGGGCCAATCGGCCAATGCTACCCTACCTAGATTGGTACCCTCGCTAAGTCATTGAATGCCGGAGCCCGGGGTCTTTTTTACCTTCCGACCGCCTGCAGCGGCACACCCAGCCCCAACTGGCTAAATGCCGTAATCCAGATCAAGGAGGGAAAAGGGAGTGCAGTGTGGTCTGAGAGATGCAGTTTGAGATGACATTTCATTGATTAATCTAATGCGAGATAATAATAATCAATTTCCATAGATTGGTACGGAGTAGTCAATGCGGAGAAAATTCCAGGAAAAGAAATCATTCACTTCAGCATGACGTTCCGGGGTGAGCCCCAGCCTGCCTAGACCCTGCCTGTTCCGTGGGAAGGAACAGACCAACAAACCCTGACCGATACGTAGTAGTTAGACAGACTGACTGGCCTACACTCCCGCCGAGCATTGGCGGGTGCAATGATAGTCGAGTACGGAGTAGATAACCAAGTGCCAAAGTCACGTCGCGGGCGAGTTGGGATTGTTCAACTCTCGCAGCCGGATTGCCGTGTCCAGCTGGTCGATCCGTCAATAAATTAGGTAACGCCGACGCCTGGTGGCGCTCCACCAACTCTTATTTCCTGTCGCGGCGTTTTGTCCTACTTATATTGGCAATTGTTTAGTTCTAGCAGTTGTCGGGGATCGTCTTCCAATCTCCTCAACCGCAATCTGCCTTACTTGCCTTACCTTACCTACCCTCCTCCCTACCGAACCCGACTACATAGTACATACTCACCCCTCTTACACAGATGAATTGACCTCGAATCTTTAGTGATTACGATCGATACTCTCTCCGATATCTCCGCCCGAGATGCATCGATTTCGACTTCAACCGCAACTTTCTCGGACTGAGGGATGCAGAAGAAAGGAGGCATGACCTGTCCACCGCCGTCTGGGCTTGTGCGTGTCTTGGACCCTGGGCACTCGTGATAGCGATTTTCCGAGGAAGAGGAGAAAGACGAGAAGAGAAAAGAAAAATAAGAACCAAGAAGAAAAGAGGGGAGTCGCACAGTTTCACTGCTCATCACAGGCTGGGCAAACCAGTCCTGTTGGTCCATTCAATCCCGCCAGGAGATCCAACCGAGCCTTGGCTGCCATGCCCAGAACGTTAGGCTGCAACAACTGTTCTGCTTGGTGGTTTGCGTGGCTTCCATGCCTGCCGAGCAACCCCCAAGAAGATGATGCTCAATACCTAATAGTGGATTGTACTGTGCAGTTCGCCGGTGAAACCCATGGCCGTGAGCCACAAGGGAGAGGGGGAGAGGGGGAGGGGAAAGCTCCGGCACAACTATGACTGTGTTTGTCATACCTTGTAGGATCCGCCCATAGTCTACAACCTGATCGAGAGACATTTCAACCAAAGCCCCCCAGCAGTCCATGCATGTGAAGCTTGCGGGGGTGACGGGTTGTCCTCCCCTTCTCTCCCCCCTCCCCCCTTTCTCAGAACGGTCGGATTTTGAACCGTCGAGCATCTTGGTTGCCCTACGGGTTGTTCTGCGGGAGAAGGCACAGGGGTTTACCACCAGTGGTTGAGTGTCTGACTGCGTCGACATCTCCCGTTGGGATCGCAATTGATTGCGGCTCGCTAGTGCTTATGGAACTCTCATTGTCGGTCTGAGTCATGGTGTCAGTCCTTGGGTGCTTGACCATGACTTTTCCTGACTCCCGCATCGTCCGTCCGTATACAGATCTGATATAATCCGAATCTTACCACCCCGGACTACTATCGATAACCCGATTAACCCCAGGATGGAGCTTGCTTCGTCATTGACCGCGTACGAGTCTGACTTGGTCTTTTTTGGTTTTCTGATATCTTAAGGTACCCTTGCGTCGTCTGGGTGTAGTTTCGCTGAATGTAGTAAACATAAGAGTTGATTCCTCCATCCTTTCCATGGCTATACTTCCGAGACTGTCGTCGCAAACCATCGCCTCGAGTACCCGCGCACCATCATCGATCAGTACGGAGTATGGCTTGAATTACCTGAGAGTCTGAGCTCCTTCGCATTTCCCTCTGAACCAGCACGCGAACCTGTCCTCGGGACCGCGTCAATCTACACCAAACCAATAGCACCACCTCAATCACCCTGGCAGCTATCAAACTCAGGTACAGCCTCTTGCATCCCCATCCTCATCCCGAGAAAATCATCTCCCCTGCAAGGAGACCGGCTCGCAGGTACCGATACCAAGGACAAACCTTCACACACAAACCTGCACCCACCCCCTGCAGCCGACATCCGATGAGGAACGATCCCAATATCACTCGGGTTCAATCAGGTGCTCAATGGTGCTCACACATCGATGACGCAGCTCGCCCGTTGACTCGACCGGGCCATCCCTTCTTGTTCTTGTTCTTGTCTCGGGATCTTGTTATCTGCAGATAGTGTCATCGTTGCTGCTCCGAGCAGGGCATCAATGTCACGGGAGAGATCTTTCCGGTTCCACCACTCCAGCTTTCAACAAGAGGGATGGGATGATGTGCGAAGTCGGTGTGGATGGAGCCTCGAAACGAGCTGTCGTAGCTCGGTGGTGGGGACAAGGATCGTACGATTCTATGGGGGCTTAGGGTGAGGTGTCGCTGTCTACTGAGTCACTCTGTGACACTGGGTTGGGTATGGAGGGACGAGTCGGTGGTTGCACCTGCGCCTGTGGGGGTAGCTCTGTATGCGTGGATGTGGGGTAAGTTGGATATGTTGATGGGAATATGGAACTTCAGGTCATGATGTGTGGTTATGTCAGGTTTGTTGGTCATTGGGAAGAATGTGCCGGTGATCATGACTGATGACTATGCATAGCAAGCCAGCATAGGGTCATGATTTGGGATGGTCACCAGCGAGAAGGTTATAGCTTACGGTGCATTTCGCACGGTAGGAAGCCAGCCATCCCAGATTGTGATATACTTCTGCGTGTTTGCTTAGAGCTCTAGCACTCCGCTTTACGGGCCCCAGCCTCATCCCAACCTTGTCGGGTTGATCTCAGATCAGGTATGGATATCCGCTATGCTGTAAGATATTAATGAGCCGGAGTCGGGGGGTAAAGCCGGTGGGCAGGATTGGAAGTGCAGGAGATCTAGATATTCAGTCTACCTTACCACCAAAGGCACCACTGGCATACTCACTTCCGGAGGATCTCAGACTCCTTGCACGGTCTCCTGGAATAGAGACCTCTATGACAACATTAGTCACCAGGTAGCCACGCCTACGTAGGTACTTGACATACATCCTTCTTCCCCATTCGAGCAATCCCAGCACATACACATCTACGGCACACGCCCTCGATTAAACCTCAATACATCTTCCACCACTACAGACATAACAAGAAAGTCACAAGATCCACCCCTTACCTTGACGTCGGAATGTGTCTTTCTATGCCGCCTAAAAAGTAAAAACACCACTCTCTTATCTCCTCTTGTCGAACAAGACACTTCTAGGTACTTCACCAGACTTCTCCAGGGGACATCTAGGGCTTTGCTCAATTGCCCAGGAGTTTTTTTTCATATAATCGAGACCAAGACTCGCATCCTATGAGCTTTCCCCGATCTTGATCTCGTAGCCCCGGGCGACATCACAACTTATTCTTGCATTCAGCCACTGCCCTAGTACAAAGATGCATATCTGTAGTCTTCAAGCTGATAGACACACTCTACCCTTGCTATTTCAGAGATCACCGAGAGATCATGTCAGACATACAGCCTCTTGAAACCAGAGGTGATGGAATAGTCCCTGACACGCTCAGAAACCGCCTAACCTTGTCAAGGATCTGAAGGAGTGATTTCCATCCCAAGCGCAAAGTCATTTACCGTTTCAATTCTTCCTAGCCTTCGTGGGAAGATTATGGAGAAAGTGGTTCTTTCCGTTTATGCAACAGGGTATGCTTCCGTTCTTGGAGCACTTGGTAGAATGAGTATAAACTCCCCATTCCTCTGCGTGCGGCAGTCTTGGTGTCGTCTACAGGCCCTGATTCTTGTGCTCTACTCTTCCTTGCGATGGATATCAGGAACCTTGTCTGGAGCCACCAGGGCCCCTTTCCCCCTGGTTGAGACTCAGTGACAGTCGCCCCGCTGGACTGCCAATCGACCACCGGTAAGCCCCATGACTCTGCTTCTAGGCGTTCGCCTTCCCCCAGCACAGTGCCACTACTCTTGTCTGTAGGGGATTGAACGCTGCAGACCATGGGCCAAATCCGTGTATAGCAGATTGCCACTCCGAACAAGACAGTGTCTGGCTCCGGAAGGGACTTGCGATGATCTATCTGAATGGGGAACTTCTGCCGGCGGGACATAGCATGAACCATAGCGAGATCTCACACTCGTGGAAGGCAATCAATCTTGGATCTTTACTGAGTGAGTCACTGAATACTGAGAAGCTTGAGGATTTCAGCAAGGGTCCCCTCTGAGATGGTAGCACAATATAGAAGTTCTTGCTTTTCCTCTCAAAATAGCGAGCTCTGGGCGGAGAATCGTGCTCCGGGAGCGGAGAACGGAAGAAGCACTGGTGGACTTGCACCACGATCTATATCTCTCGATGACGGGATACTATCTATTCCAGAGTCGTGATCAAGATGCTCAGAGAGGGGCGTCTAGCATTGAAGCAATCCTGGTCCCTATCCACACATCCGAGAGGACAGGCAGCCCGGTTGCACGGTCATCAACAGATCACACCCCTCCCATACCCAAGTCTGCAGGTCATCTAGAAGGAAGTATCTAGACACGATCTCCACCAAGCTCAGCTACACCTGAGTTTCCACCAACTCAAGCTCCCCCGATCTACACTCCTAAGACAGTTTACTTTAGGCCAGATCGGAACGGAAACCTGCCTGTGCTGCTGGTTTCCTGGATTTTATCACCGTTCCTGCCTGGCAATCCTGACAGCAGATCTCCAAAGTACTTCATCCAGCCGCGCCAAACGAGAGATAGCCGCACTTTGCAACCAGCCAGCCGGGCCATGTTTCACAGCCCCCGCCCCCGGGCAAGTTTAGCTGGCTGCCTAACGGTGCCTTAACTTCGGGCTTACATAAATGGGGATAAGTAACGTTAGCGCCGCAGCATAAGTTGCAGTTAGTGCCTGTGCTTAGCTAGGATTGTGCATCGCGGAGCCGGAGCTGAGTCACATGATCTTCCCACTGGACAGTACCCGGCTGAAGAGCCAATGACCTCGCAGCTATTGTGCAACCCGTTGGCGAAGGATGAGGTGGCCCCGGCCGCGCTGGAAGGAACCCGCACAACAACTGGAACCTCAGCAGGGCTCAGCTAATTACCGTGCCTACTAAATTAGTCCCATCTCGAAGGCAATACAGCTACACTGCAATCTCGGAGGTCTACAGCAGTGGAGGATAGGCCTGGGGTTTGAATTGTCCGGCCCGCGGCTGACTAGGTATACTACTAAGGTAGAGAACAAACCTTTCTGAGGTGGGCTCGGCCCTCCGTCCCTTCCTCGGCAATGGCAATGGCAATGGCACGGCCATGCAGCACCGGGTGTTGCTGTTGCTGTTGCTGTTGCTCGAGCCGCAGTGTAGGCCTCCGGCCGATCTTGTAATCCGCCCTACAGATTGAAGAAGAGAAGGGGTGTGATTCTCTAGAAAAACAGATCAGATTGAGTCCGCAGGGATAAAGCCACGGATAATTATACATAGTAGACCACCAGAGCAAAGAATCCACCCCAGCAGTTTGGCCAGCACAATCACCTAGTATATATCCCACTGAAGCAGGCTCGGTTCGGCTAATACTGTAGGTTACCTCTTTTATCTCTTCATCCTCCTGGAAGGATCAGTGAAAAGGTAGATGCCAGACGGAAAGGAGGTGGGTGGGTGGGTGGGTGGCTGCTCACTCACCCCCCGCCCTTTCTCGGCCGGCCCCGGCGGGTGCGGGTGTGGATGATGATAATAATGACGCGCGCGCGCGCGACACGTCCATCGTTTTTTTTTTCTTCCCTTTGGAAGACACTTTCAGTTCACCAATGTGAGGTAGGCTGCTAACACTCTTTCTCGCTTCGGACTATGTATAACCTTCTGGATTTGTTGGGAATGCGATACTTTAAATCCTGTTGTAGCGGGGGAGATGATGAAGAAACATATTTATATACTCCGTACATTCCTGGGTTTTATTGCGGGTGGATTATTTTCTTTTCTGGTGCTAGGGACCGGTAATTGCTAGGTGGTCAGATAAACAAGGTTACTGAACTAGAGACAGGATGGGCTGCATGATGTTGTGTAACGGGTTGATTTGGTTTTTTTTTTTTTTTTTTTTTTATTTTAATCTTTTTGCTCATGGGGAAATGCATATATTCCTCCCCTATCTATGGAATGGGTATACCATTACCGGTACTAATCAAGATGGAAGCTTTTTTTGCTAATTTAGGGGTTTTGTCTCAATCGCAAGTGGAAAAGATCCTTGCAATCGATGCCAGAAAAAGCTCCCCTCCCATCTATCGAGATTGAGACATACGGCACCGGTAGTTGGTGGTGACTGGCTCATTTCATTGTATGAGTCCCTCAGCAGCAGCTGGCTCGGGGGTTAGCTGAGATGTATACAGGGAAATTTTGGAGTATGGTCTGCCCCCTTTCTATACAGCAGCAGTATGTTAGTGCGTGCTACACAAGGCTTTTCGCAACGCAGCGCAACGCAGCGCAATGCGCACAACGCACGCACGCGTGCAGAACTAGTACACACCTTCCGCCTTGGTGCAAGATATTGCAGCAGAGTCACCAGATCAGCCTGTCAGAGATAGTAGTCAGACATGTGGGAGACACCGCAGGGGCAATAAGAAAGGGGGGGGCAGTTTTTGTACAGTACAGACACCCAGACTGTGATACTGTGCACTGCAGGAGCAGGAATTCCTTGTAGGAAAGTGAATAGAAAGTCAATAATCCCAAATAGAACTAGAATCAATTCTTGTGTTGATTGATGAGAGGGGGTGTGTTCGGGAGTTGTTGGTTGGTTGGCTGGCCGCCCGCCCGCCCGCGCGGACCGGCCTGGGACTGGGACTGGGACTGGGGCGCCAGCTGTTTTGTGTGTCCCCGAGCTCAGTCGTTGCAACTTGCAAGGCACTGCAGCAGGCATGCACGCACGCATGCACATCTGATGGAGGTCCTGTACCCTCCGTAGCGTACCGTACATTTGCCCGGGTTGTTCTCCCCAGTAGGCGCCATGTATGGAGTGGTGATAGTTGCATCTGAGAAAAACAGGGATGGTGCCTTAACTACCGTGGGAGATTCTTACCGCCCGGTGGGGATGGATGGTGTGGGAAGGTAATCTGTCAATCCCAGGGGGGGTATGTGAAGCCTTCCCACCTACTCCGTACAGAGACTGGCATTGGGTATATAAAGCCCTGTCGATTGCCATGCCTAACGACCGTGTATACACACCGCATCTCCTCAGAATATTCAGGTCGCATGGCCAGAACTAACGCACCTATCTATACTCTACCAGAGCACAACTCATTTGTTTTGGGTATGTATCCTTTCCCGAGTTGTGCACGGTAAGACAAATTAGAATCCATCTCGAAGAGCAGCCAGCCGGTCCGTACGAACTCGTGTCTTCTGCAGATGCTATTTTTTTTTTCTTTCTGTTTGTCCCTCCTCTTGAGTAACCCACATAGCGACTCGATCGCCCGATGCGATGTGCACACCTGTTCTCGTGTTTGAGATACATTGCTGGGCGGAATCTAACCTGTAGTCAGTACTATGTGGGTTCTTTTTCTCTGGGTGGGCACTAGGGCACGTAGGCTAGGAAGTATGAAGTATAAAGAATGGAGTGTGTGGGTGGATTCTTCTGAATGGCAGCTTTCCGGACGGTCGGGTGCTTCCAAAGAAGAAAAAAAAATCGCGAAAACTAAGTGCGGGCTGACCAGTGGAGGTAGGAAAAGCCAGGGCACGCACCGTCCCTCCACCACGGGATCAGTGTCAACCCAACAGGAACAAGCAGAATCCTCATCTGACATACTGCCGTGCCGGTTTGAATCTGTCGATTCGATTAAGATTCGATGTGTTTGAGATTCAATGCCATTCAAACCCACCCTTAAGAACCACCGATTCAGTCGTGTTGGCAATGGACACAATCTTTGGGGCGGATCTATCAGGATTTCGATTGGGTGCGGACTAAACTACTCGAAGACACTCGTCGATGCTCGGATCCGACAAAAGGGGCCTAACGTAAGAATCACGAAGGGGGCGTTTTCTCGACCAGGCCTATGGAAAACCCGACCAACCCGTAGGAGTTTAGGGAGAAAACCAGTAGTGGTTACCGGCTGGCTCCGAGTCTAGGCTGGCATGTCGGGGCCTTGAGGGGTGTTGGGGAGAGACCCTGCGGTGAGTTGGGACGGCAGCTAAAGAAAGTTCCAGGGGATCAACCGGCGTGTTGGTCTGCCAGAAATACGAAAGTGCAAGGTGGCATTTTTCTCACCGTGGTGAGGTCATCGGGCAAGAAGAAAAGGGCCAGATGGGCCAGCTGTTCTGTGATGATGAAAAAGGGAAAAAGGGAAGAAGGGCAGGAATTGGCAGGGAGTTGATCCCAAAAGAGAAAAAAAGAGAAAGGGAAGGGAAAAAGAGGGGGAGGAAGGGGGGAGAAGCGCGCGAAGAAGAAAAAAGGATCGGCCCACACCCAGGTGATGTATCAAGATCATCGACATCAACAGAAAAGCCGACGGATCAGCATCGGGTAAGGCCCACTCCAAGGAATCCGTTAGGAATCCGTGGCTGTTGCCGGAGGCATCCATTAGTACTCCGTCCTGTACAGTACACTTTGACTCAGCGCAATTTACTCATGCGTCTGGGATCTGGACGGACGCTTAGGTAAGCCCGTTGCTGCAGTCCCCGGACCCGCGGCTGAAAAGCCTCTTAGCAGTCCATGACGGAAGGGGTGGAGGGGGTGGGAGGGGATGGGATGAAAAGAGCAGGAAACCAGACAATCCATTCTCTTCGCACAGAGTGATGACAATGTTTGTCTGTACCACAAAGCATGCACCCTGGTAGAGCGTCCATATTCGCCTCCTGAACCTGACGTCTACTACCCCTCCCATGCAGACAGCTGCAAGTCCACACGGACTGTGCCAATCTGTCAGACGGCTGAGCATAGCCGGCAATGTGCAGCCAGTCCAAGATTGCCGCACTGACAGTGGTTGGCCCTTCATGTCTGACAGCCGGGGAAGGAGGATGAACTGGTGAAGAAGTGAAGGGTGAAGGGTGCAGGGGCGAAAAGGGCCGATCTCAAGAGGGTTTGACTGCTTGGCCTGTTTTTCAGGTTGGGTAGTAGACCGATCATCGTTGTCCCGGAGTACGGAGTACTGAGGTTTCGGATCGAGCCATGGAAGAGGGGGATGGAGAAAGCGTGATTGAACATTGGACTGCAGAGTATCCTACGCCATATGTACAGTACAAGTAGATTATACGCAAGTGCATGTATTGTCCGTTTGAGCCCTGAGGCACCTTGACCTTGGGCCCTTGGAACTTGGAAGAGGTCATTGGGGACGGCAGGACAGGCGCGACTGGCAAGTGCAGCATTTGGGTTTTGCAGGTGGTCCGAGTGCGGAGTACGCCTCATGCCTCATGCCTGACTATCTAGGCTGCTCGGGAGCTTAGGTTGTTGAGCTTATGCATTTATGGCCATACGCCAGTCATGTAGGTCGGTTGCAGCCCCACTTACGCGGGCAGAAATTATTGGCGTCGTTCCGCTAATAATGCGGTTGATTCATTGGGAAAGAGAATATTACTCGGGTGGGCTTTTTATTTTCTTTTTTTTTTTTTCCCTTTTCGACTTTTATCCTTTTTATTTTTATTTTTTTTTCATTTTTCTTCTCTCGAAAAATGACAAAGTGGCACGGGGAAGTGAGGTCGGGTGGGTCTGGCTGACCATGGTCCACCTGCAGTCTTTCGGCGAGTCACAGCCGGGGGTTCGTGCTAGACTTACCACCCCCCCCCATCCCTGAAGGTGCATTTTTGGCTCCGGCGCTTGCATCCTCGTCAAACACTGCCCTGTTTCGGGGCGGTTCGACTCCATACCCACTTATTTTTTCTCCCATTGACTCCGCCCGTCCCCATGCGCGGTCCACCCCCCGTTTCCTTCTGTAGTGTGCAGGCTACGGAGTACAGTCAGTCTCTAACAGTCTCACTCATCAATACTAAATGCAGTTAAGTTGAGCCTAGTCCATCAACTCCCCATTTTCCCTATAGATTTTTAGTGGTATATAGTACTATGTACCGTAGCTGGTCAAGTCACTATCACATTCGCCCCCGCCTGCCAACATTTGACACTAAGCCCTTTCCCGCAATGGTGATACAATTCTTACTGTAAAGGTTCACCCCTCATCTAGAGTCGTTCGCTAATAGCGCATGAGCGAATCAAATGGAGGGGGTGATATATACTCCTACTATCGTCTGTATATACGAAAATTGTACAGTGAATTGAAAATACTCTATGGTATAAGCTGTGTGATTAGGAGTGGCGTGGAGTGTGCTTCTTGCCTAACAGCCTCAGGCATTCATTTTAGTGCTTAGTGCACTGAATCGAAGCACCGCTGTCCCGGTATACAAATTCAACCAACAAGAACAGCAAATAGTAAACTTCCTCATGTATGCTGCTGTACTGCTGTAGCTGCTGTAGCTGCTTCGTCGGCGGCGGCTGCTGCTGCTGCTGCTGCTGCTTCTGCTGCTGCTGGGACGAATGCAACGCCCCCAGACCCAAACTGAAGTTCGGCGCCCGGAAAATATTAACTGTAAATACCCGCGGACACGACTCCAGATTGTCCCCACCCGCTAGGCCGTTCCTGGAGGTCGAGCTGCCTGTCTTCGGCTTGGCGCCGGACGACCGCCATCTCAGCTTTTCCGTGCTTTCCTTGGGTTTCGTTGACTGCTTCAGAGCTGCACAACCACTAGCGTGCCTTGGCGTTTCTCGCTCTCTACCACCAGCCCCTCGACCTTCCCTCTTCCTCTTCTTCTCTCTTCCTCTCTCTCTCTCTCTCTCTCTCTCTCTTCTCTTCCTTTCCCTCTTCTCCTCCTTTTCCCTTTCGTTTTGGCTCGCCCTCCCCCTGCCAATTAAACTCACTTTTGTCATTTCCCACCCCCCCCCTACTAATTCCTCAATTCTCTTCTCTCCCTTTCCCGACTTTTCCTCTCACTATCCCTTGCTTGTGTCATTTGGCTTCATCGCCCCAGTTGTTGTTCAGTTCTGCCGTTCGACCCTTTTTGCTTTGCCGCGTTCCTGTCAACTTCTTTACCCGCGGTTCACCATCCATCATATACAGAACCCCCAGCTGCAGTGTTGGGCTTGATTGATCGTGCAAGTCCTTTAGCGCTTGCATCTCCGTATATTTTCGAGCTTGACAACGCCGCGGCCCATTCCGCGTTGTCCCATCGCCTCCTTCCGCCTTCGCGACGTGGGTTGGATTTCGCCTGGGCAGTAACCGTCTTGCGTGAATCGTTTCGGGCTCCCGTCGCGTTTCGATTCAAGGTGGTCAAGTCTACTTTGCGCGACCGCCTGTATCTGGATTGTGCGACCTCGTCGTAACACAAGCGCTCGTTGCATCATCGTGTCGCAAAGTGCATGGGAGCATAAAGAGTCAGGATCCGCATCACTCGGTTGTGTCGCGTCTCGGCTTAATCCTGTATCAACATAATGGCCCACACACAGCCATCTCCTACGGGGGGTGTGACCCCTCACCATGGCCATCTCGCAGCTCATCCGCAGGTCAATGGTCACCTTCCCTTGCAATCCCAGAGCCAGAAGGGCCCGCCCTTGACTACTGCGCAGAAGATTGCTGCTCTGAATGAACAAGTCTGGCTACAAATCGGTACGTAGATCCTTAATGGCATTGATGTTGTAGGGCCACCGTGTTGGCCGCCGTCTCTGCTGGACTATTGCTAACTGTCTGCCTAAAGGAGCGCTCACTGAATTGATGGGCGATCTTGATGGTGCCATGAATGCTTTCGAACAAGCGCTGCGACACAATCAGTGGTCGATCCCCGCGATGAATGCGATTTCTTGTATATTACGCACAAAAGAGCAGTTTCCCAAGGCGATCGAGTACCTGCAAAACATCCTTAAGCTGGATCCCACCAGTGGCGAAACATGGGGCAGTCTGGGTACGTATAACCTGTCTAGTGTCTGATCTATCGCTGACTCGGAATTCGATAAGGTCATTGTCATCTGATGATGGACAACTTGCAGGAGGCATACACTTCCTACCAACAAGCGCTCTATCACCTCCGTGATCCTAAGGTCAGTAACGGGTTGAATGATGTTGATCATACATCTAGAAATACTGATGAAAAGC